CAATGAGATAACATCGCCAGACATTGAGATTGGTATTATAAAAGAAAGAGATGAAATTCCCCAACAATCTTTAGTTACAGAAATATCATTCACAGAAGAGGGAGGTAAACTCATTAAGGATATCTTTCCAAGACAGTTGAGATCCTAATTAATTAATAATTATGTTTTGACTTTCTTAGAAAATATGCAATTCTTGCTTCAAAGAACATATAAAATGACCATATAAATTAAGTTGTGTGTACTCAACACCAGTGTTTATTACATACAATTTACACCAATTTAATTCAAATCCATTCATAATTTATTGAGACATCTTCCTTCAAAGTCTCAAATATAGAACTGCCATAAAAACAATTTTGTCAACTATCTAAACTAAAACCTAATTTCCCAAATCACCAGTGATTACATTCTAATTATACAAACTAGCCAGTAGGGATGATACTCATTCAAACACCTGAATGAATCTTTTTCGTTGGAACCAAATCTCTTGCATTTGTTTTCTTTACCATAGGTTGATGATAAAGGTGAGTCTGAAAATAGACCATATCAACATATAACAAAATGAGAATAACATATACTTATAGTAAATTTATTGACTGTACTCAATATTTTCGTTGTTATTTCTAGGTGAAACTGTTGAATTTGAAGGTGAATGTGGAAACCAGGGTGAAATTGAATTACCTGTTACTGAAATGGATGATGATGACAACTTTGAATCCTTTACTGCTGATCATGAAGGTAGAATGAATTTACCCTTATCTGATTTATTAGTTTGAAATACCATATCTATATTTTTTATTCTAAATAAATAGCAATATACATAATTTTTTAAAATGTCAATGGTATTGAATTCAGTTTGATATTAATATACAAACTTTCATTATTATTAATGACAGTGTATTTGATTTCATTGACATCTAAAATGTTTTAATTGATGGAAGTTATATTTTAAAACTATAGATTATTTGAACAATATCTTCAGTGCTGAGTATTGCAGCTGAAAATCGTATTGCAATATATTTTGCAATATATTTTTATTGTGGTATCCCACTATATGAAAACTTTTCAACATTTTGTATTTTATAAAAGGATTAGAAATAAACAAAAACGCATGTGAAGTAACAACTGGGCTTTATTTTATTTAATACTTCAAATAGAATTATTGGTGTCATTGTCCTAATAGGTCTATTTAGCCAACAGCAATCATCTCAATTTCTGCTTCTGATGTGACTTTCAGTACAAAAAGGAGGACAAAATTAAACAGATTTTGACAATTGAAAAACAAAGTATTTATAGTGCTATATTTAACCCATTTTTGTTATAAATTTGTTTTATTTTATATTTGACAACTCTAAATTATTTTAGTTGTTGGTAGTCCAAACATTACAACCAATATAGATATAAAACAACCAGAGATGCCAGCCCTACCTACACCTGCTGCACCTACACCTACGCAGTTATCACCCCTAACAACACCGGTACATCAGCCAATTGTTGATCCTATGTCGACATATAACCAGGGTTTACCGTTTGTTACTGAAAGACAGACGTCACAAACTTTACAACATCAAACATCAGGAGAACATTCCACTTCTGCTCCTACAAGTCCATTCCATCAGTTCCAGGTTGGTATTCCATGATTTTTGTTGATATTCCTTTTCAGACGCACCTCAATTTATATGATATTTGTGGTAGGTGTCATGGAATGGACAGAATATAATTTATCTTTCTAACTAAAACACCTGAAACTACTTTGCTATTAAGATTTTGATATATCCCCATCTAGAAAGTTACTATATATGGTCTTGATTTATCCATTTTGTTAATGGATTCATCCTTGTGATCTTTGGGTGGTTGGATGGCCGAATGGTTAGTGCATGTGCATTGTATCATAAGGTCTGTAATTGAGTCAACGGGCGTGGTTTCGATTCCCTGGTTGTACGTGACAAGGAGTATGGTTGCCTGTCCAACCTCGTACTCCGGTTTCCTCCCACTGCTAAAGACCCCTGCCTGCGCGCATGTGAATTATTGAAATAAAATTGACCCATTTGTTAGTCTAGAAATGACCTAGTTTGTGTCAAGTGGATGTTAAACTCTCTCTCTCCCTCTCTCCTGATCTTTTATTTGTACATACTTAAAATGGAACTTGGAAATGATATTATTTAATACTAATAGATTTAATCAAAGTAATGGAAATGTAATTAATTACATTTCAATAATCATGTAATTTCAATTACTTTTCAATTACATATTAATATTTCCAACTATGACTAGCCTCAAATTTTAGCACCAAAGAAGTCAATTAAGTATATCTTACACAAATCAAAAATATTGGAAAATCTATGATAGTGAGATTTCAAAGGTACTTTATGGCAGAAAAATAGGTTATTTTTATATGCCCACATTTTCATATGGACGCCTGTGTATTCGTTTACATTTTGTTTATCTGTTTATTTTTATCTGTTTTTAACGAAACTTGAAATATAGGTGTTTCTCCTAAAGATCTCAATTCCTGTCGAAATTGGTATGTATCGGACCGTAACTACATGAATTATGGCCTCTGATTGTACGAAAAATTACGTTTTTAGCTTGTGGACACCGTAGAGGTCACAATTTTTACCTGATTTTGATGAAACTTGATATGTATGTTCACACATATCGTACCGTATCTTCCTGGTTTGTGGCCCCCGATTGTACGAAAAATCACATTTTTAGCTTGTAATCCGTCTATAAGTTACAATTTTTATCCGATTTGAAAAAAGGTTTCAATATACCACCGTTACACCAAAATGAGGGTTGTGAAAATCGGACCAAAACTTCCAGACAAAATGGCTGCTCTTCGAACGCAAATAGTGTAAAGGTATGTTATATCAAGGTTGTGAACCCTCAAGAGATTTTGATGAAACTTTAAATATATGTTTATATCACAAAAATCGCGGTTACTTTCGATAATCCCGCATTTTGGAACGTAACTTCCTGGATTATGGCCCCTGATTGTTCGAAAAATCATGATTTTAGCTTGTTGGACCCTCTAGAAGTCACAATTTGGATTCAATTTTAAAAAACGTTGAAATATATCATCATTACACCTCAATGAAGGTTGATTTTGTATTTCATAAAAATTTAACTGAAACTTGTACGCAAATAGTGTAAAAGTATGTAATACCAAGGTTGTGGACCCTCTAGAAGTCACAATTTTTATTGGATTTGGATGAAACTTGAAATATATGTTTATATCATAAAAATCTTGGTTCCTTTCGATATTGATGCACATCGGGGCATAACTTGTTGGTATGTTTTTGTTAAGCTTGTTCTCTGTCCATATCTTGCAAAATTGTGGGCATATCTTGCCTGGTAACCGCTGGTTTTAACGTTTGTAAAAACGGTTTTTGTTTTGATAGTCATAGAGTAATGGGTAATGATAATTAATTACTTTCAATGTAATGGATAATGGTAATTAATTACATTTACATTGCTAAAAAATGAGGAAGTAATTGTAATGATTACATTTAAAAAGTGATAGTAATGTAATTAATTACATTGGAAATATAATCAGATATTGTTTAAACTAAACTTTAATTATTGGCAAATGACAAAATGAGGTTTTAAAATTGTATACATTACATTACAGAAAATAACCATTTTATTTTAGACCCCTCCTGTGCCATCTGTCTTTGATAACTTTGGTGATTCCAACCAAATCGAGGATCCATTTACTGCCAGTCTTTGTATGAGTGACAGTGATAGACGCCACGATGCTTGGATTCCTTCAGATGCAACACGTCACATTCTGATAACCATAGCAACCAGTATGCCAGGAAACTATACCCCAGCAGTAGAACACCTATGCTCACCAACAGTTCTTATAACAGAACCTCAAGTAGGTAAACTTTAATTTGAAATATGATACCAATATTGAATCATTTCCAGTAAGCAATTTGGAAATATTGAAGATCAAGAGTTTCTAAAGTGTAATTATTTCTTCTTAGACTTGCATCACAACATACAGTGAAGGCTCTGCCTTCATTCACAAAGATGCTTGTGGGTATATTTATTTTGCCTGGCAATGGTATGTTTGTTTCGTAATAGATTAATAATATAAGAATTAGATTTGTTTTGTTTTTTTAAGTGAAATTAAAAATATATATGTTGTATTAACAGGGAGATCCAGTAAGGGATTTAGTTTGTAGGTATATGGGAGAACAAGAAGCTGTAAAAAGACATGTATTAACTGCTGATTCTGTTAGTCGAGATGAAAAAGGACTGGCTACTCTAGTGGTATGTGATCTAAAAAATATTTTATACTATAAATACAAAGAGTTGACTCTGGAGGGCATACCATTTTTTAGTGTATATGCTGGAATTAATAAGTCGATTTTACTGTGAAATTCATGTTTGTATATGAGCAAGAAAATAAGTTAAACATCTCAGATAAGTGTTTTAATAAATTTATGCAATTCTGTAACATAACAAATAAAACACAGAGTTTTATCTGATCAATTCTTTTTTAAATGAAATATGAATATGACTGCTTTAATGCTATAGCTATACAATAATCAACATTTCAATATGCTTTTATGTCTCCTCTCCCAGTTCAGGTTCAATCAGAACTTTTTAAAATTAATTACAGGAAGCTGGTTGTTTGAGAGCAGCGGTAGATTTAACAGGTTATCTTCTAACTGATGCCGGGCAAGGTGTTAATGATACAGGCAAAATAATATGTCATTCACCTAAAACACTACAGGTAATATATCATTCTCTTAAAACACTTTAGGTATAATACATCCTTCTCCCAAACACAACAGTTGATATCATTCTCCTAAAAAACACCATGAGTAATATATACTATTCTCCTAAAACACTACAAGTGATATAATATATCATTCTCCTAAAACACCACAAGTCATATAATATTAAATATATCATCCTCCTAAAACACTTCGGCTATAACATATCTTTCTCCTAAAACACTATAGATTTAATATATCATTCTTCTAAAACACTACAGGTATAATTCTCCTGAAACATTTCATGTAAAATATATCATTCTCCTAAAGTGTGACTCATGTCATCCCTGCGACTTGGGTTAGATGCAATTGGGTGCATCTGAATGCAACCAGTTTTGAGCGAACTTTTGAGGCATTCGGTGTATTTCGACATAAATAGGGCTTAAAACAGTACAGGTGGTATAATACTTAATTCTCCAATATATTTCTTCTTGTACATATGTCTTTGTTTGTAGCTATGGTTTTGTCGTTTTGCTCTGTTGATGAGATTAAGACTGTATGAACCATTAGATTCTGAGATGAGAGCTTTTAACTCCATGGATTCTCCAGATTTATATTTTGAATTTTATCCACAAGTTTATCCTGGTAGAAGAGGTATGCATAGATCATATACATATTTGTTGAAAAATGTGTTAACAGACATATATAAATAGTTCTCAACAGAGAAAATACTTATGCTAAAAATTGAATAACTACGGCCTCGATGTTTAAACCTGTTAACTCATGAAAGCCGTGCTATAAATATAACTTATCAGATGCAATATGTATTTTATGGTATGTGATATCCTTAAGATATAAAATGTTAAATGGCCCCATTAAACTACATATTATATAATTTAATATAAACCATGTTCTGTGTAACTGTTGTCAGTAATGAAGGATGGAGGACCAGGCAAAGATAGCGCCTGTTCGTTTGAATGGGACAAAAATAGACGTCCTGTGTGCACATAAAGGAACCCTTGACAGTTTCCTCATAGCACACAGTATGGCAAATGCATCTTCATTAGCCCAGTAGGGGCAGAAAACTAACACGTTAAATCTCATTTCATTCATTCATTCTATTCTAACGGATTCCCATTTTAAAATTTACTTGAATGGTTGAAATTTTAGGATCAATGGTGTCATTTGGTTTAAGAATACTTCATGCAGAGTTACCACATTTTATGGGTCGACATCAGGAATCACTTGATAAATTATATTACATTTTAGCTGTTACGTCTAAGGTATGTCTCTTCACTTTTAACTGTATTTATGTGTGTAATTGTAAAATGTTAGTTTTTGGAAAACCTAAGATTTATTATCATCAAACTGAACTATTTAAATCACCCACTTCCTTACCAGCTCATAATTATTATTAAGTTATATTTATTTATTTATAGATTGTGAAGAATTTAGAAGCAGGTCTATCAGAAGATGGCGCTGGTATTGAATTAAAACCAGAAAGTCGAGCAGGTAATTACAAGAGTATGGTAAATGCTGATTTTGTATGAGGAAGAAGATCCTGTGGCTACACAAAAAAAACAATATTTATATCCCATCAGGGGAGGGGATTCTCTCCAAGAAATATTGGGCTGTGTGGAACATAAGAGTCAATTTGTTGCATAGTTGATCCACAGTATAAGTTTGACTCTGGTTGAGCAATATGATGATAAAGTATAATGAAGATCAGAATCTGTCAGTAGCATTGAAAATCACATTGAAACCATACAATATTTTTCATTTGAGTGTGGATGCAAAATCTCTAAACTCATGATGCAAAGCTAGTCATTAAGCCCCTGGGTAAATTTTGGAAACATGAGTTATTGAGTACATAAAGCAAAGTATAAAGCTGACACACTAACCAGAAGGTTCCAGGTTCGATCCTGGTGTTGGCAGATAATGTTTCTTGATATCTTTCAAATTTCCTTCAGTCCTTTGTATGGAACGAATAACCAAGGTCCCATGTACATGTTGGTGTAAGCATAAAAGAAACCTTGGCATTGCAATTCAACAAAGAGTAGGCGGAAATGCAGTTGTCCGGGAAAAATTTCCCGGATTGCACTCTGCAAGGCATATGCCGTCTTTCTTCACCCAGTTGATGCAGAAAAGTAGAACATTAAACCCCATTTATCTCATCTTGCAATCCAAAAGTGTGAATTGTATACAGCACTACTTTCCAGCCAATCTTTTTAACCATCCGAGTGTTTTATTTTCTCACTATGTCCCTTTATTTTCAGTTTCTCTAAAGTTATGGTCTAACCGTGAAACTCAAGTCCAATATAAAATAGCTTCAGTTTTACTCTCAATGAAGGTAATATATTCATTTTAATTTCAATACAGTATAGCACATAGAAACATGTAATCATTAATTATTAAGGTTGGGTTATGAAATTGTTTTTCAAGTTTGTATCAATTGACAATTTCTTTTTTGTGTTAGTTTCACAAAAGCCAAAATTTATTCTATCTATTGTCTTTATTGAATAAAAATAACTAACAAGTTAAATTAAAGCACAGACTTATTTTAGTATGTAGTTTTGCTTTATACATGTGTGACTATTTATAACACATCAAAAGTTGTTTTTAGATTTTATCTTATATTTATTGATTTATAGGAGAATACGTGATCATATGTTCACTATTTAAGTACTTTTGTCAATAAACAATATTGTTTAAATCTATTCAGTGTTTTTAAAGATACTTTCCCAGAAAAGTATTTTTAGGTTTTTTATATAGCCTTATATACCTACAGGATTATAAAGCCGCTATTAGTATATCTTTAAATAAATATTATATTTACAGGATTATGAAGCTGCTATTAGTATATTTGAAATGTTAGCAGAAAAAGAAACCGAGAACAAGATAAATCTGATGAGTGGAATTGGTAGAATATATTTACAGGTATAATTCAAATATAGATTATCTTTTATAATAGTTGGGATTTTTAAAAAAATTACGAAAATTGCAGAGATATACTAATCCTAAAGTCCAATGTTAAGCATGCATTATGCAAGAGCTAAATCTGCCTATTGCAGGTCTTTTTTTTAGGCCTGAATGTTATCTGAATTATTAATTAGATATTAATTAACTTATTTAGACCGTAATCAACTCTCGATGTCATCGATAGCCTGCGATATTTACTGAATTAGAATCCGATTTGCTGCTCAACTTTCATTCATGATTATATCCAAAAAATGGTTGATCAAGACTGTCTTTTATCATACTGACTTTCTTAATGATGATCGAGGCTAAGCTGAAAACTCAGTCACTAAATTCTCAATTCAGAGTGGATCAATTTGACTGAAATATTCAGCAAATTACCTTTATATTATCTAGTTTTTATCCATTATAGTGAGAACTGCCAGCTCTTTATCTGATCTCCCATAATGTATCTAAGTATTGACTGGCATGTACAAGTTAATGTTTAAAAAAAAAATATGTTTTTTTAATAAGTCAAGTATTGATTGGTTTACAGATGGGGAATATCAGTAAAGCAACAGATGCCTTTAAACAAGTAGAAAATGAAACAACAAAAGGAGGAAATGCTGCTATGAATTCAATAAATAAGTAGGTCATTTGAAAACATCAAGAATAATGAATTTTTAATTCCTTCAGATTCAATTAACTCTTTATTCTGGTCACAATTTTTATTTGATTTTAAAAACCGTTCAAGTATATCACTGTTACACCCTAATGATGGTCACAATTAATTTTTATTTGATTTTAAAAACTGTTCAAGTATATCACTGTTACACCCTAATGATGGTCACAATTTTCATTTGATTTCACAAAACTTTCATATATATCACTGTTACAACATTATAGTATATGTTGTGCATCATATATGGTGCCAATTTACACTTGTTGCATCACGCGCATGTGTAAAGATTGTCATTGGTTACACGTCTGCATTGAACATGCAGTTGGAATAAAGCCGCCATCATTAAAACACCATGTGCTTTTCTTAGTCTGTATTATGGGGTATTTCGGGTATTTACAAGTGATGTAATGCTATGCCAAGGTTGTTTTTATCCAGTTTTGATGAAACTGAAAACATATGTTTATCTCACAAAGATCTTGGTTCCTGTCGATATTCGTATGTATCGGACGGTAACATCTTGGGATTATGGTCCCTGAATTTGTGAAAAATCACGTTTTTAGCTTGTGGACACTCTAGAGGTCACAATTTTTATCCGATTTTGATGGACCTTAAAACATATGTTTAAATCTCACAAAGATCTCGGTCTCTTTCATTATTGACTCATGTCGAACAGTAACATCCTGAATTATGGCCCAAGATTGTATGCAAAAACACGTTTTTAGCTAGTTCTCTGTCCACCTCTTGCAAAATTTGGGCTTATCTTGTATAGCAACCGATTGTTTTTACAATTGTTCATTTTTGTAAGAATGACATGATAATTGTAACAATCGCTGATCACAAAGACTTAAGCAAGTGTATAACCATGGTTTTATTTACAAGAACATATCTGAGACTGCTCCTTTAAATTTAAATATATTTTTTTATTACAGGGGGTTTCTTGCAATGTGTGTAAATAATTTTTCTGATGCTTATGAACATTTTAAATCAGCTGTAAATTTAGAACCAAGTAATACTTGTGTAAGTTGTAAACTATATTCATTAATCCAGCCTTAACTTTTTATCATTTACACTGGTATTATATTTTTATCCAAAAGAAATTAATTAATATGGGCTCACCAGCTACAGCTATTAAAGATTTTAATAGGCCAATTGATAGAACAATTAACCCGTTGCTATGGTATGATAAATCAATCTAGTTTTGCCAAAGAATTCATTAATACTTGTTGATTAAGAAGTCAATCCACCGTCTAGTAATCCTTAACATACCTTTATAACACTAGGCCATGATCACATCCCAATTCAAGTGACTAGCACCATTACCATGAATATACAAACTTGCTGATTATTCATTACATGTATATTAACAAGTAGTCAATTGATCGCCAAAATCATTTTCCAAAGTTCAACATATTGAGATTTATGACTTAATAAAATGCAAACAAGTTATGGGTCTATCAGCCCAAATAACTTTATCCCAAATTCTGAGTTTACTGGATTGTGAGAATAAGATCCAATTATTATTTTATGATTTCAGGCTGTCAACAATATGGCTGTATGTTCTTTGTATATGTGTCGATTAAAAGATGCATTAAATACTCTAGAAGCTCTGGTACATAAAGATCCTGGTCATAATTTACATGAAGGTGTTTTATTTAATCTTTGTACTTTATATGAATTAGAATCATCCAGAGCTTTACATAAGAAACAAGCAGTATTAGATATGGTAAATAAACATAAAGGGGATGGCTTTCCTGTTGTATGTTTGAAGATGTCTTGATGTGAAAATATTGTTTGAACATTGATATGGCTAAAATTTATGATTCATCATACTGTAGGACTAATGTAATGGCAAAGTAAAATATAAGTTTATTGTGATATTTGAAATAGTTTGCTACTCCATAAAAACAATATACTGTACAGTAGAATCTGTATTCAGCAGCCACTCAAGTGAATTTCATGACTGACCTCTTAATGGGAGTGACCTCTTTTTATAAAATCTCAGTCTTTGTAAGTGCTGATATTAAGTACATTTTTACGCATTGATACATCCAAAGCAAACATCGATGCATGCATCGGTAAATCTGGATGTCCCCCGAAACTGGCTATTGGGATGAAAATTCTTCGACTCAAATCACCAATATCAATTCTATAAACATATCATTTTGTACCCACATTAATACTAGTGCCTATCTTTATTATGTATTCAATAATATTTATCCCTTTTGTGAAGAAAATTCATGAATGATTTTTTTATTATATCAAAATAGCACATGTCAAAAAAAACTATCACAGAATATTCCAAGTGATTTTCAGGGAATGTAGCTCTGTAGTATCATATATGGGGTACTACTTGTTTAAGCAACACGGCAGCAATAGTTACTAGATGATCGTAACAAAATTTAGCTTTGACACTACAACAGTGGAGTAGGAATGGCTGCTCGTACAAATTCTACTGTACCCACAATACAGTAATTATACATTAAATAAAGTGATAAAAACTATCAAGACTTGATTGCGGACCAGCCAAACCATTTTTCTTCAAACTTTCTCCCAGTTAATAACTCGGCCTTTAAAGAAAATACATAATATAATATATTTTAGAATCAATCATCTCATCAAGCAAACTGAATGTTTTATAATATGGTAAACAAATTAGTCTTGGTCCCTCCAGTTCCTATTTTCTCAGAGGAATGGAGTTTAGCATTCTACACAGAAGAATTTTGCATGGACAAATAAATCATAAAACATACAGAAATCTCCCTATCGCCTTTCACAATTAATTAACCTGTTTTTTTTCCAAGTCCAATATTCAATTTCACAAACCTGTTCACAATATAATTATCATTTCACTGTATACGGTACAAACATAAATTTGGTCTAATAAATTTAAATGGTGTCAAACTACCAAGAAGTTGTATTTAACTTTCCACTTTTTGTTATAGCATGCATATTATGTTATTGTGATTTACTGACTATGTTGTGCAATATTTTGTATATTTGAAGTACATGTATGTATAAAGTAAAATAAATATATAAACTTACACATGTTTGTGATGATGTATCATTGTCTTCTGAATCATCTTGTTTTATCTCAAACATCCACTATAGAAATGTAAATAAATCTCTCATAAACACTAGAATCAACTGGTATTAAAATGTTTGTTTAGTATAAGGGGGATGAATGACCGCCACCTGATTGAATTATTGCTAATTGTAAAAAATCTTTTTATGTTTACCAATCTGATAACATACTGAAATGGTTACATCTGTTCATTAAATAAATGATCCATATTAATTTTACGGTGTTGGGTGTTTTACATCCACTCCCACAGATGTGATATTAAGTATATGTATTACTAACTGCTTTTATAGTTGTTATAGTCTCTTCATTTACTCCTAGTTTATCTAAATCTACTTCTATCTGTAAAAGATTGGTAGTCATATGTTAATTATAGACAATGTAAAGGAGGTGACTGAATTTTGAAATTTATTTACAGGAACATTAATAACATACCTGATCTAATATTTTGGAATTTTTCTTTTTAACAATATCACATGACTGATTATGCAGTGCTCTTCTTAATAACCTATCAAAATAATAATCTAATAAATAAGGTACATCCTATAGACAGTGCTGCATCAACTGTCCAATACAATCACATAAAACAGATAATTCAAAATGTGAAAGTTATTGGCAGAGCTTGTTACAACAACCAGAATAATGTGAGTATCAAGGAATACAGAACTGTCAGATATGTAAACTCCCAGAGGTCATCTCTCTCACAGATTAACTTGAGTGATGCATGTTTTGGGAAGAGTAAGGATAATCTGCCCTGAGAACAATGCCTGTCATGAGTCGTGGTTGTAGTACTAGTGAAGACAGCTAAAGTTTTCTGGAGGCAACAATGCTCCATTAAAAGAAGATGCTTAAAATTTGATTAAATTTCTTTGTGAGTTAAACAGTATTGCAAACATAATGTTAATTTCAAGATTAATTATTGTGTATTGGCAAAAGAGACCTTATTCTGGGAAAAAAATAATGAATATCAGTATTCTATATAAAGTAGAAATATTATTTTTGGAGAAATAAAATGAAATGAAACGGGGTTTAACGTCATACTGTTCTGCTCCGAACTGGGCTAAGGAAGACCGGCATACGCCTTACAGTGTGCTATGAGGGAAATTTTGCCCAGACAGCGGCACTACGGCCTACTCTTTTACGTGCACACCAATGTGTACACAGGACCTCAGTTTTCCGTACTATCCGAACGACTAGACAGACTTTTGGAAAAAGCTTTGTGAAAGGATATGTGGTAATATATCCAGGATAGGTTCCTTTTATAAAATATGTGTTAGAGCAATAAAATGCAATAAATAATGATATATATTACCTAGTTCTTATTAAACAAGTAACCATCTTAGAATGCCAACTAAAACCACCATTTAACTCACATTCAACAGGAACAGATAACTCGCTTTGTTTTTTGTACAACAAAAATAATTTATACCAATGTGGAGCATAAGAAGCATCTAATCCAATTAATCTCTGTAATGTTTCAACCCGATCTGAAAAAGCCCCCAGAATTGGACAATCATCATTATTTATTTTTGTTTTGTCGAGGGAGGTTACACTGATAATTATGAAAGTACTAATTAAAAAACAAGCCAACAGCGAGGCTGATGTTACCCACCCCAGTCCCAAATTAAAACTTAGATGACACATATTATTTAATTGAACATTTATCTTTTTTGTAAAGAATCAAGCGTTCAAGACATTCACCTAATAAACACCTACACCAAGTTTGAACATTCTACCTCAATTAGAGTTATTGCGTCCCAAAAAGTGTGATTGACAGAGAGACAGACCAAGGAACCCAATTTAGTAGACCCTGGCTTTATTTGAAGGGTGGGGGACAATTACATCTATTGTATATTCAATAGATGGGTTTATTTAGGAGAGATCCAACTGGGTTGTTCCCGGCTCAGTAATATTTATCAATAACATGTGACCTAAATTAGATACTAGGTCAATTATGTAGCCTAGATCATCACAATATATAACTTATAGGAAAAGAGAGTTATCTCTCTTGTTCAGCCTAGTTGATAACCCAGGGGGCGGCATAGATCTTCCTCTTGAAACTCTTTATGGAAAGTAAAAGGTGGTTCAATTTTCCAAGTTAAAAAATTTAAATTTACAACAAAATTGTAATTCATCAAATCTAAGATTCTTCCAAAACCCTCCCAACCCAGCCCTCTTATTTTTCTTTACTCGTAATTAAACATTTTACTGCTGAGAATGTTTTTCTATATTTTCAGGCTACATATAGGCCTACTGCAAGTAGGCCTACTTGACAGGTTTCACTGTGACTAAATGGAAGTGGATACTAGAAAAGGGAATTAACTTGAGGGATTTGAACAAAATTGCTCAAGACGAGAACAAGTAGTGTCAGGTCACCCCGGTATGGCTGAAGTGAAGTGGTATGTAATGGCGTATAACAAGCAACACAATTAGAAAACTTTCCTGGCTTGATTCCCTGATTCTCAGGATCACGTCAAAGTGATTCCCTCTCACGCCTCAGGATCACTTAACTGTGTATATATGTTAATGTGTTCAAATTGGTAATTGTTGGTGTTTTAGTGTTTGGAATTTAAAATTTGGTATGCTATGAAGGCTTCAGCATTTATGGATGGACACATGGTTATGGACATGGGACACGCCAAACTAGTTTAACTGCTGTCAAACATAATAACAATTTAACTCGCTCAGCTGTGCCATATCATTGCCAATAAATTCAATTTTAATTCAAGTAATTGTTTGTTGATCTTTTCTTAAATTGTATAATAACCTGATATGTTATCTTCACCCGACATCTGTACATCTAATAATAAACTCAAACTTTGTCTCTTTAAAGACACATATTCACAACTCTCCAACTAAAAATACATAAATGGACCATTTATTAACTTTAGCAAATGACTACATGTTTATCTTAATATCTTTTTTTATATTTAAAGGCCCAACATGCCGGAATAAAGGTTAAAAACAGAATATAAGACCATATACAATTAACTGTACTTTCATTTAAATAAACAATTTGTTCAAATCATTCAATTCGAAGTTATTGGCAGTTAACATCGTTTTCTATACCACCATCTTTATCTCTAATTTAGAAGTAAAAATTGTGTCATCTATTTTCGTACAAGCCAGTCCACTATACATAATGGGCTTTTTATTCTCAGATGTGGAATAATTCATAATAACAATAATCTTCACATTAAAATACTGTTAGTGTAAAACATGGTCATAAAAAAAAGTAGGACAAATAATGTAGTGCAAAAATAAGAAAACTGAAACTTAATGTATACTATGAAATGATAAACTGTGCAACTTTGTGCATTACAATGTAGGCATATCAAAAATTACATCTTACTAGTTGCATAGCAATTTGTAGACCATCATGGTAACAGTTTAGTAGTATATAACATCTGGCCATAGACTCCATTATATCTCTCCAAACTGGTGTGTGATGATTAGGTAGATGATCTATATCAATGAGATCAACCAGGATTATTGTTTGCATGTCGATTAATTTTTAATTTGTCACGTACAAGCGGGGAATCGCACCACGCCACTTGACTCATGACAGACCGTCTGATCCAATGCACACGCGTTAACCATTCGACCACCCAACCTCCCATCCAAGTACAAATGTCACCATAAGTTTTGTGAATATAGCCCAGTTCATTCTGACATGTTTTAAAGTTTATGTGGAATCTAACACCCAAGTTTCAGTTTTATTATAGAGAAAGAGAAATAGGGTTTAACATTCACTCAACACAAACTAGGTCATTTCAGTACTAACATATGGGTCAATTTTATTTCAATAATTCGCTTGTGCGTAGCAGTCTTTAGCAGTGGGAGGACCCAGAATAAAAGCCACGAAGTTGGACAGGCAAACCTACTCCTTGTCACGTACAAGCAGGGAATTGAAACCACACCACTTGACTCAATGAGAGAACTTATGATGCAATTTGCATGCATTAACCATTCGGTCACCCCCCCCCCCCCTTCCCTATTTTTATTATAAGGAAAGATTTTCCATACCAAGACATATCTTGTATTTGTCAATTGCCTCTGGATAGTTTTTGTTATAAAATGAATTATCACCACCAAATTTATAAACTTCAGCTTTATCAGATGAGTTTTCTACTTCTTCACCATCATCAAACCACTATAATGGAGAAAACAAATTTGTAATAATTTTAGACAAAAACAATCCAAAAAACTTGCATATAGGCGTATGCAAGATTTTTGCAGGTATTCTGAATTTGTGTTTTGATATTATACATTGCTTGAAAGCTTAATACCATTCCAAAGAGATTCTTCTAAAGACTTGAATGCTGAAAGCTGTGTCCAAAACAACACCATCTATTAATATTGCAGGAGGCGAAAAGCTTAAAATTGACTATTGAGCTTAGCTTTAGATAGATAAGTAATAGAAAAGTCAGAAATACATTTTTTGAAATGTGAATGATTCGGCTTTCGAAAAATATAAAATATAATGCATGTCAAGGTTGAAAACTTGAAATCTGTGTAAAAAATCCTAGAAACCCCTTTGAAATATAGTTTGAAAACAAAAATTGGTTGAAAAAAATGACAAAAGACTGGGCCTTAACTTATTGCTGACTCTCCCGTGGACATCTACCATCATAATAGCCATTAGAAGCCTAGACACAAGTCAAACACTTCGGTCATACAAATTTATAGACAGTTGATGGAAATAATTACACGCATCCACACATGAATCGCATATTAGTATAAATCCACAAGAAGACCCATCAGTTTTGAGGAGCGAAAGATTTGTTGCATTTATAATTATTTCTTTTGCTTCTCCCCACAGTAGAGGTGTCCGTGTCATGATCAGTTTTAAAGTTAAAGAGATAAGATAATTAAGACAGTTTGGTGTACAGTTTGCGGTTTGAAGTTAGACCAATCAAATTAATTACCATACCTAATGAATGATTATCGGTATGTTTAATGTCCCCTGCCTTTCGAAGAAAGCAGGGGACTATTAAAATGGGTTCGTCCGTCTGTCTGTCTGTCCATCCTTCTGTCTGTCCGTCCGTCTGTCCGTCACACTTTTTGGGACACAATAACTCGCCTTCTAATTGACCTAGAATGTTCAAACTTGGTGTAGGTGTTTATTAGGTCAATGCCTTGATGGAGTGTGAAGATAAGCATTTTCTGCTTAGGGTAAGCAGAGATAAGCAATTTGATTGGTTGATGCTTTGGGACACGATAACTTTAGTTCCAATTAAATGAGAGTGATGAAACTTGGTGTACAGTTTCATTACATCAATATCTTGACTAAGTTCGATGATGAGCATTTTCTGCTCAGGGTAAGCAGAGCAATAAGCAATTTGATTGGCCGAGACTTTGGAACAAAATAACTCTCCTTCTAATTAAGCTTGGATGTTCAAACTTGGTGTAGGGGTTTATGAGGTCAGTGCCTTGATGGAGTGCGAAGATCAGCATTTTCTGCTTAGGGTAAGCAGAGATAAGCAATTTGATTGGTTGATGCTTTGGAACACGATAACTTTAGTTCTAATTAAGTGAGAGTGATGAAACTTGGTGTATAGTTTCATTACATCAATACCTTGACTAAGTTCGATGATGAGAATTTTCTGCTTAGGCTAACGAGCAATAAACATTTTGATTGGTCAAGACTTTGGAACATAACAACTCTTCTTCTAATTGAGGTAGAATGTTTAAACTTGATGTAGATGTTCGTCTTGACTGAGTTCAATGATTAACATATCGAGCTAAAGCTAAGCAGAGATAAGCAATTTCCTGCTTTGGGACAAGATAACTTTGATTCTATCTGATAGAGAGTGATGAAACTTAGTGTATAGTTGATAATCAGTTTGATTGCTTGATACTTTGGAAAGAAAATAGATGTGCGATTAATTAATATGTGTCATCTATTTATTTGGGGATTTCGGCGGGGGACATCAGCCTCACTGTTGGCTTGTTATTTTAGGAACATAACGCACATTTTGATTATGAAACCTTTAGTTCACTTATGCCATAGTACTTACCAATGGATAACAAAACTTTGCGTTATATGATGTTATTGATGTTTGAATTTTGTTGTTTTGCAGAAAATCTGCATCATCAAAATCTAGGCCTAATTCCATTTTCTTGGTTATGACATCTTCACCATAACCTATGATCATAGAAGAAGAAAATTAAATGATGTATGGACTGAAGTGATGGACCAAATTTAATGAGCAAAGGATGATTGATTAGTATTTCGTTACATATCAACAGACAATCCTGCCATTATCACTGTAAAGACGTGGAACTCAACTTGTCTGCAAGCCAGCACAGCATACTCCTTATCATATGTCAATTAATTCCTCATATTTAACATAATCAATATTCTTATTATAACTATTGAACATTGCGTTTCAGCAAATTGTCGAGGTACCAAACTGTATACTCCAGCTGTTTTTAGGTCAATCTATTTGATTCTTTATCGAGAGAGAGAGATGGGGTTTAGTCAACTCTAACACAAACTAGGGCATTTCGGGACGAACAGGGTTTGATTTTTTATTTCAATAATTCGATTTGTGCATCATAAGGGTCTTTAGCTGTGAGAGGACACAAGGTTGGACAGACGACCCTACTCCTTGTCACATACAAGCGGCGAATCAAAACCACGACACTTCTGATTCAATGACCCCCACCAATTCATTATTGACTTCAGAGAAATAGACTGATCACATTCACAGTATTAATCTAGTTAGTAGTTAGCTACAAATGTTGTACCGTTAAACTGTGTACAAATAGGTTCAAACACACAATTGTCAACACATATCATTACAGTTTGTACTTAAATAAGTAATTCTATCACAAATAGAGCAGACTAAACCACTAAAATAGTTATTGAACTGTGACATTTCTTTTAATGTAAGCCGCCATGACACCAGCCAGATGAAATCTCACCAAATTTCGGTTTCATCAAATCATTTAATTATGCGGTAAGACTTCACCTTTATTTCAATGGGAATTGGTTTATTATATCTTACTATGTGCAGTACAGTTTGGGGTCAGTTTATGTGTAAATTAAGGGGGCTATTGCCATTACTATTGGCTAGTAAACTTTTCGTAGTCATTTGACTAAAAAACTTGCGAAAAGGAACTCTGTAGGACGAGCCACTAAGTATGGCGAACATCAGGTAGTGGAACCATTTCTACTACTACTACTACTAGTAGTAGTTAGTAGTAGGTAACTGGACATTCATAAAAATAAAATAACTTCTTTTAGATATGTCATTCCCACAACTTTGCACATCACAATGATACAACATGGCGAGAAGCATCAAATTAACTTTTTAATATTTTTTGGGGCTAACTAGAGCTTGATTTTTAATTTCCAAAAATGTGGAACCTGCTTTTCTTTTTTCGTAAACAAAGGAAAGATAATTCTAAATACTTGGTGTAATTCCGGATTAACCAGTAGAACGTTCCTCTATGCTATTAATGTATGACGTACAAGACTATATCGTCTGCTTTTATAATGAGGTAACTCTGCATATTTCCTTTTCAGCAACGAAAACCGAAAAAGGTTTTGGCTGAGTTACTCAACTCGGGTTAATTTGATAATCTTTAAACTTGACCATGGACGACGAAGCTCCTGTTATTTATGGTTTGGAATTCCAGGTAACTATCGTCAAGACGTCGAATGCAGTTTGGAAAGTGAAAATTAGAAAGAAAACAGCTTTCTTTGACTTGACATGATAATATGTAACAGGCATTGCCTGAGTAGAGCGAAGCTGATTATGCACGCTACTGGATCTTGACCGATCTGGAGAATATCTGTCAGTGTTTATATCCACAATTCTAACCCTAACCCTTCAGAATAGTTTTAGCCACAATCCATCGTTGTTACAGCTTCAATTTGTACGTTTGACATGTAATTTATAAACCTAACCCTGGAGAAAGATATTCTCCAGATGACACAATGATCTAGTATTATGCGCTGCTGATTATTGTCAAATATGAAACCTTCATAATTAATTTTCTCAAGTGATACAAAAAATGTTAAATAATTTAGTTTTTCCAAATTGATTTTCATTTAGATCTAAATTGTATACATTAATTTTGTTTTTTAAAAAAGAACAAAAAAGTGCACAAGAATTATTTTCATTGACGTCAAAAATATGTGACGTCATTGATTAGACGCATCATAGAAATAGTTCTATGAGGCGCGTAATCTCGCTTGGGCGAGATTTGGTAAGTTGACATGCGCGTTGCCAGTTTTGCCCAGTGTATCCGGTCCCGGTCTGAATTTTTTTTAATCAACAGTCTGTGGGTGACAATTTCAGTTACGCTCCTGTGTTACCGGAAAAGAGCTTTGCTCAAGCACCGCGCTTCGCGCGATGCTGTAGAACTTCGCTCTATACTATGCCACTACGGGGAATATCCAATCCTCGTATTAAATTAATATGTAACAGGCATTGCCTGAGTAGAGCGAAGCTGATTATTGTCAAATATAAAACCTTCATAATTAATTTTCTCAAGTGATACAAAAAATGTTAAATAATTTTATTTTTCCAAATTGATTTTTATTTAAAGCTAAATTGTATACATTAATTTTGTTTTTAAAAAAAGAACAAAAAAGTGTGAGAATTATTTTCATTGACGTCAAAAATATGTGACGTCATTTGTTAGACGCGTCATAGAAATAGTTCTATGAGGCGCGTAATCTCGCTTGGGCGAGATTTGGTAAGTTGACATGCGCGTTGCCTGTTTTGCCCAGTGTATCCGGTTCCGGTCTGAATTTTTTTTTAATCACAGTCTGTGGGTGACAATTTCAGTTATGCTCCTGTGTTACCGGAAAAGAGCTTTGCTCAAGCACCGCGCTTCGCACGATGCTTTAGAGCTTCGCTCTATATTAATCATTATTTTTCATGTAGGATTGTAGGCCTATAAATTTATGAATGAAAATGGGGTTTAAGTTTTAACGTCCTTAAATTCTGCTCCACCAGCGATAATGAACACAGGCATATGTCTTGCAGTGTGCTACACAGGTGAAATTATTCTGTCCGGACAGCAATTCACCAATTGAAACCCAACTGCTTGTCAAGACAAACAGGCAAGGAGGGCTAGCTCTTTCACAGACCTCGTTTTTTTCTTCCCATGTGAACGACGATAGGCCCTATAGATGTTCTAATTTGTAATTTCTTTTTTATTTTCAAATTTTTTGATTTTCGTTTTCTCCTACCTATTTGATGTCATTAAAAATAATACCCTGTGATAGAGTCGGAATAATCCAGCCACTGATAGCTTCCATTCACTGATAGGTAACAGAGATGAATGAAGTCAGTAATGGCAGTTATATTATGTATCACGGTCGACCAATTTGGACCCACATGAAAAATAAATGCTTAGACCATAAAACATTTAGATATATTTTCCTTTAATACAGACTGCAGTGATTTAATTTTAACAGCTGATTAAAGCTATATAGTCATTTGTCTAAATTGACACCCTTCCATGTGCTGCATTTAGTTTTCTATAATTTCAGGCTAGATCTTTAGCAGCTCAAGTAGCAGAAACTGATCATATTAGATTTTTAGTTGGTACACAATCACTGCGGGCAGAAAATCAGGTATGATAAAAATTCTGTTACACCCATTACTATTAGTACCGGTAGTAAAAATAATACATTAACCAAATTCAACAATTTATGTTTTTGAAAATATGCCTAAAGAAAGATGATAATATTGCTACTTGAATAATATAGCAGTTCACCTCAATCTGATTTGAAATTGACACCAAATAATTTTGTACTGTTTGACAACAAATTCTGGGGTAGAGCTTCACTAACAGGCTGATTAATCTCTTGATAACCCATTTTAATTGAAGTTTACATACACATTTTTTTGTCAGGTTCACCACATAGATTTTGATGATGAGAATAATTTGATAAACAAAAACCTATATTTACATAGAGAAGGAGAAATATGGCACATGAGTGCTTCAACATTTGATAAATCTCTTGTAACTACATGTTATAACAAAAGTAAGTATACAAAACATTAGGCCCTACAGGTGACGATATCTTATGCTTATTGTAGTTTAAATATAAAATAAAGACCGGTGTAGGATAATGACAATCACAGTGTCATTTCATACGACAGTGTCTAATGTCCAAGATAGTGATTTTAAATCCCATCTTGTTCAATTAATACTCTCAAAAATAATTCTTCATTTGTTTTGACGTGACAAGGAGTAGGGTCGCCTGTCCAACCTCGTGGGTTTTCTCCAGGTCCTCCGGTTTCCTCCCACTGCTAAAGACTCCTACACGCAAGCGAATGATTAAAATAAAATTGAACCATGCGTTAGTCCCGAAATGACCTAGTTTGTGTTGAGTGGATGTTAAACCCCATTTCTCTCTCTCTCATTTGTTTTGCTTATTGGAGGGGGAGCGGACTTTAATATTCTAATATTTGTAAATCTCTTTTATAACCCATTTATTTTCTCAAAAATGAGGTATCTGTATTGTTTTTGTTAAATTAAAATCTTTAACTCTTTTAATTGGTTAACTTGATTCATGGATTTGTTTGTTTAATCTTTTATAGCAAGCGATTCCAAATCAGAAATCTGTGGAGCTGTATGGAAATTACCAGGTGATTTTGATGATGCAGTGCATGATGATCAAACTACATCACATCAACCACTTGAACTTGTTTGTCATTTAAATAAAGATGATTGTGGTGATTTAAAGAGGTAGGCCTACATAGTTATATTTCACATGAACTTGACAAAAAATTTAAAGCTATGTATATGTTGATTATTCATGGATGAATTCATTGAGGAGACACCTTCTAGCACATACCTTAAATTTCATAAAAAGGAATAATATATGTGCCACTTAAAATTTTATCAGTTCGTATTCACAGATACTGATAGGTTAAGACATAAGTGAGATAGTATTGATTGCATTAGAAACAAAGTATGTATTATGTGGGCGATGTGTTTGAAATGGTTAAGAAAATATGTATACTTCAAAAGTATATAAAATATTAACTTTGAACATGATGATTATCCTTTGTTTACTTTCAGTGTTTTGTGGCAGCCAACAGGTGAATCTCATAATCTGGTTGGCTTGACAGATAGTCACATATTACAGTGGAGTTTAGATACAGAATCATTATCAGCCAAAGTATTTATAATATTTACATCTTTATCTATAAGAAAACCAAATTGTGTACTCATTAAAAAAAAAAAAAGACAGCCGCTGTGTCAAGGGGGATAATTTGCTGTTTCACCAATTATCTCCCTTGACACAGCTATGGGGATACTTGACTGAATGTTCCGGAACTGAATTCTCTTAATTCCAAACATGGTGTTGATCAAGTGAAAAGGATGATTTGGGGATACAATACATGTGTCAACCACATAAGAAAATATCTAAACCATCCATGACTGCGGAATCATATTTGTTGTGTTTAAATATGTTTTGATTCTACTCACATCATCTGAGTTGTCGGGACAGGTAGAACTGTTACAGGACTGAATTCTGTGTCACTCGATTGTAATTCTGTCAGTTCAGAATGCCGGACTGACAATAGAGTATCCTCGATATGTTTAATGAGCTCAAGTCTTTGAAGGTCTTTTGATGGATTGAAGAATCCCTTGCAAACTACAATATTGAGAAAATTGAATCTTTTAAAGGACTGCCAATCCAAAAATGGTCCAATTCCAATCAATATTTACAAGGATATGATAAATTTGGCATCCTCTGCAGTCAATGCAAATGGGATATAGTCATAAGCCAAAAGAATCTATGCACACTACAAAATTGGAAAGTTGAAAATACTTTTGTTGTTACTCAATAAGTTTTTGCCTGTAGAATGTATTGACAGTGGCTTCAGGCTTTGCTAATTAACATTTCTTTATTTTAGACTATTAATACAACACCTATAGCAGGTAAAGCCCAACCGAAATTAACATGTGGTCGATGGAATCCTCATCATAATTGTGCTCAGATTGCTACAGCTAATGACACAACAATACGAGGCTGGGATCTTAGATCTATGGAGTAAGTAAAAGTCCAGTTTATAATTTTGTTATTTATTTATTTACCCGTTTCTTTCTTGAAGACCTGAATCCACTTTAATTAAAGAGAAATTAAATCAATATTGTTGAAGTAATATTGAAAATAAACTTAGTAGACTCACTTACATACCAAAGTTGCAAATATCCTGACATGTTTAGAGTAATGTACTTTGTGCAAGCATTCCTTGAAAACTATGAATTACACCACTTAATAAACCACAGCTGATAAATTGATAGTTAAAACAGCAATTGTTCCAAATTTTGCATACAATCTTATTTGAACACCCCTGATATAGTCAAATCACATCAAAACCAACATTGTTTTGGGGTTTTTTACCAATAGACCAAAACCTGCTATGTGCCTATGCCCACCTAGCATGCTTAACACATGTGCACTGTATCGTAAGGTCTGTCATTGAGTCAATTGGCGTGGTTTCGACTCCCCGGTTGTACGTGACAACCTCCCACTGCTAAAGACCCCTGTGCGCAAGCAAATTATTGAACTAAATTGAACCATGTGTTAGTCCCGAAATGACCTAGTTTGTTTCGAGTGGACGTTAAACCCCTTTTTCTCTCTCTCCACCTAGCTTACATTTTTTTTGTTTTTCTTGAACATTATATATTACTTCACGGGTTGTTATTCTTATTAGTTGTCCCCCGCCTTTCGAAGAAAGCAGGGGACTATTAAAATGGGTTCGTCCGTCTGTCTGTCTGTCCGTCACACTTTTTGGGACACAATAACTCTCTTCCTAATTGAGCTGGTGTATGTGTTTATTAGGTCAATGCCTTGATGGAGTTCGAAGATGAGCATTTTCCGCTTAGGGTAAGCAGAGATAAGCAATTTGATTGGTTGATGCTTTGGGACACGATAACTCTCTTCCTAATTGAGCTAGAATGTTCAAACTTGGTGTATGTGTTGATTAGGTCAATGCCTTGATGGAGTTCGAAGATGAGCATTTTCCGCTTAGGGTAAGCAGAGATAAGCAATTTGATTGGTTGATGCTTTGGGACACGATAACTTTTAATTGAGCTAGAATGTTCAAACTTGGTGTATGTGTTTATTAGGTCAATGCCTTGATGGAGTTCGAAGATGAGCATTTTCCGCTTAGGGTAAGCAGAGATAAGCAATTTGATTGGTTGATACTTTGGGGCACGATAACTCTCTTCCTAATTGAGCTAGAATGTTCAAACTTGGTGTATGTGTTGATTAGGTCAATGCCTTGATGGAGTTCGAAGATGAGCATTTTCCGCTTAGGGTAAGCAGAGATAAGCAATTTGATTGGTTGATGCTTTGGGACACGATAACTTTAGTTCTAATTAAGTGAGATTGATGAAACTTGGTGTATAGTTTCATTACAGTAATACCTTGACTAAGTTTGATAATTGAGCATTTTCTGCTCAGGGTAAGCAGAGCGATACGCAATTTGATTGGTCGAGACTTTGGAAAACAATAACTCTCCTACTTTGATTGTCCCCCGCCTTTCGAAGAAAGCAGGGAACTATTAAAATGGGTTCGTCCGTCTGTCTGTTTGTCTGTCTGTCCGTTCCGCTTATGGTAAGCAGAGATAAACAATTTGATTGGTTGATCTTCGAATTGAGTAAATGTTCATGCTTATTGTCCCCCGCCTTTCGAAGAAAGCAGGGAACTATTAAAATGGGTTCGTCCGTCTGTCTGTTTGTCTGTCCGTTCCGCTTAGGGTAAGCAGAGATAAACAATTTGATTGGTTGATGCTTTGGGACACTATAACTTTAGTTCTAATTAAGTAGATAAACAATTTGATTGGTTGATGCTTTGGGACACTATAACTTTAGTTCTAATTAAGTGAGAGTGATGAAACTTGGTGTATAGTTTCATTACAGTAATACCTTGACTAAGATCGATAATGAGCATTTTCTGCTCAGATTAAGCAGAGCGATAAGCAATTTGATTTGCTGAGACTTTGGAACACAATAACTCTCCTTCGAATTGAGTTAAAATGTTCAAAATTGGTGTGTATGCTTATTGTCCCCCGCCTTTCGAAGAAAGCAGGGGACTATTAAAATGGGTTCGTCCGTCGTCTGTTTGTCTGTCTGTCCGTCACACTCCTTCGAATTGAGTTAAAATGTTCAAAATTGGTGTGTATGCTTATTGTCCCCCGCCTTTCGAAGAAAGCAGGGGACTATTAAAATGGGTTCGTCCGTCTGTCTGTTTGTCTGTCTGTCCTTCACACTTTTTGGGACACAATAACTCTCCTCCCAATTGAGGTAGAAGGTTCAAACTTGGTGTAGGCCTTTATTAGGTCAATGCCTAGATGGAGTTCGAAGATGAACCTTTTCTGCGCAGGCTAAGCCGACATAAGTCATTTGATTGGTTGATGCTTTGGGACACGATAACTTTAGTTCTAATTAAGTGAGAGTGATCAAACTTGTTAGTTAGACATTAATTAACTTATCCAGACCATAATCAACTCTTTATGGCATCGGATTTCTCTGATATTAAATAGATTAGAACAGTTCAGCCATATTTTGATTTAAGCTAAAAATGAATGAACGAGACTTAGCTTCAAACAACCATTACGGTGGGTGAAATTATTGCACACGTCTTGTCAATCCTTCAAAGGCTAATATCTTCGCTCAAAATAATTTGAATGAAATTTTCGTATTATTCATTTTACATTATCTTTTATCGAACTATTATAGCAAGAATGGCTAGCTCTTTATCTAAATCTTACATAATGTATCTATAATAAAAAAAACTCCAATAGTACTCCCCTAAATTTCTTACTTTTACATAAATATCAGCATGTTGAACTATTATAAATCATTATTTTTGTCCCCCACCTTTCGAAGAAAGCAGGGGACTATTAAAATGGGTTCGTCCGTCTGTCTGTCCGTCACACTTTTTGGGACACAATAACTCTCCTTCTAATTGACCTAGAATGTTCAAACTTGGTGTAGGTGTTTAGTAGGTCAATGCCTTGATGGAATTCGAAGATGAGAATTTTCTGCTTAGGGTAAGCAGAGATAAGCAATTTGATTGGTTGATGCTTTTGGACACGATAACTTAAGTTCTAATTAAGTGAGAGTGATGAAACTTGGTGTATAGTTTCATTACATCAATACCTTGACTAAGTTCGATAATGAGCATTTTCTGCTTAATGCAAGCAGAGCGATAAGCAATTTGATTGGCTGAGACTTTGGAACACAATAACTCTCCTCCTAATTGAGCTAGAATGTTTAAACTTGGTGTAGGTGTTTTTTTGGTCAATGCCTTCATAGAGTGCAAAGATGAGCATTTTATGCATATGGTAAGTAGAGATAAGCAATTTGATTGGTTGATGCTTTGGGACACGATAACTTTAGTTCTAATTAAGTAAGAGTGATGAAACTTGGTGTATAGTTTCATTACATCAATACCTTGACTAAGTTCGATGATGAGAATTGTCTGCTTAGGCTAAGGAGCAATAAGCATTTTGATTGGTCAAGACTTTGGAACATAACAACTCTGCTTCGAATTGAGGTAGAATGTTTAAACTTGATGTAGATGTTCGTCTTGACTGAGTTCAATGATTAACATATTGAGCTAAAGCTAAACAGAGAAAAGCAATTTCCTTGGTCGATGCTTTGGGACAAGATAACTTTGATTCTATCTGATAGAGAGTGATGAAACTAAGTTGATAATCAGTTTGATTGCTCGATACTTTTGAAAAAATTAGATGTGCGATTAATTAATATGTGTCATCTATTTATTTGGGGATTTCGGCGGGGGACATCAGCCTCACTGTTGGCTTGTTTTTATTGTTTTGTGAATGCTCCTACTAGTTACAAAAGAAAAATATGCAACAACCTTTGCGGACTGCTAAGGTCCCATTTCATTGGTTGGCCACCTATATTTGTCAGATTTGCATCCAAATTTAGAGTTGCTCATCAATTTTTATACGCCCACATTTTCATGTGGACGCATTATGCCGTCGCCCCTGTCCGTCCGGACGTCCACAATTGTTTGTGGACTCTCTACAGGTCACAATTCTTATCCGATTTTGACGAAACTTGAAATATAGGTTTATCCCCAAAAGATCTCGGCTGCTTTCGATATTGGCATGTATCGGATCGAAACTTCATGGATTATGTCCCCTGATTGTACGAAAAATCACGTTTTTAGCTTGTGGACCCTATAGAGGTCACAATTTTTATCCGATTTATTTGAAACTTGAAATGTTTATAACCCAAAGATCTCGGTTCCTTTCGATATTCGCGCATATCGGACCGTAACTTCCTGAATTATGGCCCCTGATTGTACGAAAAATCGCGTTTTTAGCTTGTGGACCCTATAGAGGTCATAATTTTTATCCGATTTAAAAAAACGTATTAATATATAACCGTTACACCTTAAGGAAGGTTGAGTTCGAATTTCGTGAAAATCAGCCCAAAATTGACAGACAAAATGGCTGCCGTTCGTTCTCAAATAGCGTAAAAATATTGTATATCAAGGTTGTGGACCCTATAGAGGTCACAATTTTTATCCGATTTTGTTGAAAATTGACATGTAAGTTTATAACCCAAAGAACTTGGTTCCTTTCGATATTCGCGCATATCGGACTGTAACTTCCTGAATTATGGCCCCTGATTGTACGAAAAATCACGTTTTTAGCTTGTGGACCCTATAGAGGTCATAATTTTTATCCGATTTAAAAAAACGTATTATTATATCACTGTTACACCCTAAGGAAGGTTGAGTTCGAATTTCGTGAAAATCGGCCCAAAATTGACAGACAAAATGGACGCCGTTCGTTCTCAAATAGCGTAAAAATATGGTATATCAAGGTTGTGGACCCTATAGAGGTCACAATTTTTATCCGATTTTTTTGAAACTTGAAATGTAAGTTTATAACCCAAAGATCTTGGTTCCTTTCGATATTCGCGCATATTGAATTGTAATTTCCTGAATTATGGCCCTTGATAATCACTTTCTTGTTAGCTTGTTCTCTATCCATCTCTCGAAAATGTGGGCGTATCATGCCTGGCAGCCGCTGGTGTTATTTTCATGTAATCAAGTTTTCTATTTACAGGCAAGTGTATACAATAGAAAATGCACATGGACAGTTAGTAAGAGATATAGATTTTAATCCTAATAAACAATATTACCTGGTTAGTTGTGGTGATGATTGTCGAGTTCGTTTCTGGGATACAAGAAATGTCAGTGAGCCTTTAAAAGTTTTATCTGAACATTCTCATTGGTAAGAAATTTTAAATACATACCTTAGAGACATACATATGACAAAAACAAATATCTGTGTAAAACTTTGTACATATACTGAGATGCAATGGAAATACACCACTTTTATAAATTAATGATTGTAAATCTTATTTAATCTTGTAATTCTGAATGTAACAACATCAGATGATCACAGTAACATGTAAGAATGATCACGTCATCTCACAACAGATCATTTCTCTAAAAAGAAAGGGAATGTTAAACAAAGGATTTTATGGCGCAGACATGGGGTATAAAAAGTGGCTTTTATAAAGCCAGGTTCAGTACAACTGGTGTAATTGTGTGGAAGATGCAACAATGTGCCAAGTTTGACACCAGAACACGGAGTATGTGCCGTGTATGGCTGCTATAGGTGGACATATATTACTAATTTTTTTATTTTTTCCCCTTAAATCTTCATTTCTATCAAATGTAAATTAAAGTTGTTGTGACTTCTGGGCTGTTGTTAATTTTATTTTTTCTATAAATGTTCAGCCTACTATTATGTCAAAAGTTACATTTTAGCTGTATTATGTCTCATCAGTACTTCAAATCAAATCAGTGGTGCCTATTCATTTCATTGATTTACAATAATTTGTTTTATCTTTTTCTAATTTTGTCATCTATTATTTCAGGGTATGGGCAGTTCGCTATAATCATTTTCATGATCAATTAGTTCTAACATCTAGTAGTGATAGTCGAGTTATTCTCAATAATATTATCTCTCTTTCCTCGGAACCCTATGGGGACCTGGCAGAAAGAGATGATGAAAGTGATGATGATGATGACAGCTATACAGAAGGGTAAAATGTCCTTTTATTGCCAAGGCTCAAAATATTTTTTTTTCTAATTAAGAGAACTTGTATGCAGCTTTTATATTCAGTTATCAAGTCGGACAGTAATCCTTAATCTAGACTTTATTTTTGCTGCTTCCTTTTTGTTTCATATTTCCTGTCAATCTTTTAACTACAGTATGGTCTAACTAAATGCATTATAAATATTTAAAAATCCGTGCACAACAGCAGTACAAAAATAGACTTAGGTTGAAATGAGAGGTGGTTTATTCAACTTCATAACATTTCATCAGCTTAAAAGATCCTTTATCAAATGATAACCTGAAATGTTATGAAGATGAATAAAACCTAAGTCTGTTTTTGTACTGCTGATGGGTAGGGTTTTTAAATATCCAGTCCTTCACGTTCAAGGGGAGCGTTTGCTCCTGCTCCTCTCGATGCACGTCGGCTTTCCTTCGAAGTAGTCATTAAAGACTCCTGCAAATTAGCTAAATCGCACTCCTAAATATTGAGATTAATAAACTACTTTCAGTTTTTGTTTACTTTTAAACTGCATATATTCAAGGTATCAGGAGCTTTTTATGGCTCCCGCACAATTTTATAAACATGAAGGACTGAATATCTAGTAATGTCTACTCTCTCCACTGGCATCATCATTTGATCCAGCAGCTACACAGATCTACCAGCCTGTTTAGTCTCTGCTACTCTTTTAAGGGAGTGTTGTTGTGCCTTCTCTTGTTTCCTAAAGTCATTAGAAGTGACTCAACTAGATCATAATAAGATTTCTCATATACTCATCATGAACAAGTTTAAACTTATTTTAGGGCTCTTTATCACACAGTATTAAGACAGAGTTCTGTAGACTAGGATGTGATCAACAGGTGCGTTGTAGATAACATGAAAGGGAATAAGGATCTAAATTAAAGTAGATAACATGAAAGGGAATAAGGATCTAAATTAAAGTATCGTGAAATTATTCCTATTTACAAATTCTGAGCAAATACTTTCTGCATATCATTCTGATTTCATTTTTCATAAAAATTATATTCTTTCTTATAGACCAGTTGAAGCACCTACCGATGGAGTGATAGCCACATATGAGGAACATGAAGACAGTGTTTATGCAGTAGCCTGGTCAACAGCAGATCCGTGGGTGTTTGCTTCGTTAAGTTATGATGGACGTTTAGTAGTAAACCGAGTACCTAGAGCAGAAAAATATAAAATATTATTATGAAACAAATTTCATCATATCTTAATTTATTAGAAGAATGTGATATGGAAAGACTGATTATTTTAATTTAGTGATGGGGACAAAAGATATTTGCATTAAAATTATTACAAGTACTTTTAACTGACATTCCTTATACATCAGCTAGTTGTATTGTAGGATATAAAATTCTAAATCAGCAAGTTGTGCAATAAAATATAAATCTTAACTGAAATGTTGCATGTATATAAATTATATATATATATATTATGTATTTCACAAAAAGTAATAGAAATGGAGTTAATCATATGAGGACTGAATTAATGCAAATTAATGGCTGTGTTACCCAATAGTTTTCGGTACATCATTAACATGTTTTCTACTTTACCGATTTCTGTGATTGGTCTAAATTGCTTGACACATTCCATTCTTGGAGACCATTCGATATGTCCAGTCAACAAATATTCGTATTGGTCTTGTTTGCCTTAAATTTCAACAAAAAGCAAAACATTTTTGTATGGAAATCTAATCAGTATTTTGCTAACGGTCACTGGGTACAGAAATGGCTGCACTGTTGCACCCATATGGACTTTCGCCATTTTGTGACCACTTCATGTTTGGGTCAATCATGTGACATCAACGTCAGTCTCTTTTGAACAAATGTTGGTCATTTGCGTTGTCTGCGTTGGGTTTAAATGATCAGATCATGGGTTCATTATAGGAGTTTTTATTAGTCACATCTTGTTCTAGATTTTGTATGATTGATGACATATTAAATAAATGAAAATCCTGAATATAATTCAGTTTAATAAAATAATAATAATAACAAACCAACAGTGAGGCTGATGTCCTACGCCGAAATCCCAAAATGACACATATTAATTAATCGCACATTTATTTTTTTCAAAAGTAACAAGCAATCAAACTGATTATCAACTATACACTAGGTTTCATCACTCTCTATCAGACAGAATCAAAGTTATCTTGTCCCAAAGCATCGACCAATGAAATTGCTTAGCTCTAGCTTGAAATGTTAATCATTGACCTCAGTCAAGACATTCACCTAATGAACATCTACATCAAGTTTAAACATTCTACCTCAATTAAAAGCAGGGTTGTTAGGTTCCAAAGTCTTGAACATTCAAATTGCTTATCGCTCCTTAGCCTAAGCAGAAAATTCTTATCATCGAATTTCGTCACACCAAAGTTATCGTGCCCCAAAGCATCAACCAATCAGATTGCTTATCTCTACTTACCGTAAGCAGACAATTAGACCGGGAGCCCAGGGGGTCAACCTAGCTGAAAAGTGTACCAATTTTCTCCTATATGGTATCATTGTATGTATATCTGGTATCATCAGAATGTAAGTCTGCCGGGTTTCTGGTGGTGGGTGTGGTATTCCACACCCTAAATGCCTTGATCCCCAACTAGGCTAGATTAGCTCAAAAGTGTACCACACGAAAATCATACAGCAGTGTACCGTACATCTTCAGGTATTACAAAAACACTCTGACAGACATTTCTAGTGGTGGGGTACCCCTGACAGAGTTATGTAATTGCCAGACATTTGTAGTGGTGGAGTATCCCTGACAAGAGTTATCTAATATTTAGACCAAAGCTAGGCTAGATTAGCTGAAATCTGTACCACCTAAAACAGCTTTGGAGTTGTTCAGTACCACCCATAGGCGTACGGGGAAATTTTTGACTGGGGGGGGCGGTGGTGGTTGGTGCCCAAAAAATGTAGTTAGGTTCTTAGTATGTTACATAATAATAATAAATTCGCTGTTAAGCTGGACACATTCAAGAACACAATATTTTTTTTATACAACTTTTACAATTGTGTGCCCAAATTTTCCCAGCATTTGGTGCCCACCACAGGAGTCATGAATGACCACTGCCAGACTGTTTGTGTGGTGGGTTACCCCTAACAGACACGCCCCAAAATGCCAACTAGGCTAGCTTCGCAGACACTGTTCCCGTGTTCTAAAAAATTAGATTTTTAGCCAGGATGCGTAGGATACTAATACCTAGCACGTATGGAAGAGGCGATAAACTGCGATTGCAAGAAATTAATTTTTGGGCAAAAAACATTTTATGGGGCTAAAAATGCGTTTTTGAAAAATAAAATTGTTCCTACAACTGCAGTTTATCGCCTCTTCCATATGTGCTAGGTATTAGTATTCTACGCATCCTGGCACAATTTTTAATTTTTTGGACCACAGGAACAGTGCCGACTAATCTATCCTAGTTGGGGGTCGTGTTATTTTGTGCGTGTCTGTTAGGCACAACCCACCACACAAACTGTCTGGCAGTGGTCATTCATGATTCCTGTGGTGGTACTGAACAACTCCAAAGCTGTTTTAGGTGGTACAGATTTCAGCTAACCTATCCTAGCTTTGGTCTGGAAATTAGATAACTCTTTGTCAGGGATACTCCATCACTACAAATGTCTGGCAATTACATAGCTGTCAGGGGTACCCCACCACTAGAAATATCTGTCAGAGTGTTTTTGTAATACCTGAAGATGTACGGTACATTGCTGTGCGATTTTCATGTGGTACACTTTTGAGCTAATCTAGACTAGTTGGGGGGCATGGCATATTTTGGGCGTGGAATACCACACCCACCACCAGAAACCCGGCAGACTTACATTCTGATGATACCAGATATACATACATTGATACCATATAGGAGAAAATTGATACACTTTTCAGCTAGGTTAACCCCCTGGGCTCCTGCTCTAAATGTTTATCACCGAACTCCACCAAGGCATTCGCCTAATGAACGCCTACACCAAGTTCGAACATTCTACCTCAATTAGAAGGAGAGTTAGTGTGTTCCAAAGTCTCGACCAATCAAATTACTTAATGCTCTGCTTACCCTGAGCAGAAAATGCTCATTATCGAACTTAGCCAAGATATTGATGTGATAAAACTATGCACCAAGTTTCCTCACTCTCACTTAATTTGAACTAAAGTTATTGCGTCCCAAAGCATGAACCAATCAAATTGCTTATCTCTGCTTACCCTAAGCAAAAAGTTCTCATCTTCGAACTCCATCATGACATTTACCTAATAAACATGTACGCCAAGTGTGAAACATTCAAGCTAAATTAGAATGAGAGTTATTGTGTTCCAAAGTCTCGACCAATCAAATTGCTTATCGCTCTACTTACCCTGAGTAGAAAATACTCATTATCGATCTTAGTCAAGGTAGTGATGTAATGAAACTATACACCAAATTTCATCACTCTCACTTAATTAGAACTAAAGTTATCGTGTCCCAAAGCATCAACGAATCAAATTGCTTATCTCTGCTTACCCTAAGCAGATTTGATTTTCGCCACTGTTTTCCCCTTTCCTTTTCTTCTGTTTACATTTCTGAATTTCATCATTAAACCAATTTCTATTTGATCTGATAGTTATACTTTTAGTTTGAAACAGTACATGTTTATCTAATAATTTAATAAAAAATTTATTATATTGTTCAATCTTATGATGAATATTATCATGTTCTTTGATCTGTTCATAAAACTGCTCATAAGTTATGCCGGCTTTGAATTGCTCTACATCAGTGTTTCTAGATTTTCGGAAAGATATGGTGCGTTTTATTGGTCCAGGTTTATAAAGCGCCAGTTTAGCGAAAACACCGTAATGATCGGATATCAAGTCATTTTTAACATGAATGGAATTTAGTAAATTATTAATTCTCGTAATAATAATGTCTAGGATGTGGCCAGTGCGATGAGTAGGCTCATTTATATGCCGAGTAAGATTAAATGCGTTGATAAGTTCAATGAATTTCTTTGTATGTCTGTCAAGTGGGATATATCAAGGTGAACATTGAAATCCCCAAATATAACTAAACGCCCCGACGCGGAAGACAAAACAAGGAGTAGATCAGAAAATTCTTCGAAAAAGTTAGATATGTTATTATTTGATGTTGGCGGGCCAATAATCTACCACAAGATGGATAATTTCACCTTTGCACTGAAATCTCAGCTGCGGGATCTCGAAGCTGTTCTATTTGGATGAATTGAGTATAGATGATATCATAGACTTTCTGTGGACAACGGCGATACCACCCCCATTCATTCTCTGTTAGCAAGTGAAAAATCGTAATTTTCAGGGATGAGTTGGTTTATTGCAAAGTTATCTGTTGACTTTAACCACGTTTCAGTTAAAACAAAAATGTCAAGATCATTATCATATGTATTCTTGTAATCCACCAGTTTTGTCTTTGACAGATTGTGTATTAATTTAACACAAATTAAAAGAATCAGAGATTTGGGGTTTATATGGCAGTTCTTCAATATGTTTATTGGTTGGTATTTTGTAAAGTTTGGAAAAGTTTACTTCCATGTGTGCCTTGAATGATTTAGTTCTGTTAGTTGTAATCACTTTGATCTTTCTATCCCATTGCTTTCCTCGCCTGTCCAACCTCGTGGGTTTTCTCCGGGTCCTCCGGTTTCCTCCCACTGCTAAAGACCACTATTCGCAAGCGAATTATTGAAATAAAATTAAACCATAGGTTAGTCCCGAAATGACCTAGTTTGTGTCGAGTGGACGTTAAACCCCATTTCTCTCTCTCTCTCCATTGCTTTCCATCTCTGACCCCTCTACTTCGAACATAATGGGAACGATGATTACTGTTGATCAGTTGGGGAGGATTAATGGTTGTTAGGGAGTTCAATTGATAACTTGAGGTGATCATGCTAAAAATCACAATGACACAGCACAAGCAAAAGTAAAAAAGACTCAAATACACAGAGCACATAAAACACAGCTGCCTCTAAGGCATTTACAAGTAATTTTCAACTAGACTTTCAACGACCAATAAAGATTGAAATAATATTAGTTTCCCTACCTTTGATTTAAAATATGGGGAGTGTCGTCTGTTCTAAAACTATAAACACTGAGTTTAAAGATATAGTTCCTTAAATACATACCATCAATTAAAAAACATGTATGCTACCAGGAACAATATATTTGTATTGCTGAAAATATATCTTTTGAGATACTACAGAGGAAGCCCTTTTGTCAGTCTACAATATCTACATAAATTGAGAATTAAATCAGAGAAAATCGAATCGGTGGAGGAGATTAGAAATAAAATGAGATTGAACATGTACATTTTACGCGTCAAAGGCGTTCTAAAATCCAGAGGGAAAAACATTTAAAACTGAACACATACTATTCTGAAAGTAAACACATAGTGTTCTCATAGAAGAAAGACGCGCCAGAGTGTTCAAAAAGTGTTTCAAAATAGTGTTCTAAAATGGCGTATTTGGTATTCTAAAAGCGGACGCCGGGTTTACAGTGTATGCAGTGTGCTACTAGGGGAATTTTGAATTTCAACTGTCAGGGGTTCTTTTATGTGCAAACCACACTGTACACTCTACACAGGACCTCATTTTTCTGTCCCATTCAATGGACTATACACTGTTCCTTGCCCAGCTCTACGGACTGCACCACTGACAAGGGAACCATGATGCCCGAAATTCCCTGAGAACTTTCTCAGCCAACACCGCGACTGAACACTGGATCTCCTGTCCCGTTTAGTGAGTCTACTGTTGGCTACTGGAAGAGAATAACGGAGAATTTGTAATGTAATGCAATGCAGTTTATTTCAAAAGTATACAAGGCCATAAGACCCATTTTTACACTGCAAATTATTATAAAGCGTTTAAAATTGATCCCCAGATCAACCTATGAGTATTGTGCATTTTGATTATTAGATCAATATTTCACTTTCATTAGTCTGATTTCTACTATAATGTAATTTGGACTCTTCTGTGTATTAAAGCCATGGATTAAATGTGTAGTCACTGTTGGTGGACAGCACAGTAAACCAGAAACTCTAAACTAGAAATTACAATGGTTGTGTATTATAAAGCATGGATTATTTGTGTATTTACTGTGCATTATTAGGTAACTCACAGTAGAACTATTTTTTAGACACAAAAAGCAGGAAAATCCAAAATGTCCAAGTTAATGATAAAACCAATTACAACTACAAAATTAATCGGAATGTCAAGTTGAAAACTTGGTTATTTCAGCAAATACAAATTAAATATATTAGCAAACACAACTCAGATATATTTAAAATCAAAACCATCATGTATAAATAAAATATAATGTAAATTTCAAATGATCATAAGCACCATTGGTTAATTTGTATAATTTTGAGATTGATGCAGGGTGAGCATGGGGGTGGAGGGGGGGAGAGACTACTGGACCAAGCAACGGTAAATTGGGTGGCCAAACAAGAGTATAACATATTATTATTCCCGATTTTTTAATGGTACATAAATGGAAAAAAAAAAATTAAAATGAGCATGACATCTGCATAAAAACGAGGTTTGCCAATTGCATTGTGCTTCGCGACATGTTATTTTTCTTATACATTTAATTTTCAGTTTTTTTATAGATGACTAATTCAGTACAGAAATTCAACATAAAACCTGCACTCATTGAAACATAAATTTAAAAAGATGAGGAAAAAGCCGCTCAAAATGTTTCCATCCTCGATTCGCTCGACGTTTATTAACTACAATTAACTACATTTCAGGAAATGGGTCGATAAAATGTTAACAATGGCCTTCAAAGCAAGGTTGTATCAAAGGAAGAGTAGAGTCGGTTTATAAAAGTAAAATTCGTTAAAATCTAAAACGTCAAACTGCATTATGACAAGTCTGTGAAATTGATTGACTAATCATTAAATCAGGCTATGATAATATTTCATGACAAAAATTCACTTCCACCAAACTTTATGTAGACTTGTACATCCAGCCCTTAATACACTATCAAAACTAACGGTAAAGCGTCTGACCTAGTTTCTATGTCATGACAATCCTGACTAAGCTGAAGTGGAGTGAACAATATTATGGGATAGATAAGTTTTGCATGATGGCTTTGTTGAATTGAAACTTCAGAAATTTTCCTGGAAACCAAATTTGACGATAACGATGGTGGTGAGTAAATTCTGCAATGGTGAAGATACTAATAATAGACATGGGGTTCGGCATGTTTAGGCGACTGTTATCGATTGATTCGTCAATCACCGTGTGTAGTTGTACTGCTGCGATAACTGTCCTTTACCACAACAATAACAGTAGAAAACGTGGTATAAGTTTAATAAGCGGCGCTAGTCAACAGTTATATTGCTGACTGTTTAATACAAATTTGTAACATTGTTGCTTAGAACTATGCTGGTCTTCTATTTTTTTTATTTCACAGCATGATATTGCATTAGACATTAGCGATGTCCATCTTATACAGCTGAAATATACTGTACGAATATTACCTACTGGTCATTTGCACGCAGGAGGAAACGAAAAGTAATAAGAGGAAATAAGTAATATGAAAGATAATATTTCTTGGAGGACAGTATATCACCTATTAAACCCACTAAACTTGAACAGGCATTATATTATGCAAGAGCTAAATCTGCCTACTGCAGGACTTTCTTTAGGCCTGAAATGTTATATAAATTAATAATTCGACATTAATTAAATTAAACATACATTATCCAAGAGCTAAATCTGCCAACTGCAGGTCTTTCTTTAGGCCTGAAATGTTATCTAAATTATTAATTAGACATTAATTAATTTATCCAGACCATATATATAATCAACTCTCGATGGCATTGCTAGCCTGCGATATTTACTGGATTATGATCCCATTTGCTGTTCAAATCATGAAATGGATGATCAAGACTATGTTTTTTATCGTACAGATTTTAGCAATGATGATCGAGGCTACGCCGAAATTTCAATCACTTAATTCTCGGTTCATAGTGGATCAATTTGACTGAAATGTTCAGCATATTGCCTTTACATTATCTACTTTTTAACTATTATAGTAAGAACTGCCAGCTATTTATCTTATTTCACATAATGTATCTTTAACTTAACAAAACCATAATCAACTCTTGATGGCTGCAATATAAGTAGATTTAAATACGTTTTGTGGTCGATGCAGTTACTGTAAAAATGGATCATTGAAACTTTGTTTATTATGGTAACAAATGTAGTAATGACAATCAAGGCTAGGCTATAATTGTATCAGAGTGAAGTAATTTGACATAAATTTTCAGCATATTCTCTTTTCATTATCTACTTTTTAACTTTTATAGCGAGAACTGTCAGCTCTTTATCTAATCTTATCTAATGCCGCTTTAAGTTGGCTGAAAGTATATTTAAATTATAGAATTATTGAATTGCTAGCATCTAACATGTCGTTCATCGCTGGCTGAAAGTATATTTAAATTATAGAATTATTGAATTGCTAGCATCTAACATTATGTCGTTCATAGCTGCCTTAAAGATGCATTATATAAAATTTAGATAAAGAATATACAGTTCAAAAATAGATAATAAAAAATGAAATATATTGAACATTTCAGTCAAATTACTTTATTCTGAGCCAATTTATAAATGTTTAATGTTTTGACAAGAGTATTTTGCCGAAATAGTCCCAAATGTCAAGTACCATTATTATAGTTATAAACAGTGACCCGATTATCCATTTTAACTTTGAATTATTAAATGTCACAGATGTTCTAACCCATTAAATATCTCGGCCATCTGATGGTCTAGAGGGTTGATTATAGGCTTGTTATGTTAATATATATCTAGATAACAATTTTTATAACATTCAAGCTAAAATAGTCCTGCAATAGGCAGATTTAGCTGTTACATTGGGTATATTCATATTAATCAAAATACTGTTAGTGTGGAAGTTAATTAGCTATACACTATTATGAAGTATACACTAAAGAAAATTCTGAATTGTTTGCTTACAGATTTTGATATTTTCTTAAATGTAAAGAAATTGATAATTACTGTCAGAAATTTGAAATGAATATATAGTTAATAGTGTACCTTCTATATTATTAACATTTTTTTTATTGTGGATATATTTAATATTTTGTCAATAAGACAAAGTTTGCCCAATATTTTCGTTAAAAATCATCAATAATCTAATTACAAATGCTTACTAGTACACATTACTTGTACTTATTGTGTATCACAATATATATAAAAATAACATTTTACATACATGTATTGTATTATCACTTTATCCAGGATAAGTTTTTAATAATTGTTCAAAATATTAACAAAATATACCTATAAAATTGATCATTAGAAACTCTTGAAAATTGATTTTCAGTAGTTGACATGGTTTAGAGTAGATACCGTACATGTCAATTATAATCATTCAAAGGTGAGTGTAGTTTTGGTGTTAAAACCACCTGTTCACACAATAGTAGGAGAACACAGTGATAATATAGCTTTACAGTAGCCACGAGCCACTAACCAATCAAATTTCTTGTTGCCAACAAAGCCATATTCATAATGACTCTGTCGCGTGCCAGATGTACTAATCAATAACTAGGCAGATGTTTTCTTTATTTCATCCACCAAACTTTGACAATACCAGATACCCAATTTTGCCCCCAAAACTTTTCTAGGGATCTTTTCAAGAAAACCAGAACGTGGATTTACTCTAGTTTAAGGAAGTCATTGAATTCTGTAAGTAAACTGGCAATTTTTCACTGATTAAGAATAATTTATGAACTTGTTGCTAAAAAATCAATATTTTCCATTACCTTTCATTGGGCTGCTTAGACAAGGTTATTAGGAGACATCTTTGCACGGTTAGTTATTCTGTGACTTTTGACAAAGATCATTTTGGAGATTTGTTTTATTTATTGATTGATATTAATAGATATTTTAAAGATAGGCTTGGAGAAAAATGGTATCTTTTCTGGAATATTTATTCATGAAGGAGCATCTTCTTTGACAATTAAAGTTCCCATCGCAATTCAAAATGGCAGCCAAAAGTACTGTTATTGATTATTAGTTGAAATAAGTTTTTTTTTAGCTGTGTCCATTCATGTTACTTTATTATTGTTCATGAGAATCTTAAATAAAACTGAATATTTTGTTCAGTGACTCCATATATGATGAATTGGTGGATATAAATAAAAAGATTTGGTAGACAGTGTTAGTATTTACTATATGAAAGAATCTGTAGACAGTATTAAATTCTATACCCCATTATTGGTAGAACATTTATATTAAGCTCATCATGGAAAATATGTCTATAAATTTATTGAGATGGTGTTGTTGGAATCAGTTTAATAAAAAATAGTTCACTCTAAAATTATGTTGCTGTCAGTTTTATCTTTCTCAGCCAGTAGAACTCTTAATAATTGGTTTAATTAATATGATTATGTTATGCACATTATAAATTTTAGGTCATGTTTAGTACAATTAAATGTAAATAATGAACCCAATTTTTTGTTTATGCACATGATGTATTAACAAACCCAGTCTGTATAGATTTGTTTGGTGATCATTAGACCGAAACTAGACATTGTTCTCTTCATTCTTTTTTATACCCCCAAAATAATAACATTTTCACTTTATGTTATTTCAAGTACAATTGGATGTAAACCATGAGTCAGTTTTGTAGACACAATCAGCACAGCTTCTCAACAAAATACTTATATGTAACTAAAAGTAAATGAATACAGCACAGTGATAATTGAAACAGAAATATAAATGGATGTGCACACTTAAATCGAAAATGTTAAATTGAATTTTGCTACTGGATTCGACCTCCAGCAATGGCATGCAGAAGTGTTAGGATGCATGGGCCAACTCCTCTGAACAGGGGCGGATTGGGCCATGATCGCCCGAAGGGCCGGTCGGACAAAAAATGAAAAAAATAATTGTGTCCAATTGGTCTAAAAACCTTTTTCTGCTGAACATTATTTGGGGGGCGGGGGTATTGGACCGGCCATGGAGCGATAATGTTCATGTTGTATGTGGCCGGTGGCTTTAACGGGCCGCCACGCCATCACTGGAGTCTGGAATGGGCTGGTATAATAGACTTTCCGTGCTGGGTGTGGGCCGGAATTCGGAATCCTGCAATGGGGATTCTGAATTTCATCCGAAAATTTCATCGGATTCACCCGACACTGTCGCCCGCAAATTTACTAATTATTAAGTCACCTGCACCCTGTTTGTGGGGATACGCCAGAAACGTCTGCCAATGGTTCCCGGCCCCAATCCGCCCCTGCCTCTGAAGCATAGGGCCTAATACTAAGCTGACATGTTAAATATGTAAAAACAGATAAAACTAGAATTGCGATGCAGTAATGACAGGTTTCACTGGTGCCACTCTATCCTTGAACAGACGTCACTTCCCGTACCGCTAAACAGATTTCCACGTGAGCAGAATTAGCCAATAAATCCAGCAATGTCATGATGACATCACTTACGTTATCAACAAAATATTTAAATTGAATTACAGAAATAACCACTTCAATTGCCCTTTACATGACAGAAAAAATTGATTAAAATTTGAACAGAAATAACACTTTATAAAGCCTTATTAAAATGCAAAAAATCTTATAAAAGTGATACTGACACAATTAGTTATTTCTCGGCACGAAAGAACGTTAGAAACACTTTTGTGATATCTATATATATGATCGTATTGATTCATACTATTTGTCCCTTGAAATCAAATACCATACTTTATACGAGTAATGAATATCACTTACTTCAAACAAATATTTGTTTTGGAGAATAAATACACAGTTTTTGCCAAAAGACATTACTTCCGGTGGTAATGGAAATGTTAAATCAGTTTTAGGAAATCGTAAATGGCATTAGGCATCACGTTGTGAAAATTTTATGAAAATCGAAAAATAATTGACACTTTTATGGACCCAAAACCTTGAAAAGTTTTTGTCAAAATAAGGTCATTTCTGGTGCCAACAGAAAACTTTGTCGGTAATAAAAAAGTTGAGACTTTGCACCATTGAGCATATGAACTTTGTTTTATACAAATCGAGCAATAACTAATTAACCTAGAACCCATAAACTGAATAAGCCAATTATCAAGTCAAAAATTGTTCATATTTTTGCTCAAATCACATGACCCTTTAATTCTGGGTAAAACGCCATAAAAAAAATATTCATAAATAAAAAGTTTTTTGTCAAAATTAAAATTTCAAAATTTGGCGCCTAATATCTTCCAAGATTCGTCAAAAATCTAAAGAACCGTGGCTATTTGCTTTGTCTCAGGTTATGTCAAAATGTGTCAAGTGTTAAAATCCGATGATTATTGTTAAGATTTTTTATCTTGTTCTCTGTCCATCTCTTGCAAAATGAGGGCGTATCTTGCATGGCAACTGATTATTCTCCTTAAGAAAACAATACAGACTGAACCTGAATCTGCCCGATTGTTTTAGAAAGGCAACACAAATTCAAAACGAAAATGAACCTTCACAAGGTCTTTCAACAATTTTTTGTCATGCCAATGATTTTGCCAGCACTCACAAAGTTGCTGCCGGATCCTGAGAAACTTCAGAGATGATCATACAATGGCTTAAGATGCCCTCATGAATTGCCATCTCATTGAAAGAGATGTTTATTGAAATGAATTAAACTTTTACAGGTTTGTGGAATGAATTGAAATGAGGAATTAATACACAGATCTAAGAAACAGGAAACATGGCTGCTGTAAAAAGAAAAGGTAAGTTGATTCAGTTTATCTTCATGAATGTCTTGCCCCCACCGGCGCTTGCCATTAGAGAGAGAGAGAAATAAGGTAAAACAGACCTTTTGATCTAAAGTGCAGGAGTTAGACCAATTGGCTACCCAACCCCCATTTGTCATTACATGGTACATGTATGTCACATAGTGTAGACATGTTCTTAAGTTGTGACATACAAGATAGATAATATCTATGTTGAAATTAAACTTACTGACTTTAGAAACTTTGCTTATAGTTTAAGTTCAGATCAATAATTCACTATTATTTTATCTGTTATTTTTTAGCTCCTGATAATGGAGATGGTGGCAACAAGGTAAATGTCAAATTTATAAAAACTAACCATATTCATATAAATACCAATATGTTTCTTCATTTTGTTAATGTATGTTAATACATGTGTTTTGTAATATGAGTGCTTAAGTATGATATCATCTTTAATCCTCTTAAAATTACATTTTTCATCTCAAGATGTGAGAACACCCTGGTTCTGACAAGGTCAATAGTGACATAATAACTTCCATTTTTGTGGTCTTGTATAATACAAGACCACAAAAATGGTGTTCGGTGAGAGAGATGTTTATAGAAACTAAAATAGGGCAATATCTGGAACCTAAGCAAATAAAGAAAAAAAGTGAAAGTAAAAGTCAAATTATTAATTTAATTTACTCTTTATTTTTAGAGTGAACCAGAAAATAAAAAGGCAAAATTGAAATCTCCAGGTATGATTTAATTATTTGATTTGTGTTTAGTACAATTACTGTCCCGGTCACATGGATTACAAAATACAATTTTGGTCATGCTTTGAAAATAACAATTAGATAAGCATATTTATCAGATAATATTTATAGATATTAGCAAATTTGTGTGGATATTAGGATTCTTGTATTACTCTCCTAATCTAGCACCAAAATTTTATTTTTCAGAAGTACCGGAAGTTGCTTCTGGGTAAGTTTATTTAGATTTATGTAGGTTTATTACTTATGTAACATAGAGCTCCATTTTACAGCACAGAATTCAACATTTAATCAGCACAGCTTGGTCAATAATGGGCCAGTTTACGACATACATGTGTCTTCATTTCATCCTTTTGACATTTTTTGTAGCAATCTTCAGTAATAGCTGAAATCCCTACATTTGGCATTCATAATCGTTATCTTCACAGTAGTTACACCATGAAGATCTGCAACTTTAGAAACTTAATACAAATCTACCATCCACACATGTAACATTCGATAAAGAAGCATTTGGCTTTATCTTTAATTCAAAAACCCAAGAAAGTTACCTTTGAATTATATATATATATATATATATATATATATATATATATATATATATATATATATATATATATATATATATATATAAAATTAGTAATTTGAATTAGTTAGGTTTATTAATAAAGTATTTTGTGTATTAAATTTTAGATGTACATTTCCTGGATGTAAAGGTGAAGGTCACATTACTTCAAAGTATTCAAGACACAGAACGTAAGTATATACAAATATATGCAGATTCATCTGATGTGAAATGTAATAATAATGTGTGTAATTCAACAAAACAAACATCATACTGGTGATATCTTGTACAACGAAGTGGGTTTTTCCAGGTCCTTTGGATTTCACCCACTGCTAAAGACCCCTACAGGTATACATGTATGTGTACATACAAGCAATATATTAAAATAAAAATGTTTGTCCTGAATTTACTCAGTTTGAGTTGAGTGGGTGTTAAACCCCATTTCTCTCACTCTCTCTCTTGATTCTTTTATCACAAGGTTTCCCATTTGATCTTGAAGCCTGATGTCAGTCTGTGACATGTTATACCTTATGTACATGTATATGTTACTGGTTTGATATAGTTGTGATGTAATAGATTAACGTCATTTTCCTTCAATTCAGCTAACGGAAATGAAATGAAATGAAATGGGGTTTAACGTCCTATGCTTCTGCACCTAACCTGGGCTAATTGAAGATGGGCATACGCCATACAGTGTGCTATGAGGGAAATTTTGCCCGGGCAGCGGCGCTACTGCCTACTCTTATATCGAATTCCAACTGCCAAGGGATCTTTTACGTGCACACCAATGTGTACACGGGACCTCGGTTTTTCGTCCCATCCGAATGACTAGGCAGCTGTCCTTGTCAGGCCCTCCGTTCTGCATCACTGACAAGGGGAAACCACGCCGGAAAATCGAGATGAACTTTCTCGGCCAATGCAGGGATCGAACACCCGACCTCCAGGCTAGCGAGCCAGCGCCTTACCCACTTAGCCACGTGATCCCCTTTCAGCTAACGGTTCAAACCGAGATTGACTTTACTAAAACTAGAAATACTGATGAATTCTATAAAAAATTTTGTTATAAAGATTAATATTTATTACAGAGTGTCGACTTGTCCTCTAGCAGCCAAAAAACGTAAACAAGAAAAAGAAGAACCAGCGTCTACATCTCCACCCACAACATCGAAACGAAGCAAAAAAGGAAAATCAGAAGTGAAAGAAGAAAAAGACAATACTAAAGAAAATGTGAAAATAAAAACAGAAAAAAATTGCACAAGTGCTCAAACTAGTGATAAATCGGTTCCTTCAGTAGACATTAAAACTGAAAAAGATGTGAAAAAGGAAACAGAAGTTTCAGTAGACGAAGATAGTTTAGATGAAGAACAAAAGTATTTTCGTGATGCAGAGAGAGGTTTAAGGAGTTTATCAGGAGACTTTAGTTCTGAGTTGCCCACAGATAAAACAAAGACATCTCACAATGTAACTGAATCGGAAACCGAGGTGTTTGAAGTGAACTGTTCAGACGATGATGATGAATCTGAAAATGTGAACCACGAGGACATTAAAGAGGAAAATTTATTAACTGAATCTGAGGTGCAGACGGTCCGTGTAAGTAAAGCACCTAGTTCACAAAATGAGGACATTTTTCAAACAATCCAGGAAGAGTGTAGCAAAATACAGTCGCAGGATGAAAAAGAGAAACAAATAGAACCTGATTCGTTAAAAGCAAATGCAAGTCAAACAAACCAGTCCCAAGATCTGATAAACGAAATCATAAATTTTTCTGTCATGGATGCTTTAAAAAAGGAGCCTAAAGAGGAGAAAATAACAAAAGATGATATAAAAGAGGAGAAACTTAGTGATGGATCAGATGATGATGAGGATGATGATGATGAGGATGATGAGGATGTTGAAGAGATTGAGGAAGAGGATGAGGCCATTCCTGAAGGAACAAAAATAGAAGGATTAGATGCTGAATTTACTGTGGTAGCTGAATGGATGGGTGGTGTTGGAGCTAACAAAACTACAGACGGTGCTATCCGACCTCCATCAGCTCCACCTGGTACTGGTAGTAGTGAAAATAGTAATGATGGTTCCACAGACTCTCAGTCAAATCTCAATCCAGATTTTAGAAAAGGTTTGAAATAAATAATAATTTTTGTTCTGAAATATAAAGATTTAAAGGTTGTTGTTCATTAAGTGATCAACACCAGGAGGAAAATTGTTTTGTTAGTTTTTTCCTATAAATTGATTCAAAACAACATTATGATTTTCTCTTGCTCAGACAAAATAACCTTCTGAGTGGTTAATTATTTCAAGAATAAAATTTCACTGTTAAATTGTAGGATTGATTCTTACTCCCAAATCATTCATTCCTCGGTTACAGTTCTGATAAGATTGATGTTGCTAATTTATGTAAGGCTTGTGTAAGGCGCATAAGTAATAAGGTTTGGTTGGGGGCATACATACAGTGATGTACATGTATCTAAGATTTCTGATTGTGGGGGTGGATTAAAATACACTGTACTCCCCAAAACATTATTATTTTGTTATTTGGCATGTCGGTCTTGCCATTTTAGGAGATGGAAGGTGTCCAACCCCTGGATGTGATGGTTCAGGTCATTCTACAGGACTGTATTCTCATCATAGAAGGTAAATATCTCATAAATATACATTTATAACAGCCATTTCATATTGTTTAACAAAAAGTTTTGTGTGAGGGTACTATTGAATAATTATTTTGTAATTGCTATATGTCATTTTCAGTTTATCTGGTTGTCCCAATAGAGACAAAGCTCCTATTGACTGTAAGTTCTTTTTATTCTAACAGTATTTATTCAGTAGATATTAACATCGTATAAAGATACAATCTGGGATCAGAAAATAATCTGGAGTTTATATAAATAGAATTTCTATCAATGTAGACTTACCTAATTATGGAAGCCATAATTACATTAATATTTGACATCATGTACTAGATTAGTAAAAAAAGTTTTTCTCTCTATTACAGTAATTGTGGCATCGGAACAATTTGTCAGGTAAATAACTTTTTATGCTCTTTATCATTTATAAATGTAGTTATTGTCTGTAGAATTGTGCCTTGCTATAAGCTCACCTATTTTATGTTCAGGGAGAGTTATTATTTCTTTACAGATGCCCCACACCAGGATGTAATGGGCGTGGTCATATAAATAGTAATAGAACAACGCATAGAAGGTAGATATTACTTTTGTATAACAGTAAATGTATTTAAAAGAACATTTCCCGGTTTTTTTTTTAAGTGCCCCTGTCCGTCCGCGTGTCCATACGTCTGTGGGTCCATTCACAATTTGTTTGTGGACCTATACGGGTCACAATTTTTACCCGATTTTGATGAACTTTGTAATATAAGTTTATCTAAGAAAGATCTCGGTTCCTTTCGATAATTGAGTATATTAGACCGTTACTTCCTGGATTATGGCAAATAGTCTAGTCATCTCAAAATAATCAGCCATTTAGAATTTAACCTGAATTGCCCTTAATTGACTTATTGCTTTTTTGATGTCAGCCAGGTTTTAATATGTTCAATAATAAAAGTAGCAACATTTTCTGAATTATATTCTTATTTGACTTTGTACGGTATAGGTAATATAGGTAATATTATATATGTTTTGTTTTGTAGTGTATCAGGATGTCCAATTGCTGCTATGGGTAAATTTATCACCACACAGAACCAGAAAAAATCAGGTAGGTTGAATTACTACCTTTAGATTAATGAACAATAATAGTATATTTTCACTTTCAGAAATAATTCATACAGTTAAAGATATTGGACATACAAATTTACAAATCATAATCGAACAAAAATATTCTTCAATATTGAATGTCAATTTTTAATACTAATTTGATCATTTTAATGAAAGTGAAATAGAAAATGGTATCAAAATAAATTGTTCTATATTAAAAGTAAGATTTGTAAAATGTGACATATATAAAAGTACAGATAGTTAGAGGCAGTAATTTCTATATTTTTGGTTATTGCCTCCTTTACATATACTTGATGTAGATGGGGTATATATACATGTATTTATGTTTAATATTGGTTTTATGTCAAGCCTGCATCACTTTGAAATACCATTATTTCAACCAAGCTTTCATAACATTATAATTTCATTTTTGTGGGCCTCAATTTTGAATGTATGAATTAAATTTTGAATGTATGAATTATAAACTTCTGAATTTGTTCAGTTGGAAAGGTTAAAAGAAATGTATATGAGAATTTTTTGAATATTGGTATTTCTTGAAACTGTTGTCAACCATTACCATTTTTATACGCCCACATTTTCATGTGGACGTATATTGTCGTCGCCCCTGTCCGTCCGCCCGTCGTCCACAATTGTTTGTGAACAGTCTACAGGTCACAATTTTTATCCGATTTCAATGAAACTTGAAATATATGTTTATCACCCTAAGATCTTGGTTCCTTTCGATATTGGTATGTATTGGACTGTAACTTCATGGATTATGGCCCCTGATTGTATGAAAAATCACGTTTTTATCTTGTGAACACTGTAGAAGTCACAATTTTTATCCGAATTAGTTTAGACTTGAAATGTATGATTATAACCCAAAGATCGCGGTTCCTTTCGATATTTGCGCATATCAGAACGTAACTTCCTGAATTATGGCCCCAGATTGTACGAAAAATCGCGTTTTTAGCTTGTGGACCCTATAGAGGTAATAATTTTTATCCGATTTAAAAAAACTTATTATTATATCACCGTTAAACCCTAAGGACGACTGAGTTCGAATTTCGTGAAAATCAGCCCAAAACTGACAGACAAAATGGCCGCCGTTCGTTCTCAAATAGCGTAAAAATATGGTATATCAAGGTTGTGGACCCTATAGAGGTAACAATTTTTATCCGATTTTGTTGAAACTTGAAATGTAAGTTTATAACCCAAAGACCTCAGTTCCTTTCGATATTAGCGCATATCGGACCGTAACTTCCTGAATTGTGGCCCCTGATTGTACGAAAAATTGCGTTTTTAGCTTGTGGACCCTATAGAGGTCATAATTTTTATCTGATTTTAAAAAAACGTATTATTATATCACGTTACACCCTAAGGACGACTGAGTTCGAATTTCGTGAAAATCGGCCCAAAACTGACAGACAAAATGGCCACCCCTCGTTCTCAAATAGTGTAAAAATATGGTATATCAAGGTTGTGGACCCTATAGAGGTCACAATTTTTATCCAATTTTGTTGAAACTTGAAATGTAAGTTTATAACCCAAAGATCGTGGTTCCTTTCGATATTCGCGCATATCGGACTATAACTTCCTGAATTATGGCCCCTGATTGTACGAAAAATCGCGTTTTTAGCTTGTGGACCCTATAGAGGTCATAATTTTTATCCGATTTAAAAAAACGTATTATTATACCACCGTTACACCCTAAGGACGGCGGAGTTTGAATTTTGTGAAAATCGGCCCAAAACTGACAGACAAAATGGCCACCGTTCGTTCTCAAATAGCGTAAAAATATGGTATATCAAGTTTTGTTGAAACTTGAAATGTAAGTTTATAACCCAAAGATCTCGGTTCCTTTTGATATTCACGCATATCGGACCATAACTTCGTGAATTATGGCCCCTGATTGTACGAAAAATCACTTTCTTTTTAGCTTGTTCTCTATCCATCTCTCGAAAATGTGGGCATATCCTGCCTGGCAGCCGCTGGTTGTATTATATGATATATTGAATGTGATTTAAGGAAGATTGTTTCTTTGTATTTAGAATACAAAGCTTGGGAACAAACACGAAGCTATGTAGACATTTTAATTCCTAAAGTGTTGATTTTAGTCAAAAACACTAAGTATACTTCGAAAATTTTGAGAAGTATTCATTCTGCTTCTATTTAATCATGACTATTAGAAAAACATTTTTTCTCAAAATCAGACATAAAGATTTGATATTGATAGTTTAGTAATGTCATAGAAATCTGCCTTAGTTCACAAAAAATATAAAATTTGATGTTTTTATTATTTCTTCACCCCATCGTTTTGTGGCAGTGACTTTATTTGTGTTTTTTTGTTTTATTTTTTTCGGTGTTAGGCCTGCACCTAGTGGTCATTCCAAAGAGCGATAACCCGAAGTCGGCGGTGCTTGCCGCGTGTAATGAATCCCAGTTGATAAAGATAGCAGCCAAGGAATGTACCACTGGTGTGTATTTTATTTGCTGTCCTTATCTTTCTGTCATGTAAATTCTTTATTTTGACCATGTGCTTACCTTTGATTTTCTATGTTGACTTTTGAAATTGTAAGAAAAAAATAATTATAAAGAAACAATTTGAAACAACTGAATTTTATCCATTTCAAATGAATTTGATATTGTTTTGTAAAAGTCCAGTACTACTGATATTTTAAAGATGCTTAGTTGATATGGTTCTTTTTGGTATGAAATAAAAATGTTCTTGATTAATAGTTGCAATGCAAGCATTTAATATTTAGTTTTGAGCTATAGAACTTTTAATATCTTTTAATACAAAAATTGATAAGATACCTAAGGTCTTGCTGTCAAATCGCAAACAATTTTTAATCTGGATGTATGGTATAATGTAACTGACAAAATATTTTATATTTGTAATGCTATATTAAAAAGTTTAGTAGATATGTTAGTCCATACAATTAAATCAAAAGATATTTGACGTTTCATAAAAGTGCGTTTTGTGTTATTATATTTCAAAAGTCAACATGCCAAAATTATGGTGATATTTCTCTTCTATTATTTCTGCACATTTTTCTGTTGTGATTTCATTTAAACAGGTAAAACAGGTAAAATAATTACGATTAATGTAAAATTCCTAAAGTTGCATGATTTCTAACTTTCTTCATATCATATCTTTAAGACATGATGTTTATTTAAAAAAATTTAAAACAGAAAGTGAAAGTTAATATTTTTCTTGTCTATATGAATAATACATGCATATTATGTAATGTATTAAAGAAGCATTTATTGATTAAAAGAGAACATTCTATTGCAGGAACAGACAGAATATTAAGACCAATGATTCTAACCAAACAGTTGGAATTACAGAGTATTAACTCTCCTTCTGTCGTCTCTCAAACTACACCAAGAAATAACCTAGCCAAGGAACTAGAAAAATACAACAGACCAGCTGACACCACAGCTCCTGCACAGATACTTAAGCCCCCCAAACCAAAAGTCAGAGATATGTCCGGCCCGGATAGACCAAACATTCTGAGCAAACGACCTCATTTCCGACCCCAGAATCGACCAGCACCACCACCTCCAGTTGTTATCAGTGATTATCAACCAGCAGTTAGTCCTCAAAGAGTGGAAGCTCGACTTCAGCAACTGACCACAGCAGCGCCACTGGTCTCAATAGCACCACCGGTCTCAACAGCACCACAAGACGTTAAACCATTGACTGCTAGTGCTATTCTATCAAGTCGTGTAACACCCCTGAATATTCCTCAACCATTAACAAAAACTCAGATTGTCTCCAGTAAAGCGAACATTTTAAATGCAGTGAAACCGAAAGTTGAGCCACTCAACCTAAATGATAATGGGTAGGTGTGACATATAGTCCTTTTATTTACTTTTATCCAGTTAGGAAAATAAGACAAAGTTCTGTTAGGTACAAGTCAGTGTGAAAAGTGAGTGTGAGAATTCTCTAAAATAATGATTAATATTCCAACTGAGGCAGATGCAAGAGGTTCACCTCTTATTTTTCAAGGTGTTCCCACCCCTATTCATAATTCTAAAATCCATACTTGAATGTATCTCAAAATGTTTTTAGACATTTTTAATTTGATTGTATTTATTATTCATTAATACATATTGTATGTGATCAAAGTTGTCTTAATGTTTTCAAATTATGGTCATTTTGTATTGTGATTAGTCTTTAAGAAATGAAAATAGTGTAGAAATGTCAACTTGTAAGAATGTTCCATTTTAAGAATACAAATTACCGTTCTCAACTTTTCTTGGCTAGATTTATGTAATTCTATAAATTCATATTAAAAATATATGTAAATGTATATTTTAAATTGATAAGGTAGCCAATGATTGTAGATTTACATTACATTTCCCTCTCCTCCTTATTAATGAATTATTTTAGCAACAAAGATACTGTGCGTTATATTTCCTTTGTTATATATTTGTTACAGATTTTATCCTTTTATCTCTCTACAAATAATGTTTTATATTTTTAAAAGTGAAATTGTACATATACTGCCCTGATAATAAATGATTTACCATTGATATTATTTCTGATGTTGTTTTTTCTTGAGAATGTGAATTCTGCATGTATGAATGGTATGCATAGCATGTGAGACTGATTTTCTTAATTAATTTCGTTCTTTCATTAATTGTATTAAATTCATTATCTAGAAGATCATAATAACATCTATTAAATCATCATTAACTTTTCATTTCGTGAAAGCCTTATTTCAACCAATGGATCAACTTGATTAATTTGGCATGGCAACACAAAAAAAGAAATGAACTATTTTTGATATTGGTTGAATTAAGTTTTTTCATTTTAAAGAATGTGTTATTTTAACAACCACGACTTTCATCCCTTCAGCATTTCATCTCCCCTGCCTGCCTCACCCACACTTAAGACACCCCTAACCCCTTCTCGCCCAAAGGAGATCAGAGAACTAGTGCAATGTCCCACCATTGGCTGTGATGGATCTGGACATGTGACAGGAAATTACTCATCACACCGCAGCTTATCTGGTTGTCCATTGGCGGACAGAGCAATGGTACAAGCCAATCAGATAGAACAGAAGTAAGTCTTGGTATTGCCTGCTTTTGTTGTTGTACATCTGTGTAGAGGTTGATAGTAACCATTGCTGTAATTTGAACTACAAGAAATTAAATCTTTAACTAATGGAATGGTTACTGTCATACAAATTATCTCTGGTACGTTGCTTGCTGCTATGTTGTAAATATTTGTTTTCAGTTACTTTCAGTTTTCAGTTATTCCTTTATCTTTCATGTTTTCAGTGTTGTTACATTATGGTTTATTCTTTATTTTGTTTTAAATATTTTCAGTTTTGTTGCTTCATTTATTTTGTTTCTGTGGTTCAATTATTTCAGTTTTTGTTATTTTTCTGCTTTCTCAGTTTTGGGTTTTGTTTTTATAATACAGATGTTATAAAAAAATACTATATGTTTTTATTAAAGCTATAGATTAATGCAATGCATGTTGCAAATTTAAACTAATAAATAATAACTAACCTTCTTATGTTGGTATTGTATTGCATGATAGATATTGTAAACAAAAATAATTTTATTAATAAAAAATAGTTATGTCAAACTTATACATCTTGTGAGATTTTGATCACTTAAATTATTGACACATGTATTTTGATTTTAAATATTATCATCAGTGTTGCTATATTTTTGTAAACTTATCAAATAATTTTTCAATGTTTTTATTGTACTGTTATTGCCAATTTCACAAAAAGAGGAAATGAATAACTTTTGTATTGAGCCTACATGAAATATTTCCAAATACTTGTTTTCAAAAAATCGGTCAACAAAAAAATTTGCAAAATTTGATTAAAATTGTTCATGATACCATATGTAAGAGATATTTGAATTGCATATAAAATTAATATGATTTCTCAAAAGTATTTTTGCACTTTATAAAGAATAAGAAATATACATACATGTATATACTATAAGAATCGATATTCATGAAAATATAATAAAATCATTAGATGTCCAACTGTTGGCTGTGATGGAAGTGGACATATAACTGGAAATTATTCATCACATCGAAGTCTATCTGGTTGTCCGAGAGCGGCTAAAATGAAGAAACTGACTGGTAAAGAAGGTTGTGATAAGAAGGAAACAGAAGATTTTGGGTGAGTTTTTCTGTTATACATTATTCTTAGTAGCAATTTCATTTTCGTGACAGCAATTTTTTATTTTGGTGGCAAGATCACTTCAATTTGGCATTTATACACTTTGGTTATGGCATTTAGTTTTACATTAGAAAGATCTTGGAGATTTATTCTTTGTACAGTGAATGGTTTAAAAATACCCTGAAATCCCCCTGCCCTCCAGTCTTGATTATTCTAGCTCTAACCTTTACCTTCAAATTTCAACTGTGACTCGGGATAATTGAATTAGGACCGGTCAGAGTGAAGTAGACGTGTATTATACACTATCCCCATTGTTCGGTAACCATGGAAATTAGATGAAGCATATTTTAGATTAAATTATTAAAAAAAATCAGATGGTGATATATCCCTATCCTGCCACTATTTCTTTGATGAAAGTATTTTTTTGGCACTTTATTTTAGCTGTCCTGTACCTGGATGTGATGGGTCAGGTCATATCACAGGCAAATATTTATCTCATAGAAGGTATTGTTGTTTGTTGTTGTCATATCAATCACAATGTTGTCATGTCAATCACAGTATATTATTTAATATATTTATATATTGTGTTGAATATTGTTGTTTTATCACCTTCTGTATTTTAGATCACAATGGAAATTTATTTATTCTGGTACATGTACTATGTACAAATTAATCGTTGATGTTTTTCTGTTTATGTTAATGTTACACTTATTAACTATTTACTATGGCTGCGTGTAAATCATTTTTGAATTGTTATTTCGTGGATCAAACTTTGAATTGATATTTCGGGGATCAAATTATGCTGCAACATCTAGCAGTGCTAGATCGAGATCCTAGCGTTAAATGAGATTTAAAAGAAATGTTCACCCAAGCAGGTTATTTTACTTAATAATGATAAATATTCTATGAAAAAGACTTCTGTTTTGAAAAATTTAGAAATTATTAAAGTTTAATAAATGTAACTGCAATGGACGACACCATGTTCCTGGCCATCGATTATTCTCAACCAGTCAAAACTAAGATTAATAATTAATAAAATTATAAACTTCAAAGATCATCGGAAAGGCACAGAGAATTCTATGGTTGTGGAACATAGGTACCTGTCATAAAATCAAAAAATTTAAGTTCAGCGACAAGCTTGTATTTTCAGACTCATTTCGTTAATGTCAGTTCTGTGCGGGATTTGCGTGGTGAATTGTAGGGGCTACACTTATTTTTTTAAAAAAAAAACCCGTTTAAAACCAGATGCCATTCCAACCATGTTCAGCGTTATTGATGGCCAATTTGTATCTTGATATTAAATATATTAATATCATTTCTTCAGTGGACAAAAACATTTTAATTATCAGAATTATATACAATAATGTATTTTTTAGAGAATGTCTTGTTTACATGAACCTATCCTTTAAGAATCACAGTGATTGAGAGTGTAAACTATAAGATAGAAATACTACAGTATACTAGAAAGAGATTATGATACATCTATCTGCATATTGTAATTCATAATTCAGGGATGAGGGGTGTTTCTTGAGTTACTCAGTCCACAAGCCTAGAAAAATTCTATATCCTGAACTGAAATGCAAGCTTTATACTTTTCCCAATTCACCTTAATGTCAAGTTTTGTACTACGCAAGTCACCTTTATGTCAAGTTTTGTACCACCCAATTTACCTTAATGTCAAGTTTTGTACTTCCCAAGTCACCTTTATGTCAAGTTTTGTACTTCCCTAGTCACCTTTATGTTAAGTTTTGTAGGTCACCTTTATGTCAAGTTTTTTGTCTAGTTTTTTGTACACATTTATATTTTGTTAATCTATTCTTCCATTATGTGTATCCTTCCATTGTGTGCATCATTATCTTTCGCGAATGAATTATAAGGATGAATCCATTTATATTATTGATGAATTTGTGAGCTGATCTGCAAGTTTTCAGAAATAAATGTCTTTCATATAGGATTTAAAGAACATATTATTTTGATAATCGCTGAACTCTTGAAATGTAGCTTAAAATGTAAATAACTTGTAAATTTCTAAGAAATCTTAAATTTCATTATCTCTGTGATAGAATAGCAGATTTTGCAGTTATCAATCCAAATTATGGAAAATAGCCCTGAAACAAGTGCAGTGTTAAGCTAACAATACAATGTAGTATTATTAACCTTAATAGACACAAAGTAGACACATGGTTGAAAAAATATTCTTATGGTGATATTTTTGCCGATTAAGTAATGGATATTCCCAATGTTGTTATGAACTGCAATATTGTGTTAGTCTGTTGTTAGAAACAAATCTGAATCTTCTGTTTATTTTCTTCCTGGTCAGATTTGAAATTGAAACCCTGAAGCTGTGCCATACATGTATATTGTATATCCCTGAACTCCCAAGATGACAAATGCCAATATTCTCAGGTCCCTGTATGTGTGTTTACTAACACAAATATTTCTCAAAAGCGTAGTTGTAGCCGAATGTGGGGGACTGTGGGTATTGTTGTAGTTTTCCCAATTTTACTTTAAAAAATTGTTTTTAGCTACATAAATAGGCTAAGTGTCATTAAGTGCCTTTGAGGCAATCAAATTGCTTGGCAGGCCACTTAGTTATTGAATCACTTAGTTATTGAATTATTACTACAATGCACAGTAAGATGTTTAGAAGAGAACTCTATAAGATTGTAGATTATTGTTGCTTTGGAGCATCATCTATTGATCCATGAATTAAGAGTGTATGACTTCCGATTACCTAAAACTCTGTATTTTATATGGTGGTCAAAATTTCTCTTTACAGAAAATATAAAGCCTGTGGTTGATAATAATCTCAAAGAATTTGATTATTTTGAAAAAGAAAATAAATTGGATAACAAAATTAACATATATAGACTATATAAACTAGTAAATATTGGATGTTTAAAATGAATTATTATTTAAATATAATAACGGAGTACAATAATTTCTATTTACCAGTGCATCAGGTTGTCCGTTAGCCAGTCGACAAAGGTTACAAAGATACATCGGTAGTACAGGGATAGAAAATCAAGATCCAGCTCTAATCAAAGCTATGAAACTTGATGGATTTGCGTAAGTTATATTTAATTCATCTTGTTTAAATATAACCCTTTTATTGGAAAAGCAACATGCATGCTTTATGGGGGAAATGACAAATGTCATAGATAGCGTGTGAGCATCAAACACCAATATACAATGCTTATTACCTAAAATAAATTATTTGGCATGTAACATGATATGCTAAAGTAACTGAGATTCTGCTTTTGTTGTATGAAAAAATTTAATTCTCCTAAAACGGATGTAGTCCTTGCCCCAAACCTTTGCTTAAAAGAGTTAATTCGTATGTAATAACTATGTTAAGTGTTCGTCTTGATATTTAAGGTGATTGTTTATTAATGCTTTTATTTTATCCTCACAGTTGCCCAACACCAAATTGTGATGGCACAGGTCATTCAAATGGTAGTTTTCTAACACATCGAAGTTTATCGGGTTGTCCTAGAGCAACTTTTGCCATGAAGAAAGCCAAAATTACTCCTGCTGAACTTGCTACATTACAACTCAAAGTTCAAAATGGTGAAGGTATAAAACAAATTTCCTATGAAAAGGAAATGTCCTTATACTAACTTGTTATAATAAAGTAATTTAGGACAAAGTTATTAGAAGGAAACATTGTGGATTATAGTTTTTAGTAGCAATGCAAGTCAGCAAGTTTTAAGTTGTTTTCTTGATCATTACAACAACTGGCATGGTTTCGATCCCCTGTTTGTATGTGACAAGGAGTAGGGTCACCTAACCTACCTTGTGGGTTTTCTCTGGGTCCTCCGGTTTCCTTCCACTGCTAAACACACCTGCGTGCAAGCAAATTATTGAAATAAAATAGAACTATATGTTAGTTCCGAAATAACCTAGTTTCTGTTGAGTGGACGTTAATCCCCATTTCTCTCTCTTTCTCGATCATTACAAAACATGGAAACTAGTTCAGAATCCATAAAGTTTAAAGCTAAAACCAATTACCAACTCATAAAACTTTTCTGAAAATATATTTCTTGGAGATAAATGAAGTCAGCCATTGCAAATATCTCAAGAAAAATAAACTCTTAATAAATGTAGTGACGAGGGAGTCGCATCCAAGTAGCATTTACAAATTAAAAACTTGCAAGAAGAAATTTAGTCTCTGCTACATTCCTTAACTTCTAACCTGTTTTACTTAATTATAGATTTGGAGTCTGAAAAAGAGTTCATGCAACTGGAGAATGAGATACATGCTATGAGGAAATCCAACATGGTCACAGAGAGTGAGGTGATAAAACTAAGAACAGAAACAGCATGTTTAGAATCACGTCATCAAATAACAGAGAGAGAGCGCAAGTCTTTGTTGGAGCAGAAACAAGGACTGACTAATGATCTGAACTCACTCAAGTCGAAACTATTTTCCTGTTTACAAAAAGTAAATCTTCCTCAGCTAGATGTCCCTTTAGATGTAGATAATATTGAACTTTATATCTGTAGAATTCAAAATCTGTGTAATCGAAATGGAGAAGATAAAGCTCTCTTTAGTATGCTTAAACATGCTTTAGCAGAAATTGAAGTTTCTTAGATTAAACTGACATGCTATATAATCATTGAAGTCAATTTCACAAATCGCTATCTTAATTGCTTATATGTTTTAGCTGTTATAATCAAATTAATCCCAAGGTTAAATACAGAATATACATGGTTAAAATATATTTATGTCAATAAGAACAAAAAGACTGCTACGGTCTTATACTTAAATCAAAATTTCTCATTTATAAGTTTTCAAGTGTAATATTAGATAATCCTAAGTGTCACGGTCATAATTAATGCTTTTGCATTAATGGAATTGAATCACAATGTGATCCTATTAATTCAGATTAAAAATTGACGATAAATGGGGTGTTGGATTTCTCTCATTAAAAAGCTCAGTGTGTATGTATGCTTAGTAATTTGGAGAGGATGATGGCATCATGCATTGTGAACTGTCAACTTTCCTTAACAGGAACCTGGAAAACCCCCTCCTGCAAAAATTCCTAGATCCACCCCTGGTTCTCTACAGAGAATATAAACAGGCTATGGTTAAAACAAGTCGGCACAACCTATAATCTTCTTAAAAATCTTTTGATGGACCTCATTTTGAATGGATTGAACCCAAGTCGCAAGATTATCTACCATTGATATTTTGGTTTTGTTTTCATAATTAAATGTTAAATAAGCATGTTAAATTAAGCATGGAACTGTGAAAAGTTATTGTCTGAAAAACATACAAATGACAGGGGCTTTAATAAGTCAATAATTTTCAGTTGATCATAAATTGGATAATAAAATTTCAATTAAGTTGAGCATTTAGCCCTGATTTGAGTTTCTAATTACTAATTAGTCACAGTAAGTGTCTAAGGTTACGTATATGTCCTATTGTTTTTTTTGCTGTGCTTTCTTTTTATTGTTATTTATTCATACACTATATTCTGACAGTTTGTGAGCTCTCTATTTATCATAATTTAATTGTATATATATATGTATAATTATTGCATAATTAATTTATTTAATTTATTTTGTTGTGTTATATTTATAGAAAGGTTATTAACATGGTTAGCTTTACTTTTAGAACATATCATAAAAGAATTTTGTTATTGCAGAATTCCATATTTATATTTGTATTCCATTCCATGATCTATGTGGTACAAACTGAGCATCATTCCCCTCTACAATGTTTTAATAATTGTTTACAGGAGCTAAACCTCTTTGATTTAGTTCAAAATAAAGAATAAAATTGAGTTGATTTGGTGTGTTATTTGATTTCTGTTAGAACAAGCTCATTAAATAGAAATAAATTGTTTTCAAAGATTAAGCAGAAGTTGCTTTGTTTAGTAATTTTAGTTTTGTTTTTACCTTACAGTATACTGTAGGGACAAACAATGATATCTTAACATTGTCTTTATCTATGAAAGTAAAATTTTGAACGAAGACAGATTATCATCTGACAAAACAAAACAAATTAACACATGAAATCCATTAACTTATTTTGACCAGATCAGAGTGGTCCAGCAATATCAAATAATAAACAGTAATATTTTCTATAATATTAAAAGTGTTCATTGAATTATAACATTACTACATGTCGTAGTTTAATATTTTACATAATTTTCTTTCATGAATTATAATTTTGTATAATAGCAATATATTTTATATATTGTGTATTTATTTCAGTATTTGTTATCTAGTGTTTTTGTATCTATACATAATAGTGCATTTTTTAAATAATCTGGATGTTTTTTATCCAAATAGATGGGTTTTCTGGTCAGTACTTTATGTACATAATATTTATATAATAGCCATGTTTTGTAATGTTATTTATCTTTTGAGTGCTTGTTTAGTAAGTCTGTTAATTTTATTATTCTTATAAATAATAATTCAATTAGGATCAATCTGATTAAAATACAGATCCTGTTTCGTTTCGTTTTTTATAGTTCAAAATTTTGTTTTCCTTGTCTTTACTACACTAGTATTACTGGCATTTTGGTTGAAGTGAGGGATAAGGCAATGAAACAGTCTCTTGAAGCAACGACTTGGCGTGCCATGCTCGAAACTGTGGGTACACCACTAGAAACGTCAACACTGATTTATTAATCAGTGTCTGGGTAAAAAGCCGCTCGTACAACCCCTGACATGACCTTCCAGTACAACTTGTCAGATTTTCATGTAGTGTAGGCCATTGAAAGTATAAAAAAACGAAACAAAATATAGATCTGTATTTTAATCAGATTGAATTAGGATAGAATGAAAGCTAATTAGTTGTACATATTTTAATTTATTTTAAACTTCTCATATTAAAACACTTTTTGTAAACTATGTTTTTATTTATTTTATTCTTAATTTAATATAATTAATATGCATATTTATTTATCCCGCTTTTGTTTGCTGACATATATGTGCAATAATATACCATAATATGTGCCATTAATGAGGGATGATTTCCTTTCTAATCATTATTGAAATCAAATACAACTTTACATAAATGTAAGCCTAATAATTGTTGTTCTTTTAATACAGTAATAGAGATCCTTAATATGTTTTAAAGTGTACTTGCAGTGTAATTGACTTCATTAAAGTACGAGTCAAACCAAAGATCTACTTTTTCAATATTTCTTGTCAGTTTAAAATGTATTGCTATTGTTGATACTAGTTTATTGTTTGTATGTATTATATATAATGGCTACTACAATCTGTTTAAACTTCAATGAATAACCATGTTATTCCCAGCTTTATCTATGATCATTCCTATTTATACATTTGTTGAATTTGTAACCCTATGTAAGTAAATGAAGTACCAATACATGTTTTATAGCTTTATATCTGTTGTTATTTTTTATATGCAGAATTTGCGACTTGATCTGTAGTCACATATGCAAAAGTGACTCTATCGATGAAATCAGTCCTGTATGGGAACTGGATTTTATAGAAATTTCACCAGAGGTACCATAATATTATGTTACTGTTTCCTGGGTATTAACAATCTGATTAAAATACAGATCTATATTTCGTTTCGTTTTTTTATACTTTCGATCGCCTACACTATATGAAGATCTGACAAGTTGTTCTGGAAGGTCGTGTCAGGGGTCGTACGGGTGGCTTTTGACCCTATGACGTCAGACATTGATTAATCAATCAGCGTTGACGTTTCTAGTGGTTTACTCAAAGTCGCTGTAACAGACCGTTTCATTGGCTAATCCCTCACTTCAACCAAAACGGCGGTAATATAACAACTCTTCCAGATCCTAGTGTAGTAAAGACAAGTAAAACAAAATTTTGAACTATAAAAAATGAAACAAAATAGGATCTGTGTTTTAACTAGAAAACATCAACACATCTCCCCTGTATTGCTATCTTTACATTGGCTCCCAATTCAGCAAAGAATTAAGTTCAAGTTACTCCTCTTTGTCTTCAAAGCGCTAAACAGCCAAGCTCCATCTTATATAAAACGTCTTGTAGAACCCTATACTACCAGCAGAAATCTCCGTTCTCAGAAAAAACATCTTCTAAAATCTCCAGCCATTAACTTACAACTTGGAAAACGTGCCTTTTCTTATGCTGGTCCTTTTCTATGGAATAGACTACCACAATCAATAAAACAATCACCGTCTGTGGGCCATTTTAAATCTCAACTCAAAACATTCTTATTTCAAAACCTTGATCTGTAAATAATCAGTGAATATAAAAACCAACAGCGCCTTAGAAACTGTTTCCTTCAGTATTAACGCACTTTATAAATGACGATATTATTATTAATCAGATTGGGGGTATTAATAAAATGAAATAGGGGTTTAACAGGGTATTAATAAGGGGAGGAGGAGAAACTCTTTAGTAGCCTTGGAATGTCTTGTTATATCAATAAGGCATTTGCATCCTCGTTTTGGTGGTCTCTAAAACAGTGTATGTTTAAATCAAGATGATTGAATAGTAAATAATGTGATATCAGACCATATTCTACTTCCTCCATTCTCCCTGCCTAAGACTGGATAATGAAATGTTTCACTGTTAGTAGCCATTGCTAGACACAAGACATCAAAAAGAACATCTTCTCCAATCTGAGTTTCTGAACACCCAGGAATTTTACAATTGCAACCAATCTTTGTTTCCAAATTGCATCACAGGTCATAAATAGAAAGTATGATCATAATGCAGGGTGGTGGATAGGTTGCCTACATAGTTATTATTTTCTACATTCATATTAGTCAAGTAGAATAACTCTGGAACATTTGATTGTGCGTAATTCAATCTACAGAATCATATCAAATTTATAGAAACCCACCATTAATGCGCTGCTCAAGGTCAATGAAATAAACACACATCATTGTGATTTACATTGATGTTTATTATTGTACTTAATAAAACAAAAATCACAGAAGATTATTTATACATTTACAGAAATGTAAATAAATGTCTTCATCATTGTATGATCAAAATATACACATCAAATTATGGCACAAAATACTACTAATATATATATAGCACAATAAGTCAAAAAGTAAAGCTTTAAGTTCTATATACATTATTAATCTAGTTAAATATCTTTTGTAATAATACATGATAAATGCAACTTAGTTAGACATGCTTTAAATTTGTCATACTGGTTTTATAATAATTAACTAAAAGTCTTCAAAATAAATTTGAAATGGATATAATAAGGCTGTGAATAATCATATTCCTCTTACTTACAGTAGTTAAAATTTACACTACTCAATAACGGAAAAGAGAACAATCATTGATGTCATAAAAATTAAATCAAGTTCTTCTAAGATTAAATATAACTTAAAGATCAAACGCAATTCAAAAAGAAAAATATTACCTTCACCTAACAAGTATCTAAGAAAATGCCTGTATGAACAAAAGAAAAAAAAAATGCAATTATATCTGAGACAGAATGCTGAAAAAAGCCAATAATTTGTAAAATATTAAAGAACATAAGTTTAATACAGAAATTAAATAAAGATATAATTTATAACAAATTAAATATAGATAGATATACATTTGTAATTTACATAATCCAAAATATTATTTATACCTGTACATGTAAACGGTTCTGCCCCCAAAGTACGATTATATAAGAGGCAGTCTCAAATCTTTAAAGATGCATTATGTAAGATTTAGATAAAGAGCTGATCATTCTTGCTATAATAGTTAAAAAAATAGATAATGAAAATTTCAGTGGCAAGGATGTTATAGTGCATTAAATACCTAAGCCATCCAATAGCCTAGAGAGTTGATTTTAGACTTGTCATGTGAATAAATGTCTAAATATAAACAAGCCATCCGTGAGGCTGATGTCTTCCGCTGAAATCCCAAAATTTATCGCTTACAAAAGTATCAAGCAATCAAACTGATTATCTATACTTAGTCTAGCATAAACTGTTCACATCAAACTCAGTCAAGGTTTAGAAGTACCTGGTAGTGAAACTAACACTACGTTTCATCACTCTCCATCAGTTAGAATCTAAGTTATCTTGTCCCAAAGCATCAACCAATGAAATTGCTTAAAATTCTGCTTAGATTCAGCTAAAACATTTTAATCATTGAACTCAGTCAAGACATTTACATAATGAACATCTACATCAAGTTTAAACATTCTACCTCAATTAAAAGCAGAGTTGTTATGTTTCAAAGTCTTGACCAATTAAATTGCTTATCGCTACTTAGCCTAAGCAGAAAATTCTCATTATCGAACTTAGTCAAGGTATTGATATTATGAATCTATACTCAGAGTTTCATCGCACCCGATTAGAACCAAAGTTATCTTGTTCCAAAGTCTCAACCAATCAATTTGCTTATCTCTGCTTAGCTTAAAAGGAAAATGCACATGATCGAACTCTGTCCAGGCATTCACCTAATAGTCACCTACACGAAGTTTGAACATTCTGCCTCAATTAGAAGGAGAGTTATTGTGTTCTAAAGTCTTGACCAATCAGATGTTCAGCATCAAACTTTGTTAAGATAGTGGTGTAATGAAACTATACACGAAGTTTCACCACTATCACTCAAATAGAATCAAAGTTGTCTAGCTTATCGCTCAAGTTTGAACATTCTGCCTCAATTATAGGAGAGGTATTGTGTTCCAAAGTCTCAACCAATCAAATTGCTTATCGCTCTGCTTGCCCGTAGCAGAAAATGCTCATTATCGAACTTAGTCAAGGTACTGATGTAATGAAACTATCCACCTAGTTTTATCATTCTCACTTAATTAGAACTAAAGTCATCGTGTCCCAAAGCATCAACCAATCAAATTGCTATCTCTGCTTACCCTAAGCAGAAAATGCTCATCTTTGCAGTCCATCAAAGCATTGACCTAATAAACACCTACACCAAGTTTGAACATTCTACCTCAATTAGAAGGAGTGTTACTGTGTCCCAAAAAGTGTGACGGACAGGCAGACGGACGGAAAATTATGTAACATTTGAAGCTAGAAAAAAGTCCTGCAATAGGCAGATTTACCTCTTACATAATGCATCTTTAAACTTATATTCATTTATATGATATATATTATCTTTTATATTATATATATTATCTTTTATGGTATAATTTTTATGTACATGAACCTTCTTGCATCAAGGTAAGACTTTTCTTTCACTCCAGAAGAACACTACAAACATTGAAAGACATGGTCTGTTTATTTACAAAGTTTTCATTTTAAACTGCTAAATTTCAACTGAATACTTTTAAATTAATTAATGTATGATGAGATTGTTTCCAAAATGGGGCAAATTCACTTTAATGACAATAATTTTTTCTTCATATCAATTAAATTTTATGTGGAAGGTTTTATAAGTAATTACTAATTTGCAATTATCGAATCGTAAGCGACCTCCATCTTAAGTTTGATACTAAATTGGAAAATGTCTCCATCCTAACTAGTTTAGGCATTGTGGTAGTCATTAAAATAACTTTTACAATATAATACATACGCAACCTATTTTGTTTATTGTATAGTATTGCCGGGGTGTGGTTTCCTGTAAAAATCTGATAATTGATACTGTCACATTTGAGAAACAAACTCTTCATATGCTTACAATAAGATAGGAATTAATCAGTTGTCTGTTGATGACTGAACCATCCCTAATGCTGTAATAGTGTAAACAATACAAAGTAGTATGACTAGAACTATATATAGGCTATATATAAGGATTAAATAATGACATTATGTAATTGTTTTAGACTTATCAATAAACAATACATGAGAAATGATCAAACAAGATTTTGTGTTGCAATCTTATTGTGTGGGATCTGATAACCGACTAGAGAGAGAGAGAGAGAGAGAGATATGGGGTTTAACATCCACTTGACACAAACTAGGAATCAAAGCCATGCCATTTGACTCAATGACAGACCTTTTGATCTAACGCACATACAGTTAAACCATTAGGCCACCCAACCTCACGCTAACTGACAAAAAAATAAATAATTATTTTCTATTTTTTTTTTAAGTACATATACTTGAAATGTTTCAACTAAATGCAATGAATTTGTTTATCTTGGTTCAAATTTACATAGTTATTTGGTTCCCAGTTTTTATATGATACCTTTTCTTTATATCTCAGCTGAGAATTGATATATCATGTTTATGTTTTGTTTTGCTCTAGTTATTTATTTACATCATTTTATTTTTTTACTGATTATTAGTTTGAATACAGTATTGTTTATCATGTATGGCTACTGTTTTGTTTGCAAAAAAATCACAGTAAAAGATCCTTATATTGTTACTAAAAGAAGTAAGGTACTAAGCCAAACCATGACACGAGTAAATCGAAACAAAGCCAAAAACCATTAGACAGGACTAGCTACTGGTACCTATTAAATCCTTTGGTTGTTGTTTATTACAATTTTAACTTTTAATACAATATATCTGGATATTAAATTTGTAATAAACAACAACAAAAATTTTATTCCGTTTTGGATTTGCAGTAAACAGACAAGTGACCTAATATCCCTCCTAACAGCATTCTGGCTAGTCTGATCTTGACCCCAAACAGTATTTTATTATTATCTTTTTACGAAATCCTACAACAATCTGCATTGATTTAAAATCACAAGGCCTATTTACATGGTCTCAAGAAATTTTCTGTCAGATGAACTAAACATTTTAAAGCATGGCTCTCAAAACAAACTATAAATAGAAAAAAAGACACAAGCTGACTTTGGTCACATCAAAACATAATCACAAAAATCGAACAATTGGCCCATAACAGTATACGGATATCAACAAGTCAAATATATAGAACTTTATCATTCTTAACAAAACAAGTCTTTCTTATCAAAAAGGACCACACTGCAAATCACTGTTATTTACGGTCACTTATATTCCAAACCATCGGTTAATGGTAAATGTACATGAAACTATATGATCAGATGATCAGAAATGCAATAATATTTAGTCAGCCATTAATACACACACACCGGCTGCAGCTTAAAACTAAGTTATAATTTTGCAAACATTAAAAAAATTACAAGGCGTATACTGTTAATTTGCAAGTTATTGTCTGTAATAGACGAGATATGATTTGAGTGTAGCAGGAATGGGTAGTTCATTTATTCTTCCCTTCATATAGGTGCATATATTATCTTTAGGTGGTTGTGGTGGTGGTATTTCCTCTTCTGTACAATCCATCCCTTCATCCCCAACACTACTACTCGGTGATGGTTTGTCACTGCTGTGACAAGAATCAACTTCTGAAGGTTCGTCACCTAAAGATCCAAACCCTGAGGTTTCTGATGTGTCTGCACTTGTATTCGAGGAATATCTGATTTTTCGTGGAGGGCTTAAACTGCGCATGACAGATCTATTTCGATTCAACATTTCAAGTATGTCAAAGTCTATATTATCATCATCTGACTCATCAGTTGAAACAGACTTGACATTTTTGCATTTTGAATGTCCGTTTTCTGCAATCTTTCCATTGCTAGTAGATTGAGCACATTCACTGGACTGGTTGGCTGGAGAATGACAACAATGGTTATCATTAAATTTCTGTGCTTTTTCTCCGAATTCTGTTGAATCTGGTTCTGATCTGTCAATTCTAACCGATGGATACTGCCATTTGATATTTGATGAACTTTCTCCCATTTCATCAACATCTTTTACATTATCAATCGCATCTTCTTTGCTTTTGGATTCATTTTGATTTGCAATGTGAACTTCCTTGGAATTTTCTGATTTTGTCATTTCAAGATCTGAGATGTTATTGTCTATTTCATCAGCATGATCGGAATGCTCACCACTATCTTCTTCTACTACACGCGGATGTGATTGGCGCAAATTACGTAATTGACGACTAAATCCATCATCATCACTCTCCTCACTGTCATCATACTGACGTAAAATCATCATTCCCATATTCATAGGCACGATGTTGATCCTTCTTTTGCGGCTTGAACTTTTGATTTTCTTTTTCTTTTGTTTGTTTACTTTAGTCAATTCTGGATAATCAAGATGTATTTTAGTCCTGATCGTTCTTCTGATAGACAATCGGCATGCTGCTTTTAGTGGCAAGAACTGAGAACAGGCTGTGAAAAGTAAACAAATAAATAAATTTTAATGCAGTAAATCATACATAATAATGTAAACTGTGAAAAGTGCATGACAACTTACTATATACACAGCTTGCCAGACAATGAATCATACGTCCACCTGTAGATTATATTAGTAGTCTAAATTTTAAACATCTATAATTTTCTCAAGATTGTACTGCAATGCCAAAATCAATAAGAATGCTTCTTAAAGGGAAAGCTGATAGTACTCATAAGGCATTGATAGGATCCTAATTGTAATCTCTTTGTATCAAAGGGGAATAATTCTGGACATTATGGTTGAGAATCAAGTGCTTCCCTTCGATCGGATCTATAGACAATCAATAAAAATTCAGAAAGGTATAGATCATAATTGAATCCTTTAAGGAGCGAACAATGAATTCTTTGAAAATCTATAGAGATTTTCATTTCAATATCAATTGCAAAAAAGATATGTGAATTATTGTAGCCTGTATATGTGCTAACAAGACATATGAACCACATTAAAGATAGGTTGCCAGGCAACGATAAATACACCAACAGCCGCTATTTCATCAGGGCAGTCAACAAGTGTTGTCTCATATTTATTCTTTTGGAGACAATGAGAGCGTTCACAATATACTGGGGATCACGTGGCGAAGTGGGTAAGACGCTGGCTCACTAGCCTGGAGGTCGGGTGTTCGATCCCTGCATTGGCCGAGAAAGTTCATCCAGATTTTCCGGCGTGGTTTCCCCTTCTCAGTGATGCAGGACTGGGGGCCTGACAAGGACAGCTGTCTAGTCGTTCGGATGGGACGAAAAACCGAGGTCCCGCGTACATATTGGTGTGCACGTAAAAGATCCCTTAGCAGTTGGAATTTGACATAAGAGTAGGCCGTAGCGCCGGTGCCCGGGCAAAATTTCCCTCATAGCACCAGGGCTGCCGACAACCAGTATCGCAGCGCAATTTGCGATACATATTTTGTCCGTTGCTAATCAAAAATTAAAATCTAACGTTTTTGATTCGCAGTAACTGCGAATCATTAATATGCCTGTCATTTTGGATATTGACACAAAGATTTATCCACATTTATCAACACTTTCAACGTGTATAAAATATCAAATAAATTTTATAAACAAAGCGGAATTCTCCGTGTGACATTTTCTTCTCGAACTACCCAGATTCAATTCATTATGCTATATAATACAGGGACATAACTCTATGAATCGGGACGATTAAACCGGAAATAGGGAATCAAGTAGTACCACTCACGTTGCGAGACATGCCAATTTCGAGTAATTATATCAGTATTCAATTTGAAAAAAAATAAATTCAGTGTATCCCCCACGTATTGTAAATAAAATATAAAAAATAAATACGTGTAAACGTATTGTAAAATGAGAAATCAAAGTAATAACAAACGATAAAAAGCAGACGAAATTGTTTTTTAACGAAGAAATAAGAAGCCACTGCCAAGAATTTGCTTCAGACATAAGGCCTAACCAAAAGTCTACATTCATTCAGAAATGTTCACAGTAGAAATTCTAAAAAAATCTTAAGAATGAAATCTAATCATTTGTTATCAATTAAAATTAAAATAATCTTGTTATTTAGGTGTTTTATGTTGAAACTGAAAAACTGCTAATCAATTTTTAAATTTGCTAATCAAATTTGGCAAAATTGGACTTTTTGATTAGCAGTGTTATTTAGGTGTTTTATGTTGAAACTGAAAAACTGCTAATCAATTTTTAAATTTGCTAATCAAATTTGGCAAAATTGGACTTTTTGATTAGCAGTGCTGCTAATCATCTGTGAAAAATTACCGACAGCCCTGCATAGCACACTGTATCGCGTATGCCCATCTTCATTAGCCCAGTTTAGGAGCAGAACAGTAGGACGTTAAACCCCATTTCATTCACTCACAATATACTGATATCAATTTAATACAAATAAGATGATAACTCTTGTCATTCGAGCATTCACAAGGTTCTACAGAGTGAAACAAGTGTCATAACTCCAGAAGTTATTTTAAAGGAAATTGTTGAAATGCACATGAATTTCATACATGTCAAAGCCTTCTTCCTTACACAAAAATATTCTTTTCAATTACTTTCTTGATACATATAAACAAATGGAAGACACAGACTTGTGGCCTGGGGTCATAATCTCCTGCATGAATATCAAATTACATAAGCTGAGTACAGATTAAATATGTAATGCCAGCGCTTATCCAATCACGTCTTTCATATGTAATACATAAAGGGTGGCTAGAGTTAACATTAAAATATCTCGAAAGACATGGTTTTGTTTAAGTTTTTCCTGGCATTATGATCCTGATTTCCAGTTGATGACAGTTATGCATTTTGAATCAAACTTTTCAAGGAAATATATGTCATGTTTAATGTCATATTGATGGAGGTTCTATCACAGTGTTCTATCTCAACTTATAAATCAAAATCTGAACATCTACTTACGAAGTTCCACTGACGTCACAGCAGAATCTGTATTTGGAATTACCAATGAAGCAAATGAGACAGGAAGAACATTCTTGACTTCCCATGTAGTATCTCCTGTTCTGCGAATTTGCTGTAGCTATAGAAACATAAAATATAGATACCGATATTGATCTACAATCATAATCCATTGGGTAATTTGAAACAAAAAATGAGGAAGTCACTTTATTACATGTTTGTGAAATTAGGATGTAAATTGGACTATCAAATACCTCAAAATTAAAAGCGGTTTATTGAAGATTCAACAGGATAAAATTGTTCTTAATTAACTCCACTAGAGGTGCTATGGTTGAAAGTTTGCAATCCCATCATGATTCAGCAGACCGTCGATCAGTAAGAGACAATTTCCAAACTAAAGGCACAACAAGATAGACTGAGCACATATATTTTAAAGATAGGTTGCCAGGTAATGAAACATACACCCACAGCAGCTAAGTTGTCCAGGCAGGCAACAAAGGTTATCGCATATTTTTTTCTCTTCTCAGTAATGAAAACATTTACAACACACTAAAATCTGATTACGAGTAACAATCCATTCTAGTTCTGCCCTATACTAACGTTTAGTATACAAAACATTTAATATCAAGGGCCATAACTCTGGCAGTAATTATCGGAAATCGTTGGAAATAAATAGACTTCTTCGTCTCATGACCTTAAACACAGGGCATAAATTTACAGTCGATCGTATATTAACCTTATCCTCTAGAGCGTCCAAAAGATTTTTCAAAGTGATCAAGGGCCATAACTCTGGCAGTAATTATCAGAAATAGTTCAAAATCAATTGGATCAATGACCTTAAACACTGTGTAGAAATTTAAAGTCAATTGGATATTAACTTTTGCCTCTAGAATGATGGACGGCAGCGATGACGATATACAACCACATTTCAATGTGGGCATATAAAAATAAAAAAAACCCTGCTGTTACTATATAATTTAAGCACATCCGAGTATAAACAGGCTTTCATGAAGAATGGGTTAGCTTGTATTACTATTTTTGACTAAGAGAGATAAATCAATACAAACTAATGTAAACTTAGAATGAAAATAATAGCTCAAGTCAGAATTGATCGATCTGAATAATTGTTGGACAAAATGTCTTATAATAAAAGTATTTTTGACTGTATATTATCTTCAGCTCTGTATTCAACTTTTTTTCTGACATGCTGGGAATTTAAAGTAGCTAAGTCTCTAACTCAATATCATCCAAAATCTTCAACATTGAAAACACGATTTATTTGTCAAATTAAATCAACATTGATGTTGTGATCTTACCGGAATAAGATGGGCTTTTGATATCCAATATTAAAGACAAAATAAACATTTTACCATTGGTACACGAATCGTGTACCATAATGCGCTTCAGCCCCAGTTGTAAAAAGAGACTCGAGGGACGCGCTACAGCCCCAGTTGTAAAAAGAGACTCGAGGGACGAGGCTAGACACATTGCACCAAATCGAACGGCGTATGTAGACTGGAATAACCAGACGCTAGAAATTTGCACTCGATTGAGACTGCTGGCTTATTTCGCTGAACATAACTGATTTTTAATAAAAACGGAAACCATTGAATGTAAATCAGTTTATATACATTCATATTACAGTATTATATGCGTTGCGACCCACTTTTGTCAATTTCTAGGTCCCAAATGTTAGAGATTTAGCTCCTTTAAATGTGCTTATATAATTAGGGCAATATGGCTTCAGTTTTAAATAGAACAAGCCAACAGTGAGGCTGATGACCCCCGCCGACATAAATAGATGACACATATTAATCAATTGTACGTCTATCTTTTTAAAAAGTATTGAGCAATCAAACTGATTAACAACTATACACTAAGTTTCATCATTCTCTATCAGATAGAATCAAAGTCAAAGAAATTGCTTACCTGTCGAGACATTCACCTAATGAACATCAACATCAAGTTTAAACATCATTCTACCTCAATTAAAAGCAGAGTTGTCATGTTCCAAAGACTTGACCAATCAAATTGCTTATCACTCCTAGTCTAAGCAGCAAATTCTCATCAAACTTAGTCAAGGTAATGATATAATGAATCTATACTTGGAGTTTCATAGCTCTCACTTAATTATAACCGAAGTTATCTTGCCCAAAAGCATCAACCAATTAAATTACTTATCTTTTGCTTACAGTAAGCAGACAATGTTCACTATCGAACTCCATCAAGGCATTCACCTAATGAACTCCTACACCAAGTCTGACCATTCTACCTCAATTAGAAGGAGAGTTATTATGTTTCAAAGTCTTGACCAATAAAATTGCTTATTGCTCTGCTTACCCTTAGCAGAAAATGTTCATTATCGAACTTAGTCAAGGTACTGATGTCATGAAACTATACATCAAGTTTCATCACTTAATTAGAACTCAAGGTATCGCGTCCTAAAACATCAACAAATCAAATTGCTTATCTCGGCTTACCCTTAGCAGAAAATGCTCACAATCGAACTTAGTCAAGGTATTGATGTAATGAAACTATCCACCTAGTTTTATCACTCTCACTTAATTAGAACTTAAGTTATCGTGTCCCAAAGCATCAACCAATCAAATTGCTTATCTCTGCTTACTCTAAGCAGAAAATGCTCATCTTCGAACTCAATCAAGGCATTGACCTAATAAACAACTACACTAAGTTTGAACATTCTACCTTAATTAGAAGGAGAGTTTTTGTGTCCCAAAAAGTGTGACGGCCAGACGAAACCCATTTTAATAGACTAAATAATAATAATAATAATAATAGACTAAAATCAACCATAGCCCATAAAACATTGTTCTCTATGGTACTGACACAGTATTTACAACTACTGAACACAATTAAAGCAAGTTCTACAGGGGAAAAAAACTAGTTTAATTTCATTACCTGGTCATTCAAAGGCATGACAAGTATACCATTGATTGAAATCAGATTTTTCATGTAATTCTCATGTTCCTGAGGACAAGCAGCACCACAATACACCCTATCATACAGTTGGCCTGGTACCAATTGTAGACAATTGCCTGTTTCAAATTGTGGTTCACAGAGGTCAAAATCATCAAAACATGTACTAGTCTTTTTAAAATGTTCCAATCTTTCTCTAGCATATTGTACCACATCTTCATGTATCTCAATACCATGGTTTACACCATACGGACCTATATAATAACAATTGATAGAAAATAACAATTATAACAATTGATAAATAAATGATATTTCGTGAAAAACAAATTCTTTCAAGTACTCTTTCCCGAATCTCTAATAGGGATAAATTCACAGAGGAAAATACAAATGCATTACCATGACATGCAGAAGGATCAGCTATTATGCTTAAATAAGAGAGAGAGACAAGAAGATAGAGAGAGAAATTAACATCTACTTGACGCAAACTAGGTCATTTTGTGACTAACATATGGTTCAATATTATTTCAATAATTCGCTCGGCATAGGGATCTTTACCAGTAGGAGGAAACCGGAGGAACCAGAGAAAACCCACAAGGTTGGATAGGCAACCCTACTCCTTGTCAGGTACAACCGGGGAACTGAAACCATGCCATTTGACCTTATGATACCATGCGCACGCGCTAACCATTCAGTCATCCAACCCCCCATATGCCTGACAGACCACCAATTATGCTAAATTTGTACATTCAACCACAGCATGGGAGAATAAAAGCAGATCATGGCAAATGTGATGTCCTAAATTTTGAACATTAAATTCCATGTATATATTCCCCTGTTGTATCATGGCAGAATCGTTTATAACTCCAAATGCTAATTAGTTTTCTGCCGGTCTCTTTCTATTTAACAGATTTTTTCATATGACAAATACTTACCCAATATAAGACCAATCATGGTGCTAAGGTAACCAGTGCCACTTCCAAGGTTTAAGAATGACAATCCTGGTTGTAGTAGAAGGGATTCTAGAACCTCAGAATATATACATGGTGCCGACATGTGAATATGTCCATGTTTCCATGCAAGATCTTTATATGCACCTTCTCTATGTTCTTCTAGGTAGTAATCAGCTCTGTCTACGGCTCTAAAAACACGTTCTACATCAGGACTTTTTATATAATTTGCCTCCACCAAATTATCAACAAGATCATTATTATCGGAGCCTGAACTCACAGCTCCTCCCATTATTGTTGTGGTTCAATTGAGATCTGAAAAAATAATTCCAGTTTTCATTGAGCTAAACCTGTCTATTCAGGTAAATAAAGTATTGAAATAGCGTAATCTATATGGGACAAGCTAAGTATGATTTTATTTTGTTTTAAATGATTAAACTGAATCCAGTTTGTATACTAATTTTCTCTCAACTTTTGACTTTGGCTTACTGTGTTGAAACTTGAATACACTTGAATAAACTTGAATATGCATTGGCTGTATGTATGGACGTTAACTTTTGTACAGGTTGTCATTTCCACCATAGAACATATCAAATGAAGATTTAAATTTTGAACCCCCAATTAAAGAGGTCTGGCTATCTTAATTGAGCAAACAATGAAAATATTAAATGGTATAAATGTTACTTTTGTGGGCTAGAAGAAATGGGTAATATAGTGGGTGATGGCAATAACAGCCATTTGAATTTCAATTTTTGGGGACTATGGGACTATTGTTGGATGTGCTAATTACTTTGATTATGAAATGAACTACAATGAATGATTTTACTTTCACCACAAAGGTATAAATAATAGATTATGGAATGCTTTAATATGCTTCATAATAAACAAGTAATAATTGATTCTTTGTAAAAGAGCCAAAATTTGGTTGATTTATGATAGTGATACCCATAGTGGCTGGTTCATTGTTTTATCAACCTAGTTTTTTCAAACAAAAATGGCTGCAGCTAGCTCTGATCAGCTGACTAACAGCCCTAGATGATATCATTTATTGTTCTGAGTCAGTTTAGACATGCATGTACATGTAACAGAAAATATATAAAAAAAACACTGTTTTGAAATGAGTTCAATCGTCAGCCTGTCACAACAACAAATATACACCAATATTATGTTTCTGATATAGCGACTCATGAAAAGGTAGGTCACTACTGTCTGTTACAGCTGACTCGAAAATGGCTTACCATTTCTTCAAATTTTAATTAAAATGGCTAAATGACATACCTGGAATTACCATCCTTTTGATTTCTACTGCGTGGGAACTAATTTCAGATCAAGCTGTATAACACTTCACCTTTGAAAATCGTGGTTTGTTTACATCAACCTAGTTACCTATCTGGAACAGCCCAAGAGGACCAGGGGTATATTTTGTCGTTTCTGCTTACTTGCATGTTTAGATATTTGTTTTGGCCCAGTAGAAACATTGTATAACTTGTTTTGGCTCAGTAGAATATAACATTTTCTAAAGTGGTAATTTGCGAGAAAGAAAGCAAATGGATGGTAATTCCAGGTACATGCACGTCACTAAGTTTTAGCTCAGTTTAATTGAAAATTGTGGAAATGACAAGCAATTTTATTAAGACAGTGTGACCTGGAACTGACAATGGGCAATGAAACATATATGCCCACGGCAGCTAAGTCGTCTGAGCAGTCAACAAGAGTTGTTGCATATTTTTTCTATTGTCGGTAATGAAACATTTAGAACACTAAAATCTGATTAAGAGTAACAACTCAATAAGTAATAAGCAGAAAATCATTAGAATTTGTTTAGCTTTTAGTTCTGACCTATGCTAATGTTTAGTATACAAAACATTTAATATCCTGGATTTAGCTGTTCAAGTTATCAAAATTCATTGAAAATCAATAGGCTTCTTCGTCTCATGACCTTAAACACTGTGTATAAATTTAAAGTCCATCGGATATTAACTTCAGCCTCTAGAGCGTCCACAAAATTTTTAGAAGTGATCGGAAATCGCTGAAAATCAATACTAAAAGGATTCTTAGTTTCATGACCTTAAAGACTGTGTGTAAAGTCAATCGGATATTAACTTTAGCCTCTAAAGCATCCACAAGCAATATACGACTACATTTCAATGTGGTCATATAAAAAGTGTGACCTCTAGAGGGACCACAAGCTAAAATCGTGATTTTTCGTATAATCGAGGAAGTTATGGTCCGATATGTGCAAATATCGAAAGGAACCAAGATCTTTGGGATGTAAACATACATTTCAAGTTTCATCAAAATCGTATAAAAATAATGTGACCTCTAGAATGTCCACAAGCTAAAAATGCAATTTTTCGTGCAATCAGGGGCCATAATCCATCAAGTTAGGGTCTGATACTTGCCAATTTCGACAGAAACACCGATCTTTTGGAGATAAACCTATATTTTAAGGTTCGTCATAATTGGATAAAAATTGTGACCTGTAGAGTGTCCACAAACAAATTGTGGATGGACAGGGGCGACAATATACTTCCAAATGAAATTTTGGGTGTTTAAAAATTGTGACCTCTAAAGGGCCCACAACCTTGGTATTACATACTTTTAACACTATTTGCGAACAGGGAGCAGCCATTTTGTCCTGCAGTTTCAGTCTAATTTTCAAGAAAATTGAATTCAACCATTATTATGGTGTAATGGTGATATATTTAAACGCTTTTTTACATCGGATAAAAATTGTTACCTCTAGAGGCACCACAAGCTAAAAACGTGATTTTTCGTACAATCAGGGGTCATAATCCAGGAAGTTACAATCCGATGTGAGCGAATATTCAAAGGAACCGAGATCTTTTGGACATAAACATACATTTTAAGTTTCATCAAAATCAGATAAAAATTGTGATCTCTAGAGGGTTCACAACCTTGGTATTACATACAGTTTATGACCGCTAGAGGGACCAAAAGCTAAAGCATGATTTTTTGTTCAATCAGGGGCAATAATCCAGGAAGTTACGGTCCGATATGATGGAATATCAATAGGATCCGATAAACCTATATTTCAAGTTTCAGCAAATTCGGATTAAAATGTCACTTGTAGAGTGTCCACAAACAAATGTGAACGGATGCATGCACATACACACACTCGGGGGCGAAGATAATATACGTTCACATGAAAATGTGGACTTATAAAAATAATTCTTATACTTATACCGTAATAAATATCATTGGTGCCTAGATACATTGACATGATTCTACTATATAATCAAGGGCAATAACTCCAATTTTATAGTAGATCAGATGTTGACTTTTGCAAAGTGTGTGCAAGTGAGCAAGGGCTATAACTCTAGCAGTACATGTATTCATTGAAAATCATTCAATTTCGACACGATTCTTCATTTCACTTGTGGGTGGGGGGTGGATGGCCCAATGGTTAGTGCGTGCGCATTGTATCATAAGGTCTGTCATTGAGTCAACTGGCCTGGTTTCGATTCCCCGGTTGTATGTGACAAAGAGAACGGTCACCTGTCGAACCTCGTGGGTTTTCTCCAGGTCCTCCAGTTTCCTCCCACTGCTAAAGATCCCTATGCACAAGGGAATATTATTGAAATAAAATTGAACCATATGTTCGTCCTGAAATGACCTAGTTTGTGTCAAGTGGACTTTAAACCCCATTTATCTCTCTCATTTCACTTGTTGTGACAAGGCATAAAATTTCAACCAAACTGGATGACAATTTTTGTCGTTAAGAGTGTTCCCAAGCATCTACAAAGAGATCAAGAGCAATAACTCTGAAAGTTATTATAAGAAATTTCTGAAATTCAATACAATTCTTTGCGTTACTAATTTAAACAATAACATTTGTTTGTCAAGCCTCATCTTCATAATCTGTAATTTCAAAGCCCAAAGAGTTGTCGCATATTTAATCGTCCGAGAGGTCAAGAATGTTTGTCGCATATTTTTTTCTTTTGTCGGTAATAAAAAGATTTACAAACACAAAAATCTGACTAAGAGCAACAACCTATTAAGTAATTATCAAAAATCATTAGAATTTGTTTGCCTTCTAGTTTTGCACAGTATACTTGAAGTTATTGGAAATTGTTGAAAATCAATAGGCTTCGGCATCTCATGACCTTTAAACACTGAATAAATTTAAAGTCAATCAGAGCATTCAAAAGATGTTTCAAAGAGGTCAAGGGTGATAACTCTGGAACTAATTATAGGAAATTGTTGAAAATCAACAGTCCTCTTCATCTCATGGCCCTCACCACTGTACTGTATACATTTAAACTCAATCGAATATGAACTTCAACAGTCCACAAACAATTGTAGATGACGGAGGGATAGACAGGGTTGACAGCAATATACAACTACATTTGGGCATATAAAAAACATTTACCTAACAAGTATCCCCAGGGGGGTTGGGATGGCCTAGTGGTCTAGAGTGTCACGCTTCGACCTCTAGCTGGCCGGTCACCTCTGGCTTGCAGTTGTGGTTTCGATCCCTGGTGTGAGCGTATGTGGCTTGGAGATAGGGGCGCCTTCTCAACCTCGTGGGTTTACTCCGGGTACTCCGGTTTCCTCCCACAGGAAAGACCCCTGCGCGTGCGCTAAGATAATGAAAATAAAAAAAAAGACAACTTGTCTGCGATATCACCTTCAGTGGAAGCGGACGTTAAACACTAACAACAACAACAACAAGTATCCCCACTAAGTCTGAACATTCTACCTCAACATAGTGGTTGTGTTTTATATGGTGTGATGGATGGACAGGCAGACGGATAGCTGATTAGCCCAAGCAGAAAATGTTCATCATCAATTTTCCCTCAATTAGATGCAGAGTTATTGTGTTCGAAAAGGTTGGATAGGCAGACAGACTGCTGCTTATACAGTCTACATCCTTGGTTAAAATTATTAGGCTCCCATTTTAAATAACTAGCGCCAACTTTTCAAAAATTTGTCACATGCAGAGATTGTCCTTGTACAAATGCATTATTTCCGAGAAATTTCATTTGTACTATGGAACTGCAAGTATGATTTCATCACATCCCTATGGATTTATGACATGATATCAAAAATTGAAGCATGTCAGTCGATGCACAATTGTCTACGGAACATACATGCTAAGATTCATGTCCATCATACATGAATTGGCGGAGTCTTAGGCTTTTTCAAAGAGTGTCATATGTACCCAAAAACAAAAACAACAAGAACAAGATGAGTATATTGAGGACCATGCTGGTGCATATATAACATACCTATTATTTTGAAGATATTGATTTTATAATATGGAAGTATAATACAGCTCTGAGCAATATCAAAAAAAATAGTCATTAATTTAGTAGCAGATTGTTTTTAACTTTTACAGAAATGGGCATTTGAACCAGCGCAAAATAACAATGACATAAATTTGACATTGTGATGTAACTACGTCCCATGATGTGCAGGTAAAGGCTAACATGTAATACAAGAAAATGGCTGCATGAAATTTGTGGGTGAAGAAGCTTGCCAAGTTTTGTCTTTTTACGCTGTCCATTTAATAGACATATAAACACATAACTTTATAGATGTCTCGTGTGTTTGATTCGCACGAATGTTACCTACATCAAATCTGCACAGCTAAATAGTAAATATTCCGCTGAATGCAGGCTAACTGTTTTTTTCTTCTGTCACTGTCAGACGTATTTTCATCAGTCTGGCTCAGCTGTACATCAAAACAACAACAAACCCTGGATGACGTCACATATAGACGTTTAATTTTATTTCTTGATTTATAACAAAAAGATGATATATTCTTCAATATTTTAATGCTTTTTGCGACTTTTAATAGTAGATTATTATTTATTTGATTGCTTTTGTTTTCTACGTGCTATAATTCAGGGGATGAACTTTGACCCATGTGGTAAGTCAACCGTGTAACAGCAGGCCTCTTTCATTGGCTGTTGAAATAGCCACCCCCTGAAACGTGATCCTGTTAAATGGCGTTCATGAGTTGGTGATTCCATTTGGTAAGAAATTAAGTTTTTCGCATTGTTAAAATGAATGCCACAATTATGATATATTTCAATCGATTCGTTATAATAAGTTCTACACTTTTGTATGGTTTTAAAGTGCTGAATTAATTTTCTTGCTAACAAAATTTGATAATAAATTCACATAAGCGGGAAGTTTTGTTGCATGGTTGCGCATATTTCATTTTCGACCTTCCTGATATGAATTAAATTTTTATTATTAAAACAATGAAAACTCAAAATTATTCACAACTTTTACACCACTTTAATAAATTTTTTCTCGTTTCAACTGTATAACTATATTGCATATTTTATTTTTCAGTATCTTTTCATCAATATTTCGTTACAAATTGTTTCTTTTTGACGAATAAATTCGTTTTCAGAACGAGGCTGGGTCCGTACGCAACCTTGATAACATTTTAGACATTGAGTTTAATTATATTCAAATTGGATGGTGGTTTATCATTTATTTTTGTTTATTTTAAAGGAACAACAAAGATTTGTTTAATCAGTGCGCTATTGTTTAGTTTTTGTTGTTTGATGTTGTTTTGTGATACTTTCGTCTCTAAAGAAATTTTACATGGACATCCGCCATTTGTCGGCTGCTGTGTCACATGCGCACTGTGAACAACGCGCTTTCACTTAATACAGCCTAAAAAAAAATACCCGTTAAAAGAAAAAAGCAAAAACAATTTATAACTCATGTTTTAAGCTATGAATTTTGCAGAAGTAGTGTACCGATTGGTTAATGAAGTAAAACTGTGATGTTATTTATGAATTTTAGTTATAGGGGAACCTTAATATTTGACTACAAATCTAAAATTTGACCTGTATATTTCGCAAAATAAATCACCAAATGAGACAAATTTATCTTTTATTTATCTTTTATTTATCATGTAGGTAGGCCTTATTTAATAGAGATTCAGTGATCCATGATAATGACACGTATTCGATAACAAGTTGTGTTTAAACTCATTGTACATTCCTGTCCATTAATAATGTAGCAAATATTTTTTATTTCTTTTATACAGCAACTCAAATATTCATAAAATTATTGAAAGTAAAGAAATATAAAACCAAAACCTCTAGAAAGTACTAGTAGCCTAAGTAGGCCTCTGAATTGCAAGTTTAGATAGAATAAGAGAAACTGATTAGTTAATGACATTAAATATTCTGAAGAATAAATGTTTGTTTTATGTAGACCGGTATCACTGGTAGGCCTACTGGGTAATATTTCTGATCCAGCCTAATGCTACACAAAACAATAAATGTAAGCTATGTAAATAATATATCAAACGCTCTGGGAAAATCTCCACAAAAACCTTATTCCGTCTGATGACTAATTATTGGGTTATTGTTAATTAGTCTACAGTCAAGCTAATGATAATAATAATAAGGAAGAAAACTTTTAATTAAGAGTGAATTTGAAACTGTAGGCCTACTTCTAACTCTAAAAATACTAGTAGACAATGTATAGGTTCAAGTCCTTATGTTAAACACTGGGACAAAGAAAATAATAATAATATTTAAGTTAGGGATTTGATAGTATGCTTAGATAATGTTTATACATATATATATATTTAAAAGAACAATGTGTCTCTTTGTACATAAATTTACACCAGTTAACCCAAGTTCTCCAATCATTCAACATTGTTTTAATACACCTTTTAATACACCTTTCAAAAATAGTATTTGCTTTTGAATTATAAAAACAAGATATATATTAAAGTAAGATTTATTTGATGTTCATTTTATGTTTTCTATTTAAAAGAATAATTTTCAGTAAGTCATTTGACACACAGTCATACCATTCATTTATTTCATATTTTTACAGCTTATAGTAATTTCTATTATTACTTGAATAAAGCTTTACTTCAGTTTGCATATAAATGTTACATTGTAGGCTACATGTACATCTAATTAATAATAGTAAAAAAAAAAAAAAAAAAATAGTGAAAGCAAGAGTGGCCATTCCTGAAAATATGATTTTGTGTTTTCATAATAATGGACAATAAGGAAATTTTACAAAGAAATTTTATCAATTTCTATTATCCTTAAGAGGAATGATAAACTTCCTTTTATTAAGGGGAGATAACCTATTCCAAAGCTCCTTTCATTTATGATTTTAATACACGCATCTGTGATTATGGATTAAGGGGGAAAATTGAAATGATATGGGGTTGAATGTCCACATTGGAAAATACAGAAACTTTCTCGACCAACACTGGGATCGAACCCCAAATCTTCAGAATAGTTACTGAGGGATTCACTCACTGAGCCACAACAGCCCCAAAGAGGGGGGAAATTGTAATTTTAATCACTTTGATTACTTTTTATATGCCCACATTGAAATGTGGTCGTATATTGTCATCACCTTGGTCCGTCCGTCTGGAAGGCGATCCGCCATCCACAATTACTTGTGGATACTCTAGAGCCTAAAATTAATATCCGATTGACTTTAAATTTATATACAGTGCTTAAGGCCATGAGACGAAGAAGCCTATTAATTTTCAGCAATTTCTGATGATTAGGCCTACTGCCAGAGTTATGGCCTTTGATCACTTTGAAAAATCTTGTGGACGCTCTAGAGGCTAAAGTTAATATCTCATTGACTTGAAATTTATACACAGTGTTTAAGGACACGTGACGAAGAAGCCTATTGATTTTCAACGATTTCCGATAATTACTGCCAGAGTTATGGCCCTTAATCACTTTGAAATATCTTGTGGATGCTCTAGAAGCTCAAGTTAATAGCTGATTGACTTTAAATTTATACACAGTGTTTAAGGAAATGAGACGAAGAATCCTATTCATTTTGACTTTAAATTTATGCACAGTGTTTTAGGTCATAAGATGAAAAAGCCTATTGATTTTCAATGATTTCCGATAATTACTACCAGAGTTATGGCCCTTAGATATCAAGAACACTTTGAAAATTCTTGTGGACGCTCTAGAGGCTACAGTTAACATCAGATTGACTTTAAATTTATACACAGTGTTTAAGGTCATGAGACGAAGAAGCGTATTGATTTTTAGCGATTTCCGATAATTACTGCAGGAGTTATGGCCCTTGATTACTTTGAAAAATCTTGTGGACGCTCTGGAGGGAAAAGTTAATATCCGATTGATTTTAAATTTATACTCAGTGTTTAAGGTCATGAGCGAAGAATCCTATTGATTTCCTGATAATTACTTAATGAGTTGTTACTCGTAATCAGATTTGAGTGTATTGTGAATGTTTCATAACCAACAAAAGTAAAAAATGCGACAACTCATTGACTGCCTGGACGATTTAGCTGCTGTGGGTGTATGTTTCGTTGCTTGACAACCTATCTTTTAACTTTCTATTGTGGTGGAGAAAAAAGGCTTATGTTATAACCATTTGCCTTTTGTTGAATACTACATGTATCTCCATGTATTAAAACACTGCCTTTGGTTTGATTTTAATCACTGCAGCATTCAATTTATGTGTACTTTTTCAGATCGGAAATGAATACCCCTCCGCTTTCAGGGCTTGTTGATGAAAGTCAACCCCCAATAAAGAAACCCAAAATGGATGGTACCGGGGATACCAATCAAGTTGTTATAGCATCACCAGTTGTAACTACAATGTCTAACATTGTATCATTATCGAATCCAACTTTCCAATCAGGAAAATCAATTAGTTTGACTATTACTAATGGTAAGATTTTTGAAAAATTCAAATAATTATACTTTTGTCATGAATTGTGCCCATTTATCCACATGGTAGATTTATTGGAGGTGGGAAGATTTTTGCTTTATCAAAATTGATATTGGAATGAAAAGCTCTTTGGTTTTAAAACAAATGTTTAGTTTCAATAACATATTGCAGAATAGCTATACCCTTATGTATTGGAAGCACATTGTTTTTATGCACCCACATGGAAATGCGGTTGTATATTTATCATCTGAAAGTTTTGAAATTGATCAATCTGATTAAACCAAATTGATCACAGATCCTGTTTCGTTTCTTTTTTATAGTCCAGAATTTCGTTTTATTTGTCTGTACTACACTAGGACCTGGAAGAGTTGTTATATAACAGGCGTTCGGAATGGCCTGAGGGATTAGCCAATGAAATCATCTGTTATGGCGACTTCTTAGCGTGCCATGCACGGAACTGTGGGTAAAAAAACCACTGGAAACGTCAACACTGATTGATTGATCAATGTCTGATGTCATAGGGTCAAAAGCTGCTCATACAACCCCTGACGCCATCTTCCAGTACAGCTAGTCAGATCTTCATGTAATGTAGGCCATCGAATGTATAAAAAAACAAAACGAAATATAGATCTGTATTTTAATCAGATTGGAAATTGATATATGTTGTTTACATTAGTGAGATGAAGAAGCCTGTTTAATTTCAAAAATGTTTGTAGTTATAGCCCTTGTTTCACTTTGTTACTCCTTGTGAACCCTCTAACGACAAAAGTTATCATCCAATCTCTATGAAATTTATATGCATCATTCGAAATGAAGAAGGCTATTGAATTTCATCTGATCTGTTGAACGTTGTGAAGGTTCGAATGACAAAAGTTATCATCTGATCTGTATGAAATTTATATGCATTGTTTAGATTAGTAAAATAAAGAAGCTTATTGAATTTCAGCAATTTCCATTAATTACGTCTTTAGTTATGGCCCTTGTTTTACTTTGTTGAATCCGTCTTCATTAGCCCAGTCGAAGCAGAACAGTAGGACATTAAAACCCCATTTCATTTCATTTCATTTACTTTGTTGAACCTTATGAACATTCAAATGACAAAAGTTATCATCCGATCTGTATGAAATTTTAGATTAGTAAAACGAAAAGTCTGTCAAATTTCAACAATTTTTGTAAATTACTTCTAGAACTAAGGCCCTAGTTTCAGTTTGTAAAACCTTGTGAACCCTTAAGTGGCAATATGATAATCTGTTTTGTATAAAATTGTCTTGTAAATGTCCCCAATTACCTACATGTACAAAAGAATAAATATGCAACAAACCTTGTCGACCGCTCAGACTATTTAGCTGCTGTGGGCGTACGTACTTGCCTGGCAACCTTTCTTTTCCCAAGTCTTTGTAACATTATAATAGTTAGGTTCAAAAGGAAAGTATATCATCTTGGCCTTTGCCTCATCCTGCCATAGTTAGTTACCCTGAGTTCTGGTAATAACTATTATTATTTTACTGTATGATCAGTACTAAACACCATGACAACAACTTTATAACAATCTCTTATAGTACACCAAGTCTGAAACCAATCAAAAGTCGAGTTTAGGCACGATTCCAATATAACTATTACCAAGGCTGGCTGATGGTATTGTGACAAGGAAAGTTGCAAATATATTATCACTTTGTAAAAATAGAGAAAAACATTTCACTTTTTATACGCCCACATTGAAATGTGGTTGTATATTGTCATCGCCCATCTGTCATAACTGCCAGAGTTATGGCCCTTGAACACTTTGAAATATCGTGTGGATGCTCTAGAGGCTAAAGTTATCATCCGATTGATTTTAAATTTATACTTTTTGTTTACGGTCATGAGCTGAAGACACCTATATATATTCAAGGATTTCTGATAATTACTGCCAGAGTTATGGTTCATGATTACTTCAAAAAATCTTGCAGATGCTCTATAGGCCAATATGATTATTTGATTGACTTGATTAGATTGATACACTTGAGTTAAAGATCTTGAGACGATGAAGTATATTTGGATTTTGAATGATTTTTGATAAATTGAACAGTTAAATCCATGATATTAAATGTTTTGTATACTAAACGTTAGCATGGGGCAGGACTAGAAACCAAACAAATTCGAATGAGTTTCTGATAATTACTGAGTTCTTACTCAGATTTTAGTGTATAAATGTTCTCATTACCCGACGGCTTAGCTGCTGTGGGGGTATGTTATCGTTGACTTTTTTTTTTGGTTGGGATGAAATTGACAATTGTGTTGTATGGAATCAAGGTTTTGCTGGAGATATTTTATTACACTGCTTCTTGCAGTTGGCTTATAAAATGAATGTTCCAAATAGTAGATATATGTTTATATCTAGATAGAACATTTTATATTTGTAGGTGTTATCAATAGAATTAATACGACAGATCAAAAGATATCGCCACCTGTCAAGAACGTCGCTCCTTTAGCTTACATTAAAGGTATAAATCCACCTAGACGTAGTGCATGCCATGGACAATCTTAGAGATATTCAAAAAACAAATTGTGGAATTTATCTAGCTGTGTATGTAGTTAGTTTTAGTTCAATATTAATAATTTGTATCTTTTCTTATTGTGTGAAATTAATGAAAATGTGGATGATTGTTTTTGTTATGTCTAAAAAATATTCTTATATTACAATTTTAGGTGGCATGGGAAATGCATCACTGCGAATGGTAACAACATCTCAAGCTTCATCTGTTCAACAAGCTCAGCTAAAAATACCTAATGCACCGATAAAACTTCAAGGAGCCACAACTACCAGTAACCCAATCAGAGCAAGTAATATTATGACATTGCCAGGTCATCAAATACCTATTCAAGCTTTTGCTAACTCTCAACTTGTAACACTCCCATTGTCTGCGACTATGCAAATACCAAATGCAGGGAAGCACAATTTAGCATCACAGAGTAAATATATTGTGCGAGGTAAAAATCCTGTGGGAACCACCAATGTTTCTGGTGCAACTAGCATGATGGTACCACTACATCAACCAATTTATGCTCCCCGTCAACCAGCCATGTTAGTCCAAAATAAACAACAAGGTATATTGATGCAGCCAGCTCATACTCTCCATGTTCTTTCACCTGCTTCGCTAACTCAAAACATGGTAGGTACCCTTCAGAGACCTCAAGTACAGTTAGTTACCTCTCAAGGTCATGTTCGACCTACTGCATTCCAGACCACAGCTCCCATACTTCCTAATCATAAATCACCAGCACCCAATCAATTACAGCAGATCATCCCAGTTAATAAAAATCTATCACAATCTGCATCCCTCACTATGACAACTGTCAGTCTTACGTCTGCCAACCAGACTGCAGCCACACAGGTTTTTGTAACAGCAATTCCACAGACTACATTAACCACCCAGTCCATGATGCATCAAGTCAAACCAGTGGACAATGAAGTTCCTGTAACGGAACAAATTTCGTCATCCAATGGTCAGCCAGACGATACAAATCTAGTTGAAGATATCATGGCAGATGTAACTACAACCAAGGTAGATATTTTAGCAGATGCACCAGCCGATCCACTTCCAATCGACATACCTACATGTGCAGTAGACACAGTTCCAGTATCAACAGTTGATCTTAAATGTGAAGAGACAGAATTAACAGCTGATACTTTAACAGATACACTTATGCCAGATCTGGACCAGAATTCTAACCAAGGTGGTGGTGATTTTGATCCAGCTACAGCAATGAATTGGGAAAATGGTATTGGAACATTACCAGGAAGTGACTTCAAGGTGAGATTTGTGAAAATGGTTTTAATGAATAGTTTTAAATAATATGTTGGAACTTAAAGAGCTGCTGTTTGCTTAAATGGTTTTGTTAATTCCGTCTTTATTAACCCAGGCAGAGCAGAACAGTAGGACGTTAAACCCCATTTCGTTTCATTTCATTTGGGTTTTGTTAATTACAAAACTTGTTAGCTAAATCTCATGTTTGCCAAGTAAATTCCTTCAGGATGTGTAAGCATCTGCCTTGTGCATTTCAGTACACCTGTCATTAACTAATTGAAGTGCACACTCCAAGCTACTTGGCAGAAGTTGTTTGAATGTCATTCTGATTGAAAACAAAGTACATGTAATGGATATATTAATTATGTTTTACAGTTTCGATTGAATGAATTTGGATGCATGGAGATGATAACGGATGACCTACAAATTTCAGAGGAAACCAAAATGGATGAGAATGACAGTGAAATGCTTAGCCCAACAGTATCAAGTTTTATGGAGAATGTAGAAGAAAATAAACCTGTAATCTCTCCAGGTATGTACCGGTATTTAAAAACGGACCTGATCATACTTGCATGTAAGGGCTTAAGATATGTAGTTTCTATTGATATATATTAATATGTATAGTTATGCTAACCTTTCACAAAATATTGCAAAGAAAAATTATTAGATAACAATGAGTGCAAATTTAACCATTTTTGCATTTAATTGAATGTTTTTAAATTGCTGAGAATCCATTAGGAGACAAGGTTTGTCTTTAAGACTAAAAGACAGTCTAAATCACTTGCAGTTAGCATTGTTCAGCAATATCTGAAGGTTGCAATTATGCAGAGATCATTCAGTGCAGTAATTTGGTTAATGGATAATTCACATGCAACATTTCACACTGTCAAGGTTCGTCGATTTTGATTTTCCAGACTGAATGAAAAAGGTGTAATAATGTTGAAAATTTTATTACAGTTGACAAAGGTTTAAATTCTGGAGATAATATAGATGGAGATACTGTATGTCAGTGTGAGAATTGTGGTACCCGTGGAATAGCCAGTGACTTCTGTAAATCAGGAAGATTTTGTTCATTGACGTGTGTGGGTGCCTTCGCTGGAAAGTGAGTATGTTTGGATCATAATAGTCCTGGAATTTACAATATTCTCTAACTATAAAACAGTCAACGAAGAAGTAATTTGGCTATCTAATCCAGATGACAATTACTCTTTTATTCTGTCCTCTAATTCCTAACTATGGTAAGCCATTATAACTAAATACTTATTTAATGGTGTGTTTATTACTGCTCAAGTGTGATTTAAAAATTTGTCTCTGTAGTCCGACTGTCTGGTTCAGTAAAATTATTGAGTTCACTCTTTGAATGTTATTTACAATTAAGTCATCCAGTACAAGATACATGTATATGTACTCAGTCACAACCACTAAAAATAAAAATGTACATGTAGCATAAGCCACAGTAGTTTGTATTAAGAGATTCAAATTTTCGTCATACTGTCTGTAGAAACATAATAACCTACTGTAAATACTGGTAGATGTTTACATATTCAAATGTTGTTTTTATTCAGAAAAAATAATACCCACAGATTAAAACCTACTTCTAGAGTACTATTGGATATTAAAGCTAAGAAAAAGAGAAAGAAGTTACTAGATGACATGTCTGTTAATTCTTCACCAGAAACACCAACAGAAGAAGACATTAAACCTAAATTACCTATAATTGAACCAGTGAAAGGTAATTTCTAATAAATCTTGTAGCCCCTTGTGTCCTTTCGGTAGTGCAGGTTAGAGGCACTGATGTAAAACAGTGTTTAGTCATTCAGATGAGAAGAAAAATCTAGGTCCTGTGTATATGGAAAATTAACCCTTATAGTTAGAATTCGTCATCAATTTCTACTGGGCAAAATTTCCCTCATTGCACACTGCAGGGAGTATGCTGGTCTTCCATTAGCCCAGTTGGTACATAAAAGTAAGATGTTAAAGTCCATTTATTTTCTCTTTAAGACCATATTAATTTTTCAGCAACACCAGTTAAAATATTGCTTTCTGTTTCTTGGGGAAAACAAATTAAAAATCAAAAATACTTGGCAACTATCTAAGTCATGAAATTTTTGGAAAAATTCATCACTCAGTTGAGTCTATTGGTTTTTCCATACATTGGCATTTGTGAAAACGACTACATGTATTCCCCTTTAACTGATATAGATCTGTTTGTAGAACAGTAACACCTGAAAGAGTAGCATACAAAATTGTTCATTCCAATTTACTTGTTATATCTAATGTTCAATGTATAAAACTTTTTCCTCATTTTTTTGGTAACAAAGAAATTTTTCCTTGTAGTTTAAATATGTTTTCTAATTGATGATTATGTATTCAGGATTATAACAGTTGAGGAAATATATCTGTTAAAGACATGGCATCAAATTTATTTGCATGTGGATGGAAAATCAAGTGTTTTTTGTCAATCAATTTATACCTCAAATCAAGTCATCTCAACTTAGTACCCATAAACAAGTGATGCCCCCAAAAATTGAAGTGTTATAATCACTTACTGTTCTTATTGTTGCAGCTAAGAAATCCAAGGGATTTAATTGGGCTGACTATTTCGCAACAAACAAGTGTTTTCCTGCTCTACAAAAAATATTTAAAGAGGTTTGTTGGATTTCTTTGGAAATTAGGTTAATCACAAAATATTTCTGTTCCTGCCATATGTGTCTAGATAATTTTGTAAATGTAATGTATTTTCAAAATGATCTTACATTAAAAGATAAATCACGTTAACAATTTTATAAATGAATTAATTTGTTTGTTTCAGCCATTTCCTCAAATATTAAAAAATGGTTTTAAAGTTGGTATGAAGCTAGAAGGTATAGATCCGAAGCACATGTGCATGTATTGTGTTTTAACTGTAGCAGAAGTTCAAGGCTTCAGAGTTCGACTCCATTTTGATGGTTATTCTGAATGTTATGATTTTTGGACAAATGCTGATTCTCCATTTCTATTTCCCATTGGCTGGTGTGAAAAGAATGGCAAGACATTGCAACCTCCTAAAGGTAATTTTCTCAGTGATAGCGAGTAATTTCTGAATTATATTGTTTATAAATATTATTTCAATGTTAAAAAATGCAGCAAAAAAGTTTAAAAGTTTTCAGATTTGTAAGCTATTAATTATGTTGTTGACAATTTAATTTTCAGCCTGACCCTGTTTATTATTTAAGATTTTGTAATGAAGTATGATGTGATGTAACAGTCGAGTTATAGAGTCTTATCATTCATTTATGGTTTTAATATATGTCTGCCTTCAACCTCTGTTTCTAGGTTATCCTCCTACAGAATCCTTCAACTGGCCAAATTATTTACGTATGACAAAAAGTACAGCTGCACCAAAAGGTTTATTTGTTAGTCAACCTGCTACGGTATGTTTTGTTTAGATTCAATATATTTATAAAGTGAAAGTAAGCAGGGGACTATTACAGTGAGTGTCCGTCAAACCTAATGAAACACTTTGCTTTCAATTGAGGTACAATGTTCAGACTTGGTATTGATGTTCACTAGACGATTGTCTTGATTTAGCTCCATGATGAGCATTTTCTGCTTAAGCCAAGCAGACTCTGCATAGATACTGTAAACAAGTTTATTCCTTTATTAGGACACTCAGGTTCTAATTGAGTTAAACTATTCAAACTTGGGGGAGAAGCTCATTAGATGAATATCTTGACTTAGTTGTGGAAACTTAGTATATAGTTTCATGCAAAAAGAAAAAAAGTTTATTAGGATACCCAGGTTCCAGCTGAGTTATTGAGTTAAAATATTCAAACTTGGTGGAGATGCTCATTAGATGAATGTCTTAACTTAGTTGTCGAAACTTAGTGTATAGTTTCATACATCGGTAACTTGACTAAGATCGATGATGAACAATTTTCTGCTCAGGTAAAATAGGATGATGAAAAGTTTGATTGCTTGATGTTTTATAAAGAAATAAATGTGCAACTAATTTATGAGAGTAATCTATTTAAAGTGTGGAAGGAACTAGAAACAGAAAACAACATAAATAGCAACCACCATCATTTTTATATTAATTATGTTATATTTTCAGTCTGTGACACCCACTGCATTTCGTGTTGGTATGAAACTGGAAGCAGTTGACAAGAGGAATATATCATTGATTTGTGTAGCCACTGTTGCAGATACTTTAGGAGATAAAGTCCTTATTCATTTTGATGGTTGGGAAGATAACTATGACTATTGGTGCGATATAGTCTCTCCTTATATACATCCTGTAGGATGGTGCGAGGAAAATGGACGCATTCTTTCTCCTCCTTTTGGTAGGTTAATCCTAAATCTTTTAGTCATAAAATGCAAGGTACATGTAACCGCTGTACAAAACTAGGATAGAACAACGGTTACCATCATACATCACACCCAGTACAATTAGAGTTTAGATACACTCCTAGAGAACATTGAGATGAAAAGAATATCTAACTAGACTTTTAGTTTTGACTTAAATATAAATTTCCTCAGAAATTGCGATTCTAAACAACCAAGTTGCTAAAAAAGACATATCTTACAGTCAAGCATATTTTGAATAATGCAGACTATAACGCAGTTGCCATTATAAATGACTCATCACTCTAATAGTAAGAAGATAAGTGGCTGGACCTTTTAGCATTATTATGTATTGTGTGGCAATAGTACATGCTGATACACAAACCAACGAAGAATGCTTTACAGGGTGAAATGATTAACTAATTATGCCCAATAGAACATTTTGAATAATTATTTTAAGAGATTTAATTTGAGGGCTAATATTAGGGGTGGTTTCACTTGTGCAATCCATTTAAAAAGAAAAGATACGTATCTATGACAATTAGAAGTCGAGGGTCTTTGATGAAACCATACTTAGTTAGAAACTTATTTTATAGATTGGAAAGATGTAGAGAACTTTACGTGGGATAAATATCTAGCCCATACAAAGTCTTCAGCTGTACCAGCTAGAGCATTTAAACCTGTAAGTATTAACTTAGCTGTGTTTTACAACTTGAAGTCAAAGAAGGGGTGTGGACATGAGAAAAAAATTCAGTTTGAAATTGTTGGTTTTCAGACAGTGAATCTCCATAGTTAATTTCAGATTTACATTAATAGGAATAGTGATCATCTGATTATGTGTTGATGCCCATATTAAGGTGGATCCATGATGTGAAAAGTCCAAATGCTCTTAGTATGGAGAAGAGGGTAAATGCAGATGTGAGGGGGTACTCAAGAGATTTATGAAATATCCAAATGTGTCTGTGAGTGGAAAAAGATTTGGAACGACTGTTCTAGTGAACCCTTATTTAAATTGCACATTAGCTAGAAGCATATGATACATGTAACATGATTGGTTTGAATAGCACAATATATAGGCTACTTAAACATTTGTATGCAAAATAAAACATTTAGAAATATCAATGTTAAATCTTGTATGTCCACAATGAAAAAATTGTGGTATATTGTCATTGGTCTATTCCTGTCATCAACAATTTTTTGTGAACACTCTGCAATTAACATATGATATTATGATATTTTTATGTGAATTAGCCTGTTGATTTTCAACAATTTCTGATAGTAACCCCTAGAGTTATAATCCTTCATTAGTTTGTAGCCTATTATGTACAGTCTAGCACAAAAATTATCATGCAACCTGCTTTAAATACATTATTGTTGTGATTTCTGTTTATTACTACTAAAATTATTGTCCTTGATTATAGCTCTCACTATTTCTGTGATGTTTATCAGTATATAGTCTTGCTTCATAACATCCTTCACTGACTGATCAGAGGACTTTGCAAATGTTCGTCTACATTTTGTTGCCTGGCATACTGTCTTATCCTACACACTGGTTTATTCTTTCAGCGACTTCCATATGCATTTGAACCTGATATGATGATAGAAGCTGTTGATATCAGAAATCCTATTTTAATCAGAGTTGCTAGGATTGTGGCTGTAGAAGCAAATCAGATCAAAATCCATTTTGAAGGCTGGTCAGATGAATATGATTTCTGGGAAGATGATGATAGCATGGACATTCATCCCCCTGGTTGGTGTACTAGAACGTCGCACTGGCTACAACCTCCATTAAGTGAGTGAAAAATAAATTGTTCATTACGTTAACTTGCTTCTATTTAAAGGTGAGGTGTCTAAAAATCTTTGTTTCAAGGTTGAAGGTAGCATAATCAAAATGATGTTGAAAATGGATTATCTTATATTGAATTTGTATACTCCTACTTTTTCATGTGGACGTATATTGTTGTTGCCCCTGTCCACCCATCCACAATTAGTTTGTGGACAGTCTACAGGTCACAATTTTTAACCGATTTTGACAAAACTTGAAATATAGGTTTAGCTCCAAAAGATCTTGGTTCCTTTTGATATGGGCATGTATTGGATCAAAACTTCATGGATTATGTTTCTTTTGCCAACGGCACAGCTTTGAACATGTGAAAAAATAGAGGCACAAGTGGCTATAAATATATGTGGATATTTGAATTTTGCAAAATAAAAACTTGGTAAGTCGAATGGAATACAACCGTAGGCAGAGACTGGCCATAGACACATAGAATGACTCAAACTAAATAAAGAAAAACACAGCTATGAACTTATCAGCAGACACCAGTGAATACTGAATTGGGATCACATGATTTTTATACGGCCACATTAAAATGTGGTCATATTGTTGTCACCTCCGTCCATCCGTCCATCCGGCATCCACAATTGCTTGTGGACGCTCTAAAGGCTAAAGTTAATATCCGATTGACTTTAATTTTATACACAGTGTTTAAGGTCAAGAGACAAAGAAGCCTATTGATTTTCAGCGATTTCGAATAATTACTGCCAGAGTTATGGCCCTTGATCACTTTGTAAAATCTTGTAACGCTCTAGAGACTAAAGTTATCATCCGATTGACTTCAGATTGATACAGAGTTTAAGGTCTTGAGACGAACAAGTATATTGATTTTCAATGAATTTTGATAACTTGAACAGCTAAATCCATGCTATAAAATGTTTCGTATATTAAACGTTAGCATGGGGCAGAACTTTATAAAAACCAAACAAATTCTAATGATTTTCTGATGATTACTTAATGAGTTGTTACTCTTAATCAGATTTTAGTGGATTGTAAATGTTTCATTACCAAATATGCGACAACCCTTGTTGACTTCCTGGACAACTTTGCTGCTATGGATGGAATTTTTTGTTGCCTGGCAACTTATGTTTTTTTTTAGCTTGTTCTCTATCCATCTCTTGCAAAATGTGATCATATCTTGCATGGCAACCACCTGTTATAAGTTAAAGTGCGGTCACAAATGGTGGTCATTGGTGTATCAACCACAATGATTTTAGGATTCTCTAGTGGCTACAGCTAACATCCTATCAACTTGTAATTCATACACCGTTTGTTTGCTCATACGCCAACTAATTTCCAGAAAATTCCAGTAATTAGTTTTGGAGTTATATTCTTGGAAAGTTTGGTGAAGACCTTGGAGAATATGGTTATTATCGGATTGATCTAAAATTTATACACTGTTTCTGTAAATGAGATGAAAAAGCCTTTGATTTTCACTCAAGGAATAAAGAATAAAAATGCAACAATCTTTGTCAACTGCTCAGACATATTGGCTGCTTTGTGCATTTGTTTCCTTGCCTGGCAACCTATCTTTTGTTATTGTAGATCCAGTTGATTTAGTAGAAGCATCACCAAATCAGTCAGGGTGTCCTACACCAGGATGTAAAGGTATTGGTCATATCAAGGGAGCTAAATATACAGGTCATCATAGGTAAATTTATTCACTGTAATTCATATACCGTAACTTGACGAATCATTGTTCTCTCTCCAGTCCATCCTAATTCGTAACAGTTGTTTGCTTTAGTGTAGTTTCTATAAACAATAATACTTCAGCCATAACAACATACCGTGAAGTTGGTAATATGTGTGTCCCATTGATGCTATTTCGCCTGTATATTCTGGACATGTCCTGCGCTTTTTTCCAAGCATCCGACTAGGAATATGCCCAATCAAGAATATGGTGAATGATATTCAAAATTCCAAAATTAATTGACCACTGATTTTATAACTGCTATTCTTCCCAATTATCATTTATAATGGGCTCATTTGATTAGGTAATTAAGTGATCAAAGTATTTATCATGTTATACCGTCTATACACCTACCTTGATCAACTACTTAATCGGCCTTGATTGATTGACTTAACCCCACGTCGGTCAATTCCTCAATCCAATCCTGAACAGAAGTCGTTGCTTCAACTTTGTCAGACTATTTATCAATCTAATAAGAATGATTATTAACTTAATCTACCTAATTACCTTGTGGTTTCTCCATAGTCAGACATTTTAATCAACTTGATGTCAGCTGACAGCATGTAGAAACTAGTCATAGATGTCTCATATCATAATAGTATATTACACCCCAAATCAATGGACAGTCATAACTTTCAAAATGCTTTGATTCTTATCTACTGCCTTGTCGTCTACCAAGAAAATGTGAAGAGGCTGTAACCATTTTCCTTCGTAAGAATTTCTACGTGGTCCCACCTGGCAACACATTTCCCATTACACAATTCACCAAAAACAAAATATTTCATACATATACGCAAAATGTATTCATACGACTCCATATAGAAATCCCCATCTACAGTGGCACGTTCCCACGATGTTGCACGGAAATCATCGCTTACCATATAAGGCAGTGCTTACCAAGAAACTATTAATAGAAGTGATTTACGTGTAACCCGTCACGTAGGTCAATAACAGATATGATAAAACACGGAAGTTGGCTATGCCTTTTTATGAGTGATTAAACTACCAATGCAATTTTAAAATAACATTTTATAAAGAAGAAAACGATGTTACGACATAACAAATTATTCTTATTTCGGACGTTGGCTTTCATTTGCTGCTGTATAAAGGTAGACACATTATTTTTGAGGAATATTACTGGCGTGAATTTGAAACGGGTACGGGTGAACATGCTCTCTTTCTGTCGTATTATGAAAAAACGTAATTTTGTTGGAATATTACTGACATAAATTTGAATATCGCACTGGAATTAAATGTGAAAAATAACGAGGTGCACCTATTTTTATTATCTTGTTGACACATGATTTTTATATGCCCACATTGAAATGTGGTCGTATATTGTCGTTGCTCCTGTCCATCGACCCGGCATCCACATTTGCTTGTGGACGTTCTAGAGGCTAAAGTTAATATACACAGTGTTTAAGGCCATGAGATGAAGAAGCCTCTTGATTTTCAGCGATTTCCGATAATTATCCGATTGACTTTAAATTTATACACAGTGTGGCGTGAATTGGTCCACAACATACTGTTAAGTATGAGTGCATGTACGCATCGGATTGTGTATTAAACGCTAACAAAAACATAATTCCACATTTATAATATCCAAATAAACAGTCCCTTTGGTCGGATTCTCATCCAAACGATGACACATGAACAAAATACAGCAGCAAACTTATGCCAATTCTGTATGCTTACTATAGAGACCAGTGAACGTGTTGAACCAACTACATCACTTTCGGTTTTAATAATAATTAATTTCTTGCTTACAAAAACTTTTTTACTTGAGTTACAGAGGGGATTATATATCAATATATATTTAAGATTAATGGAAACCTTGTTGGTCCATATCTTACAGCCTTCTACACTTTCATTTGCAATGGTGCTTTCATTCACACTGAGACTTTGTGGTTGGGGCCCTCCCGCGAGGGATATGTCCATTATTTTTCAACAGATGTTCAGTTGGTGAGAGATCCAGAAAAAGGTCTGGCCATTTAAGCACTGCTAAGTGGTTTTGATTCCTAAAGTCTTGAGCATTATCATGCAGTAACATGTGCACATCTTGAAAGACATTGAGTCAGAGTTGTATGGCAGTCTTGTATGCATTGTCAGCACTAGTAAATCCATCTAGATCCATCACAGTATCCACAATACAGGAAGTGACAGTTTGCGATTCTACAGATCTTGTCTGATAATGTGCCAGTCTTGTCATGGTGTTATCATGTTTTGCCATCCAGGCTGTGGCCGATTTCTATTGGACCCTCTCTCGGGATGGTAGCATGATGTTAACCAAACCTTCAGGTGATGGATCTGGTACTCATGCCCTATAGAAGTAACACAATTCCACGTTCTCTGTTTCAAACTTGGCACATTGTTATGTGTTCTACAGACGTTTAGGAGGTGTACTGACCCTAGCTTTTTAAAATCCACATTTTATACCCAATGTCTGCACCTTAAAATCATGATTTTCGACAGTTTTCTGTGTTTGGGAGAACTGATCTATTTTGCGTTTACGCAATTCTGAAAACATCATTTTGCCGTGTTAAGGAAAGTATTTCAAGATTATATTGTATATGTCTTAAATGAGATTTAGACTTATCTATTACAAAAGTGCTGGGTTACATTGCATCTCAGTATATATGTGAAAATGTTATATTTCAGTTTGTTTGGTTGCCCTTATTCATCAATGAATTTAAATAAAGACACACCATTATTAGATCGTCTAGGATCAACCCGATCAGAAGAAGGTTCTCTTACACCCTCAGTAAATAGAAACAAATTTGACTTGGGCTCCAACTCACCAGAAGGGTAAGTACAAGGTTTGAGGATGTGATGTTTGTCATAAGCCATTTAACCACATGATCCTTTGACAAAATTACAGCACGAAATTAAAAATGAAATATTGTCTTCTATGAGATTGGCCTTACTGTAAAATCAAGTAATTGTGCAAATTAGAATTCTTGTTATTTGAGTCACTTCTTACAATTTTAACAACTGTATGTTTTGTTCTAGTAAATGCCCAACACCAGATTGTGATGGCACTGGTCATGTCACAGGAAAATTTACATCTCACCACCGTCTGTCTGGTTGTCCTTTCAGTGATAAAAATTTGGAAAAAATTAGCCAAGAGAAAAAGCCATACACTGGTGCTAAAAGAGGACGAAAAAGGTAAGCATATTTATTACTAATGTGATCTTTGATTTGAAAAGGGCTATTAACACGGGAGACCAGTAACATGTACTATAAATTTTAAAGAAAGCATTTGGTTTCTCAACTATCAATCAATGTTGATACTTAGGAAGTTGTAAAAATTCATTAGAATATTGTTAACCATTGTTCAATTTGAGTAGCCTACATTGTTTTGAAATTAAGGTGTATCACAGAAATACATGTTACCTGCCTGTTAAGACATGCCTGTCTTCATTAGCCTGGTTAGTGATGGAAAGTTTTTATACGCCCACATTTTCATGTGGACATATATTGTCTTCGCCCCTGTCCGTCCGTCTGTCCACAATTGTTTGTGAACAGTCTACAGGTCACAATTTTTATCCGATTTCAATGAAACTTGAAATATAGGTTTATCACCCTCAGATCTCGGTTCCTTTCGATATTGGCATGTATCGGACTGTAACTTCATGGATTATGGCCCCTGATTGTACGAAAAATCACGTTTTTAGCTTGTGAACACTGTAGAGGCCACAATTTTTATCCGATTTGGTTCAAACTTGAAATGTAAGCTTATAACCCAAAGATCTCGGTTTCTTTCGATATTCGCGCATATCATAACGTAACTTCCTGAATTATGGCCCCTGATTGTACGAAAAAGTCGCGTTTTTAGCTTGTGGACCCTATAGAGGTCATAATTTTTATCCGTTTTAAAAAACCGAATTATTATATCACCGTTACACGCTAAGGACGACTGAGTTCGAATTTCGTGACAATCGGCCCAAAACTGACAGACAAAATGGCCGCCCTTAGTTCTCAAGTAGCGTAAAAATATGGTATATCAAGGTTGTGGACCCTATAGAGGTCACAATTTTTATCCGATTTTGTTGAAACATGAAATGTAAGTTTATAACCCAAAGATCTTGGTTCCTTTCGATATTCGCGGATATCGGACCGTAACTTCCTGAATTATGGCCCCTGATTGTACGAAAAATGTCATTTTTAGCTTGTGGACCCTATAGAGGTCATAATTTTTATCCGATTTAAAAAATCGTATTATTATATCACCGTTACACCTTAAGGACGGCTGAGTTCGACTTTCGTGAAAATCGGCCAAAACTGACAGACAAAATGGCCGCCCTTCGTTCTCAAATAGCGTAAAAATATGGTATATCAAGGTTGTGGACACTATAGAGGTCATAATTTTTATCCGATTTTGTTGAAACTTGAAATGTAAGTTTATAACCAAAAGATCTCGGTTCCTTTCGATATTCGCACATATCGGACCGTAACTTCCTGAATTATGGCCCCTGATTGTACGAAAAATCAAGTTTTCAGCTTGTGGACCCTATATAGGTCATAATTTTTATCCGATTTAAAAAAATGTTTTATTATATCACCGTTACACCTTAAGGACAGCTGAGTTCGAATTTCGTGAAAATCGGCCCAAAACTGACAGACAAAATGGCCGCGCCTCATTCTCAAATAGCGTAAAAATATGGTATATCAAGGTTGTGGACCCTATTAGAGGTCACAACTTTTATCCGATTTTGTTGAACCAAAGATCTCGGTTCCTTTCGATATTTGCGCATATCGAATTGTAATTTTCTGAATTATGGCCCTTGATGTAGGAAAAATCACTTCTTTTTTAGCTTGTTCTCTATCCATCTCTCGAAAATGTGGGTGTATCCTGCCTGGCAGCCGCTGGTTAAAACATTATTATTGTGAAAGGTATAAAACATCCCAGAAACATAATTTAAATAAATTACTTCAAAGGTTCTTCTTGTGGTGTTATAAAAGAGCTGACTAACATTCCTACCTTAAATTATTATTTCAATACTCCCAGCTTTTATTATTGTCGTCACCCCTGTCCATCTGGACATCCACAATTAGTTTGTGGACACTCTACAGGTCACAATTTTTATCCGATTTTGACAAAACTTGCAAAATAGGTTTGTCTCCCACAGATCTGGGTTCCTTTCGATATTGGCATGTATTGCATCGTAACTTCATGGATTATGGCCCCTGATTATACAAAGAATCACATTTTTAGCTCGGGACACTATAGGTCACAATTTTTATCTGATTTTGATGAAACTCGAAATATATGTTTATAACCCAACAATCTTGATTCCTTTCAATATTCTCACATTTCATACCATATCTTTTTGGATTATGGCCCCTGATTGTATGAAAAATCATGTTTTTTCTTGACTTGTTCTCTATCCATCTCTTGCAAAATGTGGGCGTATCTTGCCTGAAAACCGCTGGTTTTAATATGACCTTAATTCAGGTTTTCGTATTATTTTGATTTGTATTCGTTTACCTTTCAGATTAAAGCCATTGAATATTGATGAGAGAAGATTTAAACCCCGATTTAAGGAAGAAAAATGTAAGTACACCTTATATTTATATTGAAACTTACTAGAACTTACAATCTGTATCTGTTCCCAGTTTGAAGTAATGGATTTGGAACAAGATCTAAATCATTCCTTATGATTACTCCTGAAATATATTATTCCTAAGTTAATGTTTGGACCAGGAACGGGGCACCAGGCTCTATTTATGATGTTTGTGGGGCCATTGTTCTTTGAAAAAAGCCCAAGGCTCAACCAATTCAAGTATGAATGACATGAAACTAACATATTTGCTGCTTGGACAATTGCACATCGATTGACAGACTTCGATTTGATTGACAAACTTTGGTACTGTATTTGATATAACATCACAATTCCAACATAGCTTAGATAACGTCACGTTCGATCCCTTGTCCTAGTACTCTTGTACTTTGTTTTTATACGTCAACCTTTTCATGTGGATGTATTATAGTCGTCGCACCAGTCCATCCGTCCACAATTTGTTTGTGGACAACTCTACAAGTCACAATTCTTATCCTATTTTGACGAAACTTGAAATATAGGTTTATCTCCAAAAGATCTCGGTTCCTTTTGATTATAGCATGTATTGGATCAAACTTAATGGATTACGTTTTTAGCTAGTGGACACTCTAGAGGTCACAATTTTTATCTGATTTAGATGAAACTTGAAATGTTTGTTTATAACCCAAAGATAAAGATTCCTTTAGATATTCGCCCTTATCGGTCCGCAACTTCCTGGATTATAGCCCCTGATTGTACGAAAAATCACGTTTTTAGCTTGTGGTCCCTCTAGAGGTCATAATTTTTATTTGATTTACAAATGATTCAAATATATTAACATTCCACAATAATGGTGATTGAAGATGTCCCTGTACCCTGTAGATGTTCCAATCGCTTTTCTGTCCATCTCTTACAAAATGTGGGTTATTCTTCCATGGCAACCACAGGTCTTAATATCACCTTAAATTAAGATTTTAATATTGTTAAAAATCAAATTACATTGAACAGGGTTATTAAAAAGAGTAAAAATATTTTATTGTTCAAATTTTGTGCAAATTATTAAGTACTAGTTATCAAGAAATAATTAAATTACAAGATCCAAATGACAGCTGTTCGGCTTGAATAAAGAAGTTCAAGAGCCTCTGTTAAAGAAAATGTTGTGGCATATCCATTCCTATTACATGTATCTATCATTTGAAATCAGAAAAAAACGTGTTGAAAGTTTTAGTGTTGAAATCATCTTGACCATTTTCTTTAGCTAAAGGTAGCTGATGTCCAAGAGAGTTTTACATTTTCTTCAACATTTTAGCTGTTTCAAGTGGTTTCATCATTGTTTAGTGTTAATATATACTCTTCAAAAAAAGTAGGGGATATTGAAATGCAAATACCTATGCAGGTTGTGATACGATGAATAGTCATGGACACTTGACATGCTTTGAGAGTATGTTCACAGATGAAGAACTTATCGCCCCAACAGAAACACTGAACTGCACATGTTACACGTAATAGCGCCATACACGTGGGAGGGGTTCAATGTCAAATTTGACACTTCATTCAAGGAAGGGTTGATGAAAACTGCCGCGTGCTGGTTTATCTATCCATGTTTGCTTTCCTATCGGTTCTTGCATAAGATTTACTGTTTAGCTTATCTTTGCTTTAGTGTGTTACGTTTAATTTGACCGGCAGACGTGTTCATCGACGTCAACCGACAACACTGCAAGAATTGGCCGTGGCACTTCAAGAGGAGTGGGTCAGATTGCCCCAAATCGTGATTGGAGGGTTGATTAGGAGCATGCCACGACGAATTGCTGAATGTCTGAGGATTGGTGGATCAATTACTCATTATTAAGACAAAAATCAAAAACGTCCATTTTCACTTTTGACAGTGTATCTCTTTGCGAGTGAAATGCGGCCATCAGATAAGCCGCCCATATGAACTGTGAAACACTGAGCTGCACATGTTACACGTAATAGCGCCATACACGTGGGAGGGGTTCAATGTTAAATTTGACACTTCATTCAAGGAAGAGTTGATGAAAACTGCCGCGTGCTGGTTTATCTATCCATGTTTGCTTTCCTATCGGTTCTTGCATAAGATTTACTGTTTAGCTTATCTTTGCTTTAGTGTGTTACGTTTAATTTGACCGGCAGACGTGTTCATCGACGTCAACTGACAACACTGCAAGAATTGGCCGTGGCACTGCAAGAGGAGTGGGTCAGATTGCCCCAAATCGTGATTGGAGGGTTGATTAGGAGCATGCCACGACGAATTGCTGAATGTCTGAGGATTGGTGGATCAATAACTCATTATTAAGACAAAAATCAAAAACGTCCATTTTCACTTTTGACAGTGTATCTCTTTGTGAGTGAAATGCGGCCATCAGATAAGCCGCCCATATGAACTGTTTATATTCATGTGTAGGCAATTGGCCTGTTATTAACATACACTGGTTACCTCTAATAAAAACATACATTCTGAATATCCCCTACTAATTTTGAAGAGTATATATAGAAACTAATGGATTTCCTATATTAAATATCAATTTCTCTACAATATCCTGAATACAATTGTTCTGTATTAATCTTTCAGCTCCTGATGGTAATGCATCACTATATAATGGTATTCATCAATCTGTGTTTCAAACATGTAATATGCCAAATCCGTCTAGAGATTTACCATTATGTTGGGAACAACACTCAAAACTATTACCCGGTGTAGATCAGCTACAGAGTAATGACATATCAAAATGGACACTGACAGATGTGGCTAATTTTATACAAACATTACCCGGCTGTGAAAATCATGGTTCAAAATTTGTTGAAGAGGTAATTACTTAGTATTGATGATTTCTCTGTAAAGTTCCATGAGCTCCCCTCTAATATAATTTAACAGAGATATATCTGAATTACTAATAGTCATACTCTGCCTTCATAATCAAAGTGGATATTATAACATAGAAAATTATTGACACACTGCATAATGCAGGTTATGATCGAGATTCAGTAAGTATGAACTATGAACCAAGACATTGAATTCTTGTATTAATTTCAATATCACATTGTGAATTATGCCCTAGAAATTAAAAGCTATAATTTCAAGAAGTATTAGAATGACAGTGTAACATTGACAGTTCTTCACTTTACCATATGAATTGATGTGATGGATTCCACCAATCTCGAACCCAGAGATAAAGTTATCTCTGGGATCGAGATTGGGATTCCACAATATTATTTATTTAGTGCTTTAATAATAACAAAGAATGTTGTTTTCCTTTTATTTTAGCAAATAGATGGCGAAGCTTTCCTATTGTTAAACCAGACAGATATTGTCAAAATACTTAATATTAAATTAGGACCAGCACTGAAGATATTCAACAGTATTCTTATGTTTAAAAACATTGAAACCTGAATGAGACTAGTGGTTATTTACCCTGGCACTAGAATAAAACCATACTTAGTGCAGTTTGCTTCTTGACATAATGCTACTTGTCTTACCTAAAATGTGTGGCTTGATATTTTATAATATAAGTAAAACACTGCCTCATTGTTAGGTTATCATTGACTTTGATTGATGATTTTATTTTGAGGGATGTTATGTTTAACAGTGGTAAAGCAAAATTAGGGAAAAGTTGTGTGGGTAACTGTGGTGTTTATTTTTTTATGACACACATTTACATCATGCAGCATGCATTGTGATTGCACTTGTCAGCAGATTATGCCAGATATATATATATCCTGTTTCACTAGGAATTGTTTTATTCTAGCACCAGGTTTTTTTTATCTATTGTACATAATACTATTTCTACAGGAATACAACTGCACTGCTTTATCTGTGATATCAGAGCAATCATCAGGTTATTTTGTATGGACCAACCACAAAATATGGTTGCTAATTAATAGAGTACCTTGTATAACCATATTTGTTTTTTGGAGAGTCTCTTTGTAAATGGTCTCTTGTTACAGGATTAACCTGTATTAAGTAATATATTTGTAGTGGGGTGGGAGAATGTGATATAGTTTATTTGCATGCATGCAGTTAAGCTTTAGATGTGAATTATTGTGGCTCAAGTTAATCTATGAAATGACTTTTTATGCTTGAACAGTAATTGTTTTGTGAATGGCTAATGAAGATTTTATGTCCTTTATAAATCAGCATGAATTTGATTCAAATTGTCCTTGTTATTGTCAAAATGTTATAGTGTGTTACTGTTGAGCTTGGTGAAAACTGAAAACTATTGTTAAACTTTTTGTATTGTGTATATAAGTAATTTACATTAACATATAATATATTTGTTATGACTTCAAAGAAGTTATTTTATGCAAACGATTTTGTTACATCTAATTCTAAATGAAAGATGGTTGTTAGAATTGTAAAAATTGTATTGTTTTAGTATGTGTACACTGTACATTATTTTTACATTAAGCATGTATAAAAATGAAAATCTTAATGTGGTATGGAAGGTATGGCTTGTTGTAGATGAAGTTTTACAAGGTACCATTCATTTATCATCTACAAGGTAACATTATTTCAGCTAAGGTCATAATTTATTGAAATACTAAAAATCCAATGTGATTTAAAAACATGGTCCAGGAACCAAGCATGATGTCATTGCCGCCATCTTGGAATTGTGATGTCATATCAAAAATGTAATTGATGTGCAATTGTATATAGTCTCGATCATTCAGACAAATATTATTCTGGATGGGTTGTCAATATTTGAGAAACTCTAGGTCATTGACTAGATTATCTGGTCTTTTATGTTATGTACAAAACTACTTTTTTTTAGCCCAAGATGGTAATAAGGGAGGTAAATAGCCCTAAAACAAGATGTTGATTTCCATGAAATTAATCTATTTGTTTTGCCTGTGAACATCCAATTCTCCTAAGTATTTTATAGGCCCACATGGAAATGTGGTCGTATATTGCCATGGCCCCTGTCCGTCCGTACATAAGTTCGTCCGTCGTCCACAATTTCTTGTGAACACTCTACTGACTACATTTATCATGTGATTATTTTGAAATTGATATGTTTACATTAGTGAGATGGAGAAACCTATTTAATTTCAATAATTTCCATTAATTTCTTCAGGAGTTATGGGCCTTGTTTCACTTTGTTGCACCTTGCGAACACTTTAACGACAAAAGTTTTCATCTGATCTGTATGAAATTTATATGCATCATGTAAATTAGTGAAACGAAGAACCCTATTGAATTTCTAATAATTACTTCTCAAGTTATGGGCCTTGTTTACTTTGTTGAACAGAGTGAATGATTGAAGGACATGTCATCATCTGATCTGTATGAAATTTATATGCATTATTTAAATGCCCGTCATAACCTACAAAGTTTAAATATATGACAACCCTTGTTATCTGCACGGACGATTTAGCTGCTGTGGGTACACGTTTCGTTGCCTGGCAACCTATCTTTTATTCTTAAATTTATCTCTTAAAGGATCATATCTATGCTATTGATATTCTCTATTTGTCGTCAGGATTCACGATTGTTTATAGTAATGCATGAATTATGGGATTATTTTGGGAAGGTGTGCAGCTTTCTTGACTTTAGCTAAAATGTTCCAGCGCCCATGCATAACTAAGAGTTTGTTTTTTTATTGGTTGATCATCCAGTAAAATTTTGTCAAATGTGGACAACTGCCCCATGTTGACAAATAGCAGGTTCTGCGTGTCCAAAACTAAATTGTGCATGGAACAAGAAGAAGAATAAAAACAAGGTGATTAACGCTTGGGGCCCAGTTCCTGGTCCAATAAATGAAAAATACATACATAGGAGCTTGTCAAGAGTTCAAGATTTTCTTGGCGATGTTGAACACGTTTGAAATATGCTTCAAGTTACCACTGCTTTATTCAAATAACTTATCAAATAATTAGTTATTCTTTGCAGTCTCACATTTTACAGATTATATTTATCTATAATAACAGCCAAAACTCGTGGAACTTAAATGTAATATTGGTTTAGGAATATTCATAATATGTGTAAATAAAGATCTCATTTTATAGGCCTACAGATTGCATTTGATGAACTATTTGTTCAGTGGGGTTATTTCTAACATTGTTGATAATGTCATTTGTATTTGAATCAAAAATATTTCATCTTGATCATGTAAATGTAATTTATTTGATTCCTTTTCAATTTGTTTTACTACCGGTACCTTTGTTGTTGGTTATAATTACTTCCCAAGAAATACAGGAAGTGAACTTTGGTGCCATATTTAATTTATATAAGAGAGAATGTTAAGATGTCCTATGGTATTGGTTTTATTTCTTTACTGTTTATTTGAACATTGTTTCATTCAAATTAGTACTGTATAACTATTAATGGAATCTATACCAACCTGCAAAACCTGGTAATTCTAAGATTCCAAATGTATACTGCATAAATGTTTTAATGTTCTATTAAGAATGAATGTTCTTTGTAATGAAGAATTAACTTCTGTTCGATAATAAAAGCATTTATACATACACAAATTTCTTTTTATTTTTTTGTAATAAGCTTTATATTTTCTAATTAAAATTATAACATTACATTCCATTTTTCTACAATAATTGGTCGTCAATGATTGGCATTTTGACAGATTCTTTTCAAATATGGTGTGAAAGAGAGAGAGAGAGAAATGGGGTTTAACGTCCACTCGACACAAACTAGGTCATTTTGGGACTAACATGGTTTAATTTTATTTCAATAATTCGCTTGCGTGTAGGGGTCTTTAGCAGTGGGAGGAAACCAGAGGACCCAGAGAAAACCCACGAGGTTGGACAGGTGACCCTACTCCTTGTCACGTACAACCGGGGAGTTAAAACCATGCCAGTCGACTCAATGACAGACTTTATGATACAGCGCGCGCACGCTAACCATTCAGCCATCCAACCCCCCCAAATATGGTGTGAAGCATCGTGGTCATGGGAGGGCGATAACCCTAAGCCCCTTGTGAATGCGATTGTCTATAGTTTTCAACGGATTCTTTTCAAATTCTGTAACTTTCCACTCGAGAGTTAGTCCACCTTTGCTGAAAACCTTGTGAACACAATATAGGCTACATTTTCTAATTTGGTACTGGGCATTGGTTTCGTAAGAGGATGAAACCCATTTGACTTTCAGCTTTCAATTATTGCCCTTGTTGAATCTTTTGAATGCTTTCACGACAAAAGTTATTATAAATTGATCTGTAAGAAATTGATATCAGTGTCTTTTAAATGCTCCCATTACTTGTAGGCGTATGTTTCGTTGCTTGGCAACCTATCTTTAACACATTGTTTTCAAACTTCGTGGGAAGCATTGAGGTCATGAGAATGCTTTCTGCATCTTTTCATTCCGGATATTAATACCAACTATGTTCTAAACATACAATTCTATATTCCCTCAAAGTTTTTTTTAAAATATTGCCTATACGTTGGTTTTTATACGCCCACATTTTCAAATAGACATATTATGCCGTCGCCCCTGTCCGTCTGTCCACACTTTGTTTGTGGACACTCAACAGGTTACAAAGATCTCCTTTCCTTTCGATTTTGTCACGTATCGGACCATAACTTCATGGATTATGGTCCCTGATTGTACGAAAATTCACGTTTTTAGCTTGTGGACAACTACTCATGTTCACTGTTCTTTCAACTCAAGTTGATAATGCCTGTGCCCATCGCGCTCGTGTCATAAATGACTACCTACAGCGTTACCATGTCCATATGACTTTGCCAGCCATGAGTCCTGACCTTTCCCCTATAGAGCATGTCAGGAGACGTGTTCGTCGACGTCAACGGACAACACTGAAGAATTTGGCCGTGGAACTGGCAGAGTAGAGGAGTGGGTCAGATTGCCTCACATCGTGATTGGACGGTTGATTAGGAGCATGCCACGACGAATTGCTGAATGTCTGAAGATTGGTGGAGCAATTACTCATAGATAAAAATCAAAAACGTCCATTTTCACTTTTGACAGTTTATCTCTTTGTGAGTGATAAGCCGCCCTTCAAGTGCCTGTGATTCATACATAACAAAAGACATGCATCGTTTAGGTACACAGCTGGATATAACAGGAGGGTACAAGAATTTTGAAAAGTGGGGTGCGAGTTAAAACAATTTTGGGCGTTTTTCTGACCACTTTTCATAGAATAAACCCAGAGAAATTGAACTAAACAGTGCAATTTGTTACATTTAAACAGTTTGTAATGGTCTTTTTCCGACATTCCTAAAAAGGGATATATGAAAAGAAAGCCGAACTTTCCCAGCCAAATAAATACATTTCTTGCTCTGTGAAGCTTGATATACACAAATATACCTTTTACGTTTATATGTTGATTGTGCCTTTTCAGATTTTACTACATTTTATATAATATAATGACAAATCAGTAGTAATTTTATTGACAAAATCTTTGGCAAAATGGTCTAAAAAAGTGCCATATGATGCATTTTACATATAAACAGTTTGGGACATTTTAATTTTTATTGGAAATGTGGAAATACCTATCATTCCCTGCAAAGAGAGAGAGAAATGGGGTTAAACATCCACTCGACACAAACTAGGTCATTTCGGGACTAACACATTGTTTAATTTTATTTCAATAATTCGCTTGCGCGTAGGGGTCTTTAGTGGGAGGAAACCGGAGGACCCGGAGAAAACCCACGAGGTTGGACAGGCGACCCTACTCCTTGCCACGTACAACTGAGGATTCGAAACCACGCCAGTTGACTCAATGACAGACTCTATGGTACAGCGCGCACGTGCTAACCATTCAGCCACCCAACCCCCTTCCCTGCAAATAGATATAAGAAAAGAAAGAACTCAAGCAGACCCAGCCAAATAAATTTTTCTAGCTCTAAGAATATTGATATATACACATTTCCTTCTATGATTTTATACACCCACATTGAGCATATAAAGTCATGCGACGAAGAAATGAAATGAAATGAAATGGAGTTTAACGTCCTACTGTTCTGCTCCTAACCTGGGCTAATGAAGACGGGCATACGCCATACAGTGTGCTATGAGGGAAATTTTGCCTGGACAGCGGCACTACGGCCTACTCTTATATCGAATTCCAACTGCCAAGGGATCTTTTACGTGCACGCCAATGTGTACACGGAACCTCGGTTTTTCGTCCCATACGAACGACTAGACAGCTTTCCTTGTCAGCCCCTCCGTCCTGCATCACTGACAAGGGAGAACCACGCCGGAAAATCTGGATGAACTTTCTCGGCCAATGCAGGGATCGAACACCCGACCTCCAGGCTAGCGAGCTAGCGTCTTACCCACTTAGCCACGTGATCCCCATGCGACGAAGAAACCTATAATTATAGTTATGACCCAATATCATTTTGAAAAATATTATGGACGCTCTTGAGGCTAAAGTTGATATTCTATTGACTTTAAATTTATACACAGTGTTTAAGCTCATGAGACGAAGAAGCCTGTTGATTTTCAACGATTTCTGATATTTACTGTCAGAGTTATGGCCCTTGATCACTCAGTCAAGGTTTTGAAGTACCTTGTAGTGAAACTATACACTAAGTTTCATATCATTGAACTCTGTCAAGACATTCACCTAATGAACATCTACATCGAGTTTAAACATTCTACCTCAATTAAAAGCAGAGTTGTTATGTTCCAAAGTCTTGACCAATCAAACTGCTTATCGCTAATTAGCCTAAGCAGGAAATTCTTATCATCTAACTTAGTCAAGGTATTGATATAATGAATCTATACTCTCATGAGTTTCATCGCTCTCATCCATGTTCCATGATCTCAACCAATCAAATTGCTTAGCTCTGCTTATAGCCTAAGTGGAAAATGCACATGATCAAACTCTGTCAAGGCATTCTGCTAACAGACACCTAGACTAGATAACCTGCTCTAAATGACATCAGAATTGTTCCTACGACACTGCGCTATTCTGACTTCAATCTACAAGTCAGAAAAGGAATGAGTTGGACTAGGAGCGAGCCTGTCATATTAGAGCAGGTTATCCAGTCTAATAGACACCTACACCAATTCTGAACATTCTACCTCAATTAGAAGGAGAGTTATTGTGTTTCAAAGTCTCGACCAATCAGATTGAAGTCTCTACTTTGCCCAAGCAGAAAATGCTCAGCATTTTGTTAAGTAAGGTATTGATGTAATGAAACTATAAAAGTACATGAAGTTTCACCACTATCACTCAGTTAGAAATGAAATGAAATGGGGTTTAACGTCCTATACTGTTCTGCTCCGAATTGGGCTAATGAAGACGGGCATACGCCATACAATGTGCTACGAGGGACATTTTGCCCTGACAGCGGCACTACAGCCTACTCTTATATCGAATTCCAACTGTCATTAAGGGATCTTTTACGTGCACACCAATGTGTACACAGGACCTCGGTTTTTTGTCCCATCCGAACAACTAGACAGCTGTCCTTGTCAGGCCCCCTGTCCAGCATCACTGACAAGGGGGAACCATGCCAGAAAATCTGGATGAACTTTCTCGGCCAATGCAGGGGTTGAACCAATCTGATTAAAATACAGATCTATATTTCGTTTCATTTTTTTTTATACTTTTGATGGCCTACACTACATGAAGATCTGACAAGTTGTACTCAAAGGTTGTGTCAGGGGTCGTACGAGTGGCTTTTGACCCTATGACGTCAGACATGGATTAATCAATCAGTGTTTGCGTTTCTAGTGGTTTACTCACAATTCTGTGCATGGCATGCCAAGAAGTAGCCGTAACAGACCGTTTCATTGGCTGATCCCTCACTTTAACCAAAACGCCGGTAATATATCAACTTTTCCAGATCCTGATGTAGTAAAATCAAGTAAAACGAAATTTTGAACTATAAAAAAACGAAACCAAATAGGATCTGTGTTTTAATCAGATTGGGATCAAACATGTGACCTCCAGGCTAGCGAGCCTGCAGCGTCATGCATACCTACGACTTATAAACACCATGACACCCTCACTCAATTAGAGTCAAAGATGTCGAGCTCTAAAGTCTCGACCAATCAAATTGCTTATCGCTCTGCTTACCCTGAGCCAAATATCCTCATTATCAAACTTAGTCAAGGTATTGATGTGATGGAGGTCACAAACTATACACTAAGTTTCATCACTCTCACTTAATTAGAAGAACCAAAGTTATTCTGTCCCAAATGCTCGAGATCAACTTCAGACTCCATGAACAATGCATTCACCTAATGAACACCTACACCAAGTTTGAACATTCTACCACAATTAGAACTAAAGTTATCGTGTCCTAAAGCTTCAACCAATCAAATTGCTTATCTCTGCTTACCCTAAATGGCCTTTAAAATGCTCATCTTTGAACTCCATATCAGACATGTTTACCTAACATTCACCAACCAACTGGACAAGTTTGAACATTCTCTACTAGCTCAATTAGAAAGAGAGTAATTGTGTCCTAAAAAGTGTGACAGACAAACAGACAGACCGACAAACTCATTTTTCGAAAGGCGGGGAACAATAAATTCAGTACAGACTAAAAAAAAAATTGCTCATATTCAATCTGATATTAATTATTGCTCCACTATTTGGGACTTTTGTTCAATTACATCTATATCTAAACTTAATTTACAATAGACCTATCTCTGATATCATTCCTTCTCATCTAATTATCAATTTTTATCTTCATCCTTAAATCTTCAAACTATTTATCAAAGACTTTTAATTAACAAATATATTTTTGTTTATAAAATTATCCATAAACTTTGTCCATCATATTTATATAATATTTTTCATTATAACACACTCCATATTCATCTCTCAATAATAGACTTTCTATCTGTAGACCTAATAATGAAATATTTAGGGGAGAGCGGGGCACAGTAAGCCATGGGGCACAGTAAGCCAGGCTTTGTAATTTTTAACTGTTTTGGGAAAATTCAATTTGTGACATCACTGGGGAATTCCCCTATACAGCCCCCATTTGTCCTCCTAAATTCAATAAATTCACGTAATATTAACTGTTTTTCTGACGCAAAAGTGAATTTTTGGTGGACTGGTTAAACTACTTGGCTACTCCAGTTTTGTAAGAGTCCACATACTTGAAATCCCAGGTGAAGGAGATAGTATTTGATTCTCATTAGAAATATTTTGTTTCATAATACTATCACATGTCTTCCTGCCATTTTCGATTTTCTGACATGGTTGATGACGGGGCACAGTGGGGCACATTTCAGAGGGGCACACTGAGCATAAGCATTTCGAGTTTAGCTAAATCTCATCTGTCCATTTTAGACAGAATCTGGATATTTGAGCTGTTTTTAAGGAAATATTGGTCCTAGGTTAGGAATCCTTACTGACTTAAACATGTCATAGGAGTTTTTCACATAAAAGATCTTTTTTCTCCAGTTAAAGAATTTTTTTATTCAATGTTAAGCTGGTTTTTTTAATTTTTAGCAGCATATCTGTGTTCAAGTCTTAAAACAAATTCATATTTTGAACTAAAAGTTTACTTTTTACAGTTCTTATGAGTTTCGGTGTGTTTACTATACATTTTTTTAAAAGAAACATACTTGATGGCCAACTGTACAGTGTGACCCAGTGTACCCCACATACGGGGCACATTGGGTCAAAAAAAATTTTGGTTTTACAAAGATCTACACAAAAATGGTTTCAATTTATTAACTTCTTAACAGCACTGTTAAATCGAACATATGACTGGCTTCAACTGAGTACATAGTTTGATTCTCTGTAGGATTTCACTTCTGGTCAATTCACTAAAAAAAAAAATCATGCCCAGGCACTGTGCCCCCCTCTCCCCTAAATGTAGTCTACAATATAGAGGCACAGTGCTTTGGAATTCTCTCCCATATTCACTTAAAAATAAAAAAAATCTTCATTTATTTAAGAAAAATATCACTAGACATGTTATTTCCTCTTGTCTTAAGCTGGTGTGTGTGAGTATTTGTTAAGTGTCTTGTTCTGTTACTGTCTTTTTCATTTCTTTGTTATAAAGGGCAAAATTGTAAACAGGCTTTAAGCCTAATTTTTCACCTTTGAAAATAAAGATATTATTATTTATTATTATTATAGATCACTGGCCCTACTCCGCTGAGGATTTCAAGGGATCTATAAAGTGACGTCACATGCTTTGGTCACATGATCAACAAATAGCAACAGAAAACATGGCGGATACATAGTCACATAGTGCAAACTTTTACACCATGATCTAAAAACATGTAAATATTCAGGTATGTATTATAAATGTGTGAAATTGCATCTATTTTTCAAACATTTTAGTCTAATTTACAAAAGAGGGTAGAAAATTAGACCTTTTTCTGTAGTATACAACATGTAAACAATAGAAAATATCGGCTGTCAATCGAAATACTCACACTGACACTTTCGTTGTCACCAGTTAAACCACTACCAGTCTACACGACTCTCGACATTTCGATCTGGATAGGCTAGTGAAGTGACAGACAGTCAGTCATGTTAAAATTTACAGAAGGTACTACACGACTGAGCCTTTATAATCAAACATTATAGAAATGTGATGGTGACATCATTATACTATCGTTTATTTGAAAAAGTGAAATGTTTTTGGTTTTTTTAAACAATAGATAGGGGCCAAGGCCTAGTATTATTCATAGAAACTGGATTGGAGAACAGGCAGAAGCCTATAGATCCCCTCTAATTCATGATTTTCCATAAAATTCGAAATTAAAAATACAAGTAAAATTCAATATTGTTGGTCCATTTTAATCAATAATACTAATAGGGGCCTACTATAGCCCTAAGCGGCTAAGCTGTTATTTTGCAGTGAAAATATGGGATCCTAATAATATCCAGTATTTTTTAGACATAATGAACATTTTAAAATCAGTACGGTAACAAGTCGTGTATTCTTCTATGGTTTCCATTACCATATGTAATGAACAAAGAAAACATATTTTACAAGACAATGCAGAAGTAATTAGTAATGGCTGATTCACAAACGACAAAATAATGAAATATGGTCCCCTGTCTGAAAGGCTTAGACTACGAAGAACGTTTGCACAAACTGAACTTGCCCAGTATGAAATATAGTCATATGCGCTCTGACATGATCGAGTGTTGGAAGTTTCTAAATGGAAAATACAACGTCAACAGACCACACTTACAGCTACAAAGTGAAGTCTCAGCCCCATCCGTTATACCAGTCACACGCGGGAACTCACTAAAACTTGTAAAAAAGGAAGTGCGGAAGGTGTCAAGAGCGAACTTTTTCAGCAAGAGAGTGATCAATGACTGGTCATCCCTATCGGACAGTACAGTCACCGCACCCACCATCAACACATTCAAAAACAGACTCGACAAAGAATGGAAAGACCACACATGTCGCACGCCTTACGGTGCATTCGCAAACTACAATATAGATGATCATTAAAACTAGAAGCATTACAAAAACAGAACTTCATTATGTACGCTGTGTTTAAATCAAATTATGAATCAGGACACTAATTTGAAACTTGTGATTGGAACTCTCGTTTTTGTGCCTGACACTCGGTATACAAATTGACATGCCACAATGACCCAAAGGGGAACATTAACAATAACAAACTTAGCCAAACATTTACTACGACAGTGATCAGTGTTTTAATTGACTTACGATCAGCAAAAGGCTTTTATGGCCTATATACGCTGTAATGATAAGGATAAGGATAGGATGGGTAAATCGGCATGTGATGAGGCCCACTCTAGGGTTACTATGGAGCACAAAAAGAGACCAACAAAAACATGGTCTTTCTAGCATATTAAATGTGAGAGATAAGGAGAGAAATGGGGTTTAACATCCACTTGAGGACTAACATACTGTTCAATTTCATTTCAATAATTCTCTTGCACATTAGGGGTCTTTAGCAGTGGGAGGGAACCAGAGGACCCAGAGAAAATCCACGAGGTTGGTCAGATGAACCTACTCCTTGTCATGTACAAACGGGGCGTAGAAACCATGCGACTTGACTCAGTGACAGATCTTGTGGTTAAATGTGCATGCTTTAAACTGTCCGCCACCCCCCCCCCCCCAACCTCCCTCCAATGTTTAATGTATGGATGAGAATCTTTAGAAAATTAAGATTAAGATTTGTTGTCTCATGCATGTGGTTAGTGCAAGCTTCGTATTGTTGTTTTTGGTTCAATTATTGAAATGATGTTTCTTTTACAGATGAAAGTTACAAAGATGTTTAAATCAGGTGGATAAATGAGAAAAAAAAACCCTCTTGATACAGAACGTCACACTGAAAACCCTCACACCATTTTCTAAAAATGAATCGATATATCGTTTCAAAACAACTGGGAGATGGGACCTATGGTTCTGTATTACTGGGCAATGTCAAGGACACCGGTGAAAAGGTTGCTATAAAAAAGTGAGTATCGTTAATGCAATTACGCAGAAAGCAAGTATTAAACTCAATATTATATCCAATTATTTGTCAAATAAATTATTTTCTCTGAAAAGATCACTTTGCTTTGATGTTAATATTAAAACAAACTACATGTATAATAATGATAAATAAGGTAGTTTGGCAATGATTACATTAATTAAATGTCTTGATCCGTCAAATAGTTGAATTAATTAGTTTGGATGTCTGGATTTTAGAGGAAATAAAATTTGTAGTCAAAATTGGGTGTATTCGAAATGGAATGTAGTTCAAAATGAAGGTAAACCACATTAAGTATTACATTCAACACTAGGTTGGGTGGCCGAATGGTTAACATGTGTATGTTTGATCATAAGGTCTGTCATTGAGTCAAGTGGTGTGGTTCGATTCCCTGCTTGTACTTGATGTGACAAGGAGTAGAGTCACCTGTGCAACCTCGTGAGTTTTCTCTGGGTCCTCCGGTTTCCTCCCTAAGACCCTATGCACTAGTGAATTATTGAAATAAAATTGACCCATAGTTAGTCTCGAAATGACCTAGTTTGTGTTGAGTGGATGTTAAACCCCATTTCTCTCTCATTCAACACTACTGGTACTTACTTCACGAATTAACTGCTTAGAGAAATAATTTTACTGAAAGTTCAAGGAAAGCAAATAATAAATGTATCATTGGATCTTTTAGTGACAAAAGTAAACGAAACACTGTTTCATTTTGTTTCAATTTTATCTTTTGTTTTGATTGTTGTGATTATCAAGCCTAGAAATAAGTCACCTGTCACAGCCATTGTCAGGCACAAATTTATTCGGGCTTTGTCAGGCACAACCCCTCTGGTGCCTTTCATTTTGTTTGGCTCAGATTTGTCTTTATTTTTCTTTACTGATATTATTAATACATATTCAACAGAAAATTCTAAATATTAGGTACTAGTTCATTACTGTCTGACATTTTGTCAATTACAATTAAATTTTAAAATCATTATTTCAAAACCTGCTTATTTACCTCTTTAAATTGTCAGATATCATATTACTATTATTACCATTAATATCATTGTGTGGGGATTTGTAGGCTAGTCTTCATTGTTGGATTATTGGATACCGGACTATATAATTAACATATTGTTGGAATCATAGACTAAGATTCACTAAGAAGATTATAAAAAAATAAATGGTGGTACTGTGTACTATGTGTTTAATGACAGATGATCCCTTCATGAAAGGAAAGATGGATAAATGTCTGCATTATAAAATTATAATTCACATAAATTATTGGTGGATTTTCCATTTGTACAATGTACCTGGAGACAGGAAATAAAATAAACTGTGTGAAAGATGGGTTCCCAGAAAAGTATTTATCGGGTGGTTATTTCCAATAAAAGTATGGCAATTTTGGTATATATGGAAAGTAGAGATATCCAATCTTACTAGAAAAATACTGGATTCCCCGAAAAACACTCCTGGAGCGGATACGAGACAAAAATGTAAGGGTTCCCCTAATCGACAGCCCGACGATTAGGAATTTCTGCATGCGTGATGTCAAAGGTCGCACGCGAACATTGAGCGCTTGATGTACAAGTTGATAAACTTTATGAAGACGTATAACACTTTCTGAGATAAAAATGACGGAAAAAGACGCGGGTAGTGGATAATCCGAGAATTTAATTAGGATTCGATATTTGTTATAAATAGTAAGCGATTAAAGACAACATCGTCTTAATGTATGCAATGAATTCTCCTCTGACTTCCAAGAGAGGTAAGTCACGTGACGTAAACATGACCTGGTTTGATCTAATTTTTATAGCAGGGCTTTCTTTCGCAATTACAATGTTTGAGAAGGATTTGAAGCAAAATTATGACAAATTAATTAGTTTGAATATGTTTTGAGTCCATATATACCATTAAATCACCCAGTTTGTACACGGGAATGTATCTTTAAAGTGACAGTATAATTTATAAAATGTGGTTTAAAGGCCAAGAGCAAGACACTGACTGATTCTGGACGAATATGTCAGTCCCCAGTGTTTTATCAGTATATTTGCAATATATATTGCTATATGTATAGAGCTTTAATCGATACCCTGTCATACAGGGATTTCTATGAAAACAGTGCATAAGTCAAATCTTGTATAAATAATATTCAATTGGAACACCAACATCAAAGTATAATTTCACGGATTCACTGTAATCAGGGAGTCTATATTAAGATAAACAGCTATATCTAGTTTATTTTCTAACTAGTTCATCATTTTGTATATTGATCAACATTTGTACAGCAACAGTTAGTGTTGAAGGTTTGAACTAATTTAGGTGTTCGGCTATCAGAGTCAAATTCGTATATGTATGAATAGGATACATGTATAGGTGAATAAAATCTTATTATTTTTAAAATGACATTGAATCTTAGGCAATGCTAAAATATTTTTGATATATTGTCATTGTTACAAATGAGCTTGCTGCAATGTGTATCAAGTGATCATGCCATCGTCTTGAAAAAAAATATGGCAGTACACAAACAGGGAGAGGGCAATTTAACTTTCTTAATTCTTACTTACACTGAACAAATTGCTGAAATTGTTATTTAAATTACAAAACAATCAGTTCAAAAGCTTTCTTAAACCTTATTTATGCAAACCAACTGATTTTAAAAGATCTATCCTTTTATTTCTTTATTTCAATAAAAACAAACTATCCGATCTCAAAGATTCAAACTATCGAGTGGCACCACAACATAGTTGATGCTTTCAGCTGGCCCCTGGATCTGATATATAGGTTTGTTGTTTGTTTCTTGGAGTGTCTGTGGATATTGTCCACGGTTTTGTCTTGTGTGTTCTGTGTAGCGAAGTCCACCTGCACTTACTATTAAAGTAGGCGAAGATCCATTAGATTGTAACCGTAAACCGGTTAGCAACAATAAAAGAGTTTTAGAAAATTCATAATTAATTTTGTGACACCCATTGGTGGCTATTGACAGATTTGTTGTGAACTTAATAAAAGCATCTAACTAATTAAAGGAGTACAATCTTTTTCTTAGAGTGGATGCTGGAGTAGACGTTTTCAGGTCATAAGTTCTAGTACTATAGTTTTTGTCAAACTTTGATTAAATTACACCCTGTTCATCAAATTAATTATCGTAGTAGATAAATATACATTGTGGGTTGTACTTGTAGACGATAAAGATAATCAAATTAAGATTGAAATGGTTGTTTATTGTTTTCAACAAAATAACACATTGTCTGTTCTTTGTCTTTGTTCCTGTTGATTAACCTTAATCCATTACTCAGGTTTGATTTGAATTGATTGAGTTTTTCTGAGTTTATTGGATTAAGGAAAGTGAAATTGATTAAATTAAACATTTCTTTGAATAAATCAAACTCTCTTTCATTTTACTCTCTGGCAATTTATTCAGATAAAGTTAGTGAGTTCATAAAGATAAATCCTTTGATTAAATTAAAAATTGTGCTACATGAAAAACTTATTATTGATCGTCTTCCTTTTCAGTCTTTTGTAATAAATTATTGACATTCATGAACAATAATCAGTGACTACATATTTCTTCTATATCAACATTACATGATAGTATTGATAGAAATCGATAGTTAGTTACATGTATGAACATGTGCCTTTACGTAAATGTAGAATCAATAATAAAGATGAGTAATTATGCATCACTGATCAGTATATGGTCAGTATACAGATTGTAAGGTGTGGTTTGTTTGCTGGGTGGGAATAGGTGTTCCCTACATGTATTTTAAAGGGGTTGATCCTCTTGATGTGCATGTAGATCAAAATAAAGCATTTAAGTTTATCTGATATCTTATTTCAATTAGTGATGTAAATAAAATCTATACATGCAATTAATGTTTTGATATATGAAAATTAGTTTGTTTACTAATTTCAGTTTTGTTTTTGGTTTAATGAATCAATAAGTCTACACAAGATGGGACATTTTTTGTCATCAATGATTAACATTTACCATACATCTTTAACTGTCATGTTGTTTACTAGAATTCTTTTAGATATTAAAACTTTCAGATTCAAATTTGGTACACTGCTACATGTATGTATTGATTGAATTATGGCCCTTTGTTAACTTAAAATCAATGAAAATTCTGTTTTCTGGAATTATTTTAGATTAAATTTTGAGCTATTTGGTTGAATTTTGGTACACTTCTCAGTATGCAAAGACTGGCTATGGTTTGTTTTCTATCAATTAAAACAAAATCATTTTTTCTCTCAATATTGTCTCCATCTTCCAACCTAAAACATAAAATGTTGACGGGTGACCACTCCACTAAGCAAATCAACACCTTTCCAAATCTATGAGGATTAGCCATTTTAACCTATTTTCTCTCATAATGTCACATTTTCTCCACATTAAAGGGACAATAACACTCTTGCTGGCTTGAAAGCGCCAGAAAATAAATAATATCTCTATCTAAGTACTAGATGTTTAAGTGTCCTACCTGTTGTGTAAATTATCCATTACATCCTATTTTACTTGTCCAGAGGGTTCGAAAATATTTTTAAATCGAAGTTTCATTTGAAAAGGTTTACGTTAGACGTTTCAAACCATTATGTTGAATTTTTCAAAATTTTTAAATAAGGTGTGTTAAGATGAAATTTGTATCATCAATTAATTGAAATATTCTAAAATAGTACAATTTGTTGACCAGAATAAAGATTGGGACATATTATTCAGTTACAAAAAGAGTGGTATTGAGCCTTTAATGATAGTTGACATAACAACACGAAATATTGATTTTGTATTCCCTTAATGATGTCCCATTAGTTATCCTTTCCTGTATAATTTACTCAGGTGAATAGTTTCCTGAAAATGTTTTAAAACAAATGAAAGTATACAGTACTCAAAACTGTCAGCTATGTTTTATTAACAGCTCAAATAATTAAGAAGTGTTAAGGTATTCTGAAAAAAGTAAACATATTGTCCCCCGCCTTTCGAAGAAAGCAGGGGACTATTAAAATGGGTTCGTCCGTCTGTCTGTCTGTCTGTCCGTCTGTCCGTCCGTCTGTCTGTCCGTCTGTCCGTCCGTCTGTCTGTCCGTCACACTTTTTGGGACACAATAACTCTCTTCCTAATTGAGCTAGAATGTTCAAACTTGGTGTATGTGTTTATTAGGTCAATGCCTTGATGGAGTTCGAAGATGAGCATTTTCCGCTTAGGGTAAGCAGAGATAAGCAATTTGATTGGTTGATGCTTTGGGACACGATAACTCTCTTCCTAATTGGGCTAGAATGTTCAAACTTGGTGTATGTGTTGATTAGGTCAATGCCTTGATGGAGTTCGAAGATGAGCATTTTCCGCTTAGGGTAAGCAGAGATAAGCAATTTGATTGGTTGATGCTTTGGGACACGATAACTTTTAATTGAGCTAGAATGTTCAAACTTGGTGTATGTGTTTATTAGGTCAATGCCTTGATGGAGTTCGAAGATGAGCATTTTCCGCTTAGGGTAAGCAGAGATAAGCAATTTGATTGGTTGATACTTTGGGGCACGATAACTCTCTTCCTAATTGAGCTAGAATGTTCAAACTTGGTGTATGTGTTGATTAGGTCAATGCCTTGATGGAGTTCGAAGATGAGCATTTTCCGCTTAGGGTAAGCAGAGATAAGCAATTTGATTGGTTGATGCTTTGGGACACGATAACTTTAGTTCTAATTAAGTGAGATTGATGAAACTTGGTGTATAGATTTATTATATGAATACCTTAACTAAGTTCGATAATGAACATTTTTTGCTGAGGGTAAGCAGAGTGATAAGCAATTTGATTGGTAGAAACTTTGGAACACAATAACTCTCCTTCTAATTGAGGTAGAATGTTCAAACTTGGCATAGGTGTCTATTAGGTGAATGTTTAAACTTGATGTATATGTAGATGTTCATTAGGTGAATGTCTTGACTGAGTTCAATAATTAACATTTCGAGCTGAAGCTAAGCAGAGCTAATCGATTTCATTTGTCGATGGTTTGGGACAAGATAATCTTGATTCTATCTGATAGAGAGTGATGAAACTTAGTGAAAAAAATAAATGTGCGATTAATTAATATGTGTCATCTATTTATTTTGCAATTTCGGCGGGGGACATCAGCCTCACTGTTGGCTTGTTTACCTTGTCTTTTGCACTACTACTACTAATTGAATTGATGATATTCTGAATTCTTTTTGTCAATATAATTATACACATGTTTTAATTACTTAGAGTTAGACTTAAAAACTTAGCAATGCATAAAAAAGTATCATTAACTGGAATGGATTAGAAATAAAAATACATTAACCTCATTTCATTCATAAAAACTGAATGTGAATGTGAAACTGGTTATGTCATAGTTGAACATGTATTTTATAATATTAATAATCTTTGCTTTCCGTTTTTTACAAGAATGAAGAAGAAATACTATTCGTGGGAAGAATGTCTGGAACTTAGAGAAGTGAAGGTAAACTATATTATAAAATCAATATTAAAATTGTACATGTTAATGAGGAGTGTAAGGCCTATCTAATTTGCAAAGAAGTTTTTGGGGTATTAATTTCCATAGATCTTGATAAGTAATGGTGAAGTGATATTAAAATCTTAAATGGACATTAAAGATACATTATGGGAGATTAGATAAAGAGCTGGCAGTTCTCACTATAATAGTTAAATTAAAAACTAGATAATGTAAAGGCAATTTTCTAAAAATTTCAGTCAAATTGATTCACTATGAACCGAGAATTAAGCAATTGAAATTTCATGCCTACCCTCGATCATCATTACTAAAGTCTGTACAATAAAAAACATAGTCTCAATCATCCATTTCATGATTAAATTATTATTGGAAGTCGAGCAGCAAATGGGATCATAATCCAGTAAATATCATCAAGGGTTGATTATGGTCTGGATAAGTTAATTAATGTCAAATTAATAATTTAGACAACATTTCAGGCCTAGAGAAAGACCTGCAATTGGCAGATTTAGCTCTGGCATAATGTATGTTTAAATCCTTCCTTTTGTTTTTTAGTCTTTAAGGAAATTAAATCATCCAAATATCATCAAATTGAAAGAAGTTGTAAGAGAAAATGATTTGCTATATTTTGTTTTTGAATTTATGAAAGAAAATCTTTACCAAATGATGAAGGAACGGTATGTATTTGTTTTGGTGATCATTATGCTATGTAATATCAGTCACTGTAGAAACCATCTAAATATTTTACTATTGTTTTTGTCTTTATATCTCCAATCTGTTTGTGTTGACTTAGACTAGAGTTATAATTCTGTTATAAATTTGTATGGTTAACTAATGAAAAGATTTCGCTTTTGAGAAGAAAAAAATCCATGTGTCTAGACAATAGTTTCATTTGTTTTATTTTCTTATTTTAGAAGTAAGTTATTACCAGAATCTAATGTAAGAAATATTACATACCAGGTGTTACAAGGATTGGCTTTTATGCATAAACACGGTAAGATTTTACTCTTTAATTGTATACGAAAATTAAACTATTTTGCACTTGTAATTGTAATAGTAGTACGGTAATTGTTTTACATGTATGTTTTGAATAATTCTTTATTCTCTTCGGTCAGCAGTACATTGCAAAAGGGGAGGTAAAAGCCTTATTGCTTGGTTTGCACAATATATTAATGTGAAGTTTTATTTTCTTACAGGATTCTTTCATCGTGATTTGAAACCTGAAAATTTATTGTGTTCTGGTCCTGATTTTGTTAAAATAGCTGATTTTGGTTTGGCAAGAGAAACAAGATCAAGACCGCCATATACAGACTATGTTTCGACAAGATGGTTAGTTTTTAAAAGTTTATGTGGAGTGTAATGTCATTAGCTCTGTCCAACTGTGGAACTGTCGACAAATCTTATTGAATTTATATGAGTTGTTTAATAAGCTCATTATTGTTTGGTCAACTTATCTGTTGGGGGTATGTTTTGTTGAATGATGTATGAATTTTGCATGCTTAGTCCTTTCATAATTTATTTCATATTTTTAGTTCTTCATTACGTGATGATTTCCATTTACAGGTATAGGGCTCCAGAAGTGCTGTTACGTTCAACTAACTATAATTCACCAATAGATATTTGGGCTGTTGGTACAATAGTGGCAGAACTTTATACGCTAAGACCTCTCTTTCCTGGTAGTTCAGAAATAGATCAGATATTTAAAACTTGTGCAGTGCTTGGAACACCAAGACAGGTTGGTAACAGTTTCATTAATTCTATAGCCACTCATTATTCATGATAAGACTGGAAGCTAAACATTATGTTAGTTAATTGTTGACTTGTATGGAATTAATACATGTCAGCCTACACCGGCCACCATTATAATCCAATATGTAAATGCACTGTGAAATTAATGAGATTAGTATTCAGCTGAAATTTTGTCACATTGATTCTACTTATAATAATTTCATTTTGATACTTTTTGAAATATTCTGTTTATCATTATCATTGATGTAAGTTTTCACCAATAAGAAAAGAAGTTCTAGTTTCTTACAACTTCCATTTAATGATATATTTTATAAATGTAATGTGAATTTTTCCATTACAGGAAGAGTGGAAGGAGGGTTATCAGTTAGCGGCAGCCATGAATTTTCGATGGCCTCAATGTGTTACAACTCATTTAAAGACTTTAATCCCAAATGCCAGCAATGAAGGATTACAATTAATAAAAGATATGATAATGTGGAATCCAAGTAAACGACCTTCTTCAGCACAGGTAAGATGAAATGTAATTATTTCATAGAATACTCCTAGCTACACCTACGAAGAGGATATACCAGGTTTCACTGGTGCCCTTTAATCTTTAAACAATGTAACTTCCTGTACAAATAAAACTTGTCAACACAAAAATCCAGAGATATCAGTTACACTTATTCCTAATTATCAACAGTTCAATACCTGGCCTACATAGAACTCTTTGAAAACCACTTTAGACTCTAATGCATACAACACGAAAGCAATCTTAAACATCCTTTTCTCAGTGATTGATAGTTCAATCTAATGATCACACTTTCCACCTAATCTGATTTGTGTATTTTTTTATTTTGTATTTTATTACAGTGTCTACGGTATCAATATTTCCAAGTAGGACAGAATCTGGGTATGCAACAACAACAAAGACCACCAATGTCTAGTGGAAATGTTAATACGTATACACCTAGTTCACCTATTGTATCACCTCCACGTACAATACCTGATAATAAACCATCATCAGATAATATATCATCTATGTTACCTACCATAGGTAATTCAAAAAAAGAAGAAAGTGTAAGTTATTTAATTGTACCCAAATGATAATATAATTTAAATATAATTTTGGGTACATATGTAAGGTATCGTATTTTACAGGGTTTTAGTCAATACTTTTTTCAGCAGAAGTCGAACCTTCGTCTTATACTCCAGATCAGCTTGTATAATAATAATAAGAAAAAAAATTACATCCCGAAAAAAATAATTCTCACTTCCCAATTGTCTAGTGACATCGTCTGCTAAATAATACTTAATAGCATTCGAACAGTCAAGTCAAACTATTGCTATCGTTTAAAACTACTTACGGTATTCCAATACAAATACCTGTCGACATTTCTAAATATATATAGTTTGAATATAACTAACTAGAAATATTAAGTTACCATATTACAATTTTCATGAAAGACCTAAATCAGTGTACAATGTTAATGTCAATAAACTGCTTCACAATGTTATTTTGCATTTCAATTTAAACAGAAGCTATTCGAAAATATCTTTCTATTAGAAATGTATACAGTAATTAGATTAGTTTTATGCTTATAGTTTTATTCTGCTATAAATGTTTTTGTTTGTATCATTGTAGAGTTCTTTTGCTGTAACAGTTTCAAAGAAACCCAGTGGGCGTAAAAGATGGGGTGCTGGTAATGCAGGACTATCTGAGACGTGGGATGACTGGGATGATCTCGACTTTACAATTCCGTCCAAACAGAAAGCATCCAATAAAATTGTACCTCCTATTCATAATAATAAAACCAAAGACAAGGAAAACTTAGATGATGATGATGAATTTTTTTCGTACGTTTTGTTGGTATTTATATGCAAAAAATGGTTTCTTTTTTAACAGTTCAACTGTAGAGTTAGTAACTGCTTTATCTTTGACAAATATTCCTCACTGCATAAGGAATACTTTTATACAGTTATCAGTGGATTAGTAATTATCTGTATAACTTATAAGAGATGAAAAACTTCTGATAAGGGCATTTATATTACTTAGTTGATATTAATATTGAGGAAGTATAATATTTATTCGGCAATCTATTGTAAACCAACTTGTTTGTTGTTTGAGGAAATTTCATTAATAGATCAATTTTGTTATAGGGCCTTGTTACACAGACGGCAATCTAAACCAAATAATAGACAAAACACAGGTAACTCTGGTAGAAATTCAGCCAAACAACATTATGTCAGTAAAGCGAGATATTTACCAGGTAGGAGGTTAAATGTTCTTGATGTATAAATCTGAATTAGTAACCAATACTGTTAAACAGGAAATTAATGCAAGCAAGCATGTGCCTGTAATGTGGAAAATATTTAAAAAATAACATCAAACTATGACTAAGTATATGTCTAAAGTCGGTTACGTCCATGTTTGTAAGCGAGGTTATCAATTTCTAACTCGGGAGCAAATAACTCATCTGAAACCGATTTTCTTCAGTAGATATAATAATACCAAGGTGAGAAACGGGTTGGAATTAAATAATTGGGATCAAAGTTCACTACTGTAAATTCTGCCAACTAGTTGCAATACTCACTATTTTTTGCTAGGTAGACAATCAATCTACGATGACGTTTAAAAATCTCGCTTAGTAACATGGACGTAACAGACTTTAGACATATACTTAGTCATAGCTTAAACATACATTATGCAAGAGCTAAATCTGTCTATTGCAGGTCTTTCTTTAGGCCTGAAATGTTATCTAAATTATTAATTAGACATTAATTAACCTATCCAGACCATAATCAACTCTAGATGGCATCGCTAGCCTCTGATCTTTAGTGGATTGTGAGCCGATTTACTGCATAACTTTCCTTCACGATTTAACGATTAAAGGGATAATCAAGACTATGCTGTTTATCATACTGACTTTAGTAATGATGATCAAGGCTAGCTGTAAATTTTAACCGCTTAGTTCTCGGTTCATATCATAGCGGGAGGTTGGATGGCTGAATGGTTAGCACATGCGCACTGTATCATAAAGTCTGTCATTGAGTTAACTGGCGTGGTTTCGATTCCCCGGTTGTACATGACAAGGAGTAGGGTCACCTGCCCAACCTCAGGGGTTTTCTCTGGGTCCTCCGGTTTCCTCCCACTGCTAAAGACCCCTACGCGCAAGCAAATTATGGAAATAAAATTAAACCATATGTTAGTCCTGAAATGACCTAGTTTGTGTCAAGTGGACGTTACACCCCATTTCTCTCTATCACGGTTCATAGTGGATGAATTTGAATGTAATTTTCAGCAAATTGCCTTTACATTATCTAGTTTTTAACTATTATAGTGAGAACTGCCAACTTGTTATCGAATCTTCTATAATGTATCTTTAATGTTATTTTTGAAATATTTTCCATGTTGCAGACACCTGTGATCTTAATGTCTGTGATGGTGTCTCTTTTTGCTGAATTTTTACTGTTTTTTGCTCATTTTCCTGTGGGATAATTTTTACTATAGTTGCTCTATTTCAACAAACTTTTATTATGTTGGATGGGTAGTAAATGAAAATTTGATTTAATTGTACTCTGTAATTCATATTGAAATTTACTGTGTGGTGAATAATACTTTTTTGTATTATAGGTATAAATCCTAGAAATAGTGCCACTCGTAGAGACAGTGATGCCAGTAACTGGGGAACAAGTTTTAATAAAAACACTGGAATAACGGGCTTTGGAATCTCACGCACAAATAATTTTAATCAAGGTAACTACACTTTTACACTTATTTATAAAATTGGAGACTTCATTGTGTATATGAAACACAATATAAAGAAAACTATATCCAGCTTATAATTATTAATCTTAATCATTTGTTTTTATTTCAGGGGGTAATACCAAAACAAATAGTCCAGGTGGAGCATATGTACCGTCATTTGGTTCTAGTTCAAAACCCAGTAAGTATGAATAATATATAGATTTATTTTAATTTGTTATGACCTGGTTATTACATATCTAACATTTTTGATGCCTTGCTTTACTCCTCATGCTACAGGAATCAAGAAATCAAATTATTATCACAGAATCAAAGTTGTTTTTTGTGCCAATTGTACCTGTGTCATGAATACATTTGATGAAAGAGTTAAACTAAAACTAAAACTGTTACAAATAGGATATAAATTCATTTGTTTGTTTCAGCTTTTCCATCTAATAATTTAGCATGGAAGAGAGCCCAGCCTTCACCAATGTCCCTTAAACAAAACAAAACATCATCATATCGTACGCCAGTAGCACAGCCAGGTAGAACAGATTGGGCAGCAAAGTAAGTGATGTTACATTTTTTTCTGATTTTTGAAAAAGACTGTTTGTTTCACTTATTTCGTCACATCTGATCAAATATCCCGTTTCGTGGTCTAAGGGGAGATAATATGCAGTTCAGGTTGTAACAAGCACAGTTACCTCCCTTTATACCATGTATTCCTTGAATTTTTGTGTGTTTGAATTCTTTCTGTACAGAATGAATTTCTGACATAAATATGTACTGGATTAATTTTTGTAGACAATATTATTGTTCCCCCCCCCCCCCTTCAAAGAATCAGGGGACTATTAAAATGGGTCTGTCTGTCCGTGACATTTTTTGTCCCAAAATAACTCTCCTTCTAATTGAGGTAGAATGTTCAAACTTGGTGTAGGCATTCACCTAATGGAGTTCGAAGATAAGCAATCTGATTGGTTGATGCTTAGGAACACGATAGCTTTGGTTCTAATTAAGTGAGAGTGATGACATTTGGTGTATAGTTTCATTACATCAGTACCTTTTCTGCTTAGGGTAAGTAGCAATAAGCAGTTTGATTGGGCAAGACTTTGGAATGGAGCATAACAACTTTGCTTTTAATTGCGGTAGAATGTTTAAACTTGGTGCAGATGTTCATTAGATGAATGTCTTGACTGATTTCAATGATTAACATTAAAGGATGCTTTGGGACAAGATAACTTGATTCTAACTGATGGAAAGTGATGAAACTTAGTGTAGAATTTCACTACAAGGCACTTCAAAACTTTGCTGGAGTTCGATCCTGAATATTTTCTGCCTTGACTAAGTATAGATAATCAGTTTGAAGGCTTGATACTTTTCAAAAAGATACATGTGTAATTAATGAATATATATCATCTATTTATTTTGGGATTGTGACGGGGGACATAAGCCTCACTGTTGACTTGTTTAATATGAGTATATTTGTAGGGAAGTGAATACATGTCTTCTACTAGATGTGTTAATAATCTATTCAGGCCCAAATTCAATTTCATACAAATACATTATCTATTTTGTTAATTAATGTAATGAAATAATTTTCTCTTTTCAGATATTTAAAATATTAAAGTCAAAAACAAAATTAAATTAGTAAATTATACTATATTAAAGTTAGTATATAAATTGTACATATTTTATGTTAATACTTAGCCTTACTTCATATGTAATATTTAAGGGTCAAGTGTATATCAATATCATTGTATAATATAATCATTTCATGCCAAAATCCTTATAAAGGTGTAACTATTCGATTCTAAAGGATTCAATAACAAGCTTTATGACAATTCTGATGACAATTCAACATAAATTGTGATAAAAGACACACATTATACGGTTATGGATTACTTGTTTATTAGACAGAAAAAGGTACTGTTGAACACATCTATATTTAAAATCATGATTTTTTAAACAAAGTAATTATTTATGAATCTGAATATTAATCATGAATATCAATTTGCTAATGTATTGTTGCATCTTCTACTTTTCATTATCATAATAATATTAATGTGATAAGATATTATGTTCATTATTTAGATGTATCTGGCTGAATTATTTTTATTTGTTAGAAAAATGCAGATTTTTCTGATTGCATATCGATTTGACATATAATTTAAATTAAAAAAATATAACCATTGTTTTTATATACACTTTACAAATGTGTAAAAAATTTCTTTAAAATTATTCAATGGCAAAAATATTTCCAGGAACCTGGAAGTTTTTGTAAATATATTCCATATAGTTGAAGACCAAAATTAAAATCTCAGACTGTAGAATTAGATGGTTTATCTCATAAATACACAGGTACATCTATTTTAACATAATGGAAAACTGTGGCTCAGTTTCCAAATTTTAAGGGGAGATTTCATTATTGCCACTATTTTGAATCGCTAACATTTATTCATTAACATGGCATTTGGTGACCAAGTGGTGTAAAGCATTGTTTGGTTGATGGAAAAAGACATCTATGTATTTGTGAGTTGTATCATTGTATGTGACAACGAGTACGGTATGGTTGCCTGTCAACATCATAGGATTTCTAAAAACTACTGGGTGCAAATGCATTAATGAAATGAAGATTAGCTACATGCTAATGAAATAGTATCCCTGTGCTAGTCGCAAAATCACATGGTTTTGTTGAGTGGACATTAAACCTCATTTCTCTCATTCTCTTTAATCAAAAATGGAATACATATAAATCGACTAAAAGGTGGGTATTAACTATTTATAGGAAAGCTTTCACCTTTTAGCAAATATATGTCTTTTATTTTTCATGTTATTGTTAATAAAAGTTATGAATATATTATTATTATTATTATTATTATTATGTATGTTAGATACTAATTGTAATGTAAATGTGGCCTTCTATTGAAATCCCTTGTGATATAAATTATTCGTTTAGTTTCAGAACACTATTCTTTTTTTTTATTTCATCTTGTAAAAGGTTATGATAATAATTTCTGCCAGTATTACTATTTTATAAAGGTATATTATCTACCATAGTTTTATCTTGTTTAATGTCTAGAAAGAAGAAATCATATCATACATGAATCAGAAAATAAGAGACTAAACTAATCCATAATCAGATTCAAATATCCAGTATGTAATATGAAAAGTTGTAAATATATTTTGCTCTAAGCATCACCTAATAGAATAAAATACAGGTAACATGTATGACAAAATCTACTACATACTCAAAACATAACCATCTGTGAGTCCATACATACACCCGATAACAAAAATTTACATATGTTCTGTCATTTTCACATAGTTAAAAATCTAAAAAGAATCAGACAAGGTTTATTCAAACTTGACATCATTTTTTAGTTTTTGTGGGTTAGGATATTATGACACACAGAATTCATAAATGAATTAAAATATTTTATTTCTTTACCAAGGATGGATTTACATAATAAAAAATGTAATTTATTGGTCATGTGTATAATAAATGGATCTGATGCCCTTTGTGCCAATTTCAATATTTCATGACATGTAAAGTAGGGTATAATATTTATGATGTGATTTCAGCAGGGATACTGTTTTTTATTTGTAGAAAGGTTATAAAGTATGATAATCAAAATGTTGATAATAATGTACATATTTATAGATATAGATAGATCTATTTGTAGTTAGCACCTATTGAATATGTACACCATACTATTAGACTTTATTGCTCTATTTGAATGTATATTAATATCTGTGATATTGTATTGTGTATGATTTGTAAGGCATTTTCTCATGTAGAAGTGCTATTTTAGCACATGTTCATTAAAGTTAACTACTTTCTTTCAGTCAACCTTATAAAATTTCATGTATTTATTCCTAATGCCTAAGAAATGATACACTCCCTTTAAAATTTATCTTCTTAATAAATGCAAATTAAGCACAAATGTGAAGGTCAGTATTTACTATCAGGGAGACTTTGTATTACTTTAAAGATGCATTATTAGAACTTAAGGTAACTATGCGTGTCTTTCAACTTTCAGAAAATATCAAAATTCTCCTGGCTTAATCCACGCTAATGTGTACTATGATGATTATTTAACATTTAATTAAAGATACATTCCCGGGTACAAACTGGGTGATTTGATGATATATTTGGACTAAAAACATATTCAAACTAATTAATTAATCATAATTTTGCTTCAATTCCTTCTCAAAACATTGTACTTGCCAGGGAATACCCGGGCTATAAAAAAATCGATCAAAAGAGGTCATGTTTGTGTCACGTGACATACCTCTCTCTCGGAGGAGAATTCATTGCATACACAAGACGATGTTGTCTTTAATCCCGGACTATTTATTACAAATATCGAAGCCTAATTTAATTCTCGGATTATCCACTGCCCGCGTCTTTTTTCGTGATTTTTATCACAGAAAGTGTTGTACATCTAACTCTTCATTAAGTTTATCAACATGTACATCAAGCTCTCAGTCCAGTAGTTTTCTAGTAAGATTGGATATTTCTACTTTTCGTATATACCAAAATTTCCATACTTTTATTGGAAATAACCACCCGATAAATACTTTTCTAGGAACGTACCTTTAAGAAAACAAAATCATAATAACATTAGATAATCTCAGATTCAGTCGGATTTAAAACGGGCCCATCAAATGGGTTCACAGCAAATAAAGGACATGTTACACAGGGAGCAGTATAGATCGATGGATTTTTTAATGGTCATATCTTTGTAAATACTGAACGAAATTGAACCATTTTTGGACTGACATTCTTGTTATTCTACTGTCACAATATTGTAGCTTGCACGAGATTTTATAACAATAAAATCATGCTCAGAATCCTTAGTTATTTATAATTTCTTCTAGTTATGGTTTCAGTTCTAGATCCCTAAAGCAGATAAGCAATATTATGCCACTGATATTGAGCACACCATACGATGTTCAAGGACATTCAAGGGCTATCATTTGATGTTATAAAACACAACCTGCAACAATCTTTTATCTCCACGAAACTTATCTTTTGTTCAACTGAATTATTCAATTATAATTATATAATCTGCAAATATGTATGTACTGAACAAACTCTCTCTAAAAAGCACCCTTTTAATTGCCATCTAATTTTATACCTTGTAATTCCAAACAATAAATTCAAGAAAATGTCCGTTTGTAGGATGAGCCTACAGTAAGCTCCAAACCATTGATTTTATGAATTTATAACAACATAATAAAATAATAATAACATAATTTATATTAAAATACAACCCCATCAAACCAATACTTGCATTCACGATTAAAAATATATAATTATACCATAGATAATAATAATAACATGAATTATGCCACCCCTTCACACCAGTTCTTCCATTCTTGATTAGAAATAAATAATAATGCAACTCCCCCACTTTATTTTCCATTCACGATTGAAAATAATTAACGTCTGGAAAATGAGGTTATATTAAAAATTAAAATTCTTTTTAAATAGGGCAATTTTCTCAAAAAACAAGAAAGCTATCGATTATCTACGTTTTACATGTAACCGGCCGTACTAAGAAAATTGAAAATACAAAAGGTAAGGTGTGTCAACTCCCTAAACATGAAGTGGTATCAGGTGTTCTAGAAATAGTATACTGCCCTTACAGCTGACTGCACCAATGCTTTAAACCCGAATTTCAGAAATTGAAACTATCATGTAGGAGATAAACTCGTGGTCAAAAATCACCGAGAAAAATCACTGACTTAATAAATGATCTGTAACAAGCATAAGGATGGAAAGTATTGAAGACCATACACATCGTGTGCTTCTATTTTGACATTGACAACTCGCAACAACAGTTTCTCTCTGTGGCAAATTATACTAAACACCCCCCCCCCCCCTCAAAAAAAAAAACGCCAGTAGGATTTCAAAATCAGAGAGGTCCTTTAATCAAATCATCCTAGAAAAAGACTTACTAATTGAAGAGCCCCGGGGAAGAACGATCTAAGTCACTTTTTTCTCTTAATGGCGCCATCTGGTAGCAAATTGTATAAGCTTTCTGTGGAACAATCAATTTCAGGTAAGAACGATCTGAGTCACATCGAACCATGGCCCTCCCGGACACATTCGTCCATCGTACCCTTTCGAAGAAAGCAGTGGCTATTAAAATGGGTTCGTCCGACTGTCTGTCCGTCACACTGTTTGGGACACGATAACTCTCCTTTTAATTGAGCTAGAATTTTTCAATCTTGGTGTGGGTGTTTATTAGGTCAATGCCTTGATTGAGTTCGAAGATGAGCATTTTCTGCTCAGGGTAAGCAAAAGATAAGCAATTTGATTTGTTGATGCTTTGGGACACGATAAATTTAGTTTTAATTAAGTGAGAGTGATGAAACTTGGTGTGTCGCTAGTTCTGGTGTTGTGCAAACTGTAGAGGTTCTGGTGTTAGGCAAACTGTAGACGTTCACGTCGATGGCGAGGGGTGAGGATCGGTCCACGGTAAGGTCTACGGCAATGGATGTTCTCTCTGGTGAGACGTCGTCGCACTGTATTGGTACTGATGGGTCTTCCGTGTGTTCCCACTGTTTGACGTGCTATCTCAGATGCCTGTGTGAAGGGATTCTGCACGTGCTGTCACACAACATGGCGGTCTTGTCGCCTTGTGGTAACCCTTGGTCTACCAGTTCGGAGGCGATCATTCGTGATTTTGGTGACCCGAAAGCGTTGCTGAAGCATGTGGATGGTCCGAACCATGGAGGGGTATATATTGATATACCTCTATGGTCTTAACATAGAACTGGAAGTGATTGGCAACGGCTTCGGCAGTGTGGCCAGTGTTGAGTCTTCCAAGCGCCTGGTTCCTCTGAGCTGTCGTGATTCGTGGCATGCTGCTGACGTTGTGTGAATGTTTAAACCAGGTATGGCGGGGTGCATTTTATAGGGCTTTTTGCCGGTGAACAGCACGTGCTGCATGAGTTACATCAAAATCATGGAGAACACATTACTATCTCAGAAGTCAGGTTGCCAGGTTGCGTTTTCAAGAACATTTCCTTGGTTCAATTCTGTGTTTGGGAAGGAGCCTTGTTGCTCAGGTAAAGTTGGGGACGTGGTCACAAATATATACTGAGCGCCATGGAAAACGCATCACTTAGTTTTTCGTATAACAAAATGATCCTGTAAACATATCTTATTTATTTTGCTTCTTATTGTGAACAATATTCAAATGGGAACCCATCAATAACAACACATTTGTACACTTATGGATGTTTAATCTGTAATCAACGGTACAAAGTCAGAGGGGTCAAAACCAAAAGTACGACACACATGTCAGTAGCGCGTGTGTCCTCCACGGGCTCTTACGCACGCTGTGCAGCGACGTCGCATGGAATTAACCAATGTTTGAAAGAATGCCTGGGGCAAATTGTTCCATTCTTGGACAAGGGCAGCTTCTAAAGCAGCAATGGTGTGCATCTGTGGTCTCCGATACAGACGGCGTCCAATCTCATCCCAGACATGTTCTATCGGTGCCATGTCCCGATAAAGATGAAAGCGACTCTCATCACCGAAGAGCACACTTTGCCAGTCTACTCTTCTCCATGTCTGGTGTCCTTGAGCCCATATCAAACGCCGCTGACGGTGATGATCCATGAGGATAGCTCCAACATAAGGTCGTCGTGCACGGAGTCCTACTTCTCTTATACGACGTCTTACGGTGTTAGCACTTACTGGTCCTTGTCTTCCGACCACTGCTGCACCTGTTCGAGTCGCTGGGCGGAATTTGTCACGCAGATGAGTGACCCGGATGTAGCGGTCTTGAGACAGATTGACGTTTTACAGTTCATGTACTGCACATTAAGTTGAAAACATGCTTTTAAAGGGCTCACACACAATGCTGCACGAGAATTTTGGGTTTTTCATGTGCATCTCGTGCAATTTTTTTTTTTGCACACGCGCCGATATGTTTTGCGTTTGGGAGCATTGTGTGAAACAATAGTTCATAGTATTGCATAATATTATACATACAAAACCACCTAGGAATAAATATTTGGGAAAAAAAAGTGATGCGTTTTCCATGGCGCTCAGTATACAATAAAAACATTTGGCAAGTTTTATGCAATGCGTCTATTAAGAGTAACACACCAACCTGACGTTTCTTTTGCTGCTTAGTATACATGCATTAAATACAACTGTAATATTTGGCAATACCCCTTTATATAGGTTACATCGGTTAATGACCTGATAACCCACTAAATAAAAACATGATCTGTGCAACAGTTTTTTATGCATACACCGCCATCTTGAAGTTATAAACAGTATTGTTTGGCTGATGCAGAAAAGTAAGTCCTTATACTTGATTTCATTGGATATGAATTTAACATGCTAATGCATTTTGTGTATATTTTAAATATAGGCTATTACAATTAGACTTTTCGCGTGGACGAGTAAAGTATTGATTTTAAATATTCAATTTTCATCTGAGTGGGAAAAAGTTAACCTTAGCGAAAGTGAAAGTGTTTGCTATAAATGTTAGGCCTACTTGTCCCCCGCCTTTATAAGAAAGCAGGGGACTATTAAAATGGGTTCGTCCGTCTATCTGTCTGTCCGTCACACTTTTTGGGACACAATAACTCTCTTTCTAATTGAGCTAGAATGTTCAAACTTGGTGTAGGTGTTTATTAGGTCAATGCCTTTATGGAGTTCGAAGATGAGTATTTTCTGCTTAGGGTAAGCAGAGATAAGCAATTTGATTGGTTGATGTTTTTGGACACGATAACTTTAGTTCTAATTAAATGAGAGTTAGAAGATGAGAATTTTCTGCTTAGGGTAAGCAGAGATAATCAATTTGATTGGTTGATGCTTTAGGTGAATGCCTTGATGGAGTTAGATATGATAAACATTGTCTGCTTACGGTAAGCAGAGATAAGCAATCTGATTGGTTGATGCTTTAGGGCCAATAACTTTGGTTTTAATTAAGTGAGAGTGATGAAACTCCGAGTATAGATTCATTATATCATTACCTTGACTAAGTTTGATGATGAGAATTTGAGAATTTTCTCTTAGGTTAAGGATCGATAAGCAATTTGATTGGTCAAGACTTTGGAACATAACAACTCGGCTTTTAATTGAGGTAGAATGTTTAAACTTGATGTTCATTAGGTGAATGTCTTGACTGAGTTCAATGATTAACATTTCGAGCTAAAGCTATACAGAGCTAAGCAATTTAATTTGTCGACGCTTTGGGACCAGATAACTTTGATTCTATCTGATAGAGAGTGATGAAACTGTGTGTATAGTTGATAATCGGTTTGATTGCTTGATACTTTTGAAAAAAATAAATGTACAACTAATTAATATGTGTCATCTATTTATTTTGGGATTTCGGTGGGGGACATCAGCCTCACTGTTAGCTTGTTTTTTTTTTACTTTTCTGCCGGTTCATAACCCAAATACAAATTTTATTATTCCGCTACAATTTAATGGGCCGAATCTTTACAAGGGAATAATTTACTTCTAAGTTAGTACTTATAGCAAGAGTGTCTATTCTAACATTGATACCATCAAAACACAACACAACGTAAAAAAACCTTCTTAATAAATTCAAAAATCAATGTCATCTTCGCGTATTTAATTAACATACTATGACATATTGAAACACTACAACTATGCATCTCCTGGGCAGATATCAACCAAAAAAATGTTCGAAAATTTAAAGTTAACTTAAATATATTTCAGAATCAATGATCTATCTATAAAAATGAGTTTACTATTGATATCATCTGTGGTTTTAGTGGTGACTTACCTCATCATAAAATGGTTTAAAGATCAACATAAAACACCTCTACCCCCAGGTCCAGGATTATTTGAATGTTTAAAAATTACATGGAGAATGATGCGAAAAAATGATACCCATTTGATCGGTGAGGATCTTAGAAAACGATACGGAGAGATATTCAACATCCGGGTGTTTTCACAAAATCTGGTTTTCATGAATAGTAGTCGCTTAATGCGTAAACTGCTCTCTTCTGGTCAATATCGTGACGTTACAAATGATTGACCATGGACATTTTACAGAAAACATATCAGCTATGATGGTCGAGACATTGCCCTGCGTGATCACGACGAACTGCTTGTAAAGTTGCGAAGAATGGTCCATGGAACTATCAAATTATATGGAGACGGTATTAAGGTTTTCGAGGATATGATAAATGGAGAAATAAAGATTTTACAAAAGGAGCTTGAAAAATCCACACAGGAAGCATCATTCAACATGGACAAAGCTTTAAAAGTTTCACTTATTAGAATTATCCATATATTTGTGAGTAAACTTTTCTTTAATACCAATAAGTTCAAAGGGGATCACGTGGCTAAGTCAGTAAGACGCTGGCTCGCTAGCCTGGAGGTCGGGTGTTCGATCCCTGCATTGGCCGAGAAATTTATCCCGATTTTCCGGCGTGGTTTCCCCTTGTCAGTGATGCAGGACGAAAAACCGAGGTCCCGTGTACAAATTGGCGTGCACGTAAAAGATCCCTTGGCAGTTGGAATTCGATATATGAGTAGGCCGTAGCGCCGCTGCCCGGGCAAAATTTCCATCATAGCACACTGTATGGCGTATGCCCGTCTTCATTAGCCCAGTTTAGGAGCAAAACAGTAGGACCAATAAATTCCCCTATTTTTAGTCTCCCCCCCCCCCTCCTTACTCCGTCGTCCCTTTCACATGTTTTGGTGAATATTCATGATTTTGAGACTTAAGAGGCTGGTCATATTGAAATGTAGGATAGTTGCATGTTTCTCCATCCGTGGTAGAAAGCGCTATTGTCTTGTAAATGCCCCCATTATACCCGCAAAAGAATGAATATGCGATAACATTATAGAATTACTTATAGTTGCCGTGGGTGTATGATTCGTTGCTCCGCAACTTATCTGTACTTATCATAATACGCCCATTTGTTTATAACACATTTACGTATATTATTTTAGTCGCCCCTGCTCTGGTATTTGAGATTTTTAAATATTCAAACTTGCTGGGATACTTTGACCATGCCTAAGGAGGAAAGCTAAATTTTGTATTTGCTGTGCGCAGGTTTTGACTTTTGTCCCTTGCACCACATAGCATTAGTTTACTCGTGTATTCATCACAATGTATTTTCTTTCTTTCTTCAAGTTAACCAACGAAAAGCCTGCAGATAACGAAGAATCTCAAGATATTTGTGAGACCATTGAAAACTTTGATTATTTTAACAATTTAATGTTCAACAGTGCGCTGCTCAATGCATGTACCTGGGTTCGTTTTATACCGGGACCAGTGCGTCAACTATGCCAAGATAGTTTGAAAGCAAGAGACAGGTTGAACAATTTATACCTGAATCCTAGTATTACAGAAGTAAGAATCTCTGTTATAGAACCTGCTCTTATATTAAAGCAGCAAACTAATATACAGAATAGTCTCCACCCCCACTTAAGAGCACTTGATTTAAGCACCGACTATATAGTGAAGCACCCTTAAACCGAGAGGGTGTTGGATGGCCGACTGGAAACGAATTATGTGTATCAGTACCCGCCTCGAAATTGTCCACACTGTCTTGGTCAGGGAAGATGCCATTCAGGACTTCGCCGAGATTGCATCGTCTGCATTGTCACTATGCACTCCGCCATTTTACGGTTTGCCGCTTTGAAACACGTGGAAATATGTTCTAGTGCATAGAAAATACAATAGATGGCACTTGCAGCTACGGTGCTAATTTTAGCGAGGGTCATACTGAGTACCCGGTTATACCGGGTACGCGCATTTTAACGACATTTTATTTATTAGCTTGTGAACACTCGAGAGGTCACAATTTTTATCCGATTTGGATGAAACTTGAAATGTATATTTATGACTCAAAGATCTTGATTCCTTTCGATAATCGCGAATATCGGACCGTCATTTCCTGGATTATGGCCCCTGATTGTACAAAATAAATCGCGTCTCTTAGCTTGTGGACTCAATATTTAGCCCGTGGTCCTTCTATCGGACTGTAACTTCCTAAATTATGGCCCCTGCTTGTACGAATAATCGCCTTTTAGCTTGTTCTCTGCAAAATATGTTCGTATCTTGCATGAAAACCGCTTGTTTAAATTACTGTTTTAGAGAATGAAATCTCATGGTAAAGGTTTACTTGGTAGTATTTTAAGTCAAGCAGAAGACGATGTCGAGATTGACGAGGAATGTATTAAAGGAGTCCTTGGCAACATGGTAGCAGCTGGGTATTTAACAACTAAGGGAGCTTTAAGTGGATTTTTTCTGTTGATGCTTTACTATCCAGAGGTACAACGCCGCATTCAAGAAGAAATTGATGAATATATTGGCAAGGATAGAGATCCTAACCTAGATGACCGATCAGTAATGAACTATACAAACGCCGCCATTTTGGAATGTTTGAGATTTATTAGCCACGTCCCGATAGGAATACCGCATATGACTAGAGAAGATATAGAAATAGAAGGAATGCGGATTCCAGCAAAGACGACAGTACGTAATTTACATGCCCTTGTCATAACTTGGTAGTTTATTTTTCTAATGCACACATTAATTTTGTATACGCCCATATTTGAGCGTGGTGCGTATTATGTCGTCACCATGTCCGCCAATCGCTGACTTGATAGAAGATGCAGTTTTTAACTTTATTTTAAAGCTTGGTGTGAAGAATTAGGGTCATGTGAGGACGAACCCTATCAATATCCTTCGTTGCATGACCTTCCGTTGCCATAAAGCTTGTGAACACGATAGAGGCTACAGCATTAAATAGTTTTTTTTATTCAAATTCGTGAACACGATAGAGATCAGATCGCTTGAAGGCATAACGTATCAAATTTGGTCACCATGCTCTCGAGCTGCTACTGTTCGTATTCCAAAGTTACGCTTTGTATGATTATCTTTTATTATTATAAATTACAGTTGCTTACCAATTTTTGGTCGACGAATCGTTGTGAGAAGTATTGGAATGAACCTAATGTTTTCTTGCCTGAAAGGTTTTTAGATGAATATGGCAAACTTCTTCCAACTGAACACATTTTAAGATTACAGTAGGTCGTTGATTTCTTCTAATTACAATTTATTCTTGACACAACAAAACATTTATTATCTTACAGTTTTATTTGAACAGAGGAAAAACATTTTCTCTAAACATATATTAATTCAACACCACCATTTACATGCTCAGAAATTCAAAATAAAAAAAACATTGGATGAAAACTAAAACATACATTAAACTGCGGCTGTGTTTTAAAATAAATTATCTTGAACACTGAACACTGACTATTTAAATAAATGAGACAATTCGTTGGCAGCAACTGTTTATGACTTTGACTGGATTGTTTTACTTTATATAACATGAGGAAATATGGTGAAATACAGACCACTTTCAGATCAATAAGTACCTACCCACATTGATTAGTGTAGAAGCAATTTTGGAAATGAAACTGTAACGTCTTCTGTTATTAAACACTGACTTAAATTGGTTGTCTTGAACAAACCCTAGAATAGACTTTTCATTTTTACTTCAAAATGTTCGTCATTGTGTTGTGATAAACCATGCCGTTCCCCGGTTCAATTTTAATTTTAAATCATAATACATAAGTATTAAAAGATTGAAAAAATTTCAGAAAGTTTACAGTTCACCTTTGGTTATCATGTTTTTATACGCCCTGTCCGTCCACAATTGTTTGTGAACATTCTACAGGTCACAATTTTTATCCAATTTCAATGAAACTTGAAATGTAGGTTTATCACCCTAAGATCTCGGTTCCTTTCGATATTGACGTGTATCGGACTGTAACTTCATGGATTATGGCCCCTTATTGTACGAAAAATCACGTTTTTAGCCTGTGAACACTGTAGATGTCACATTTTTTTTCGATTTGGTTTAAACTTGAAATGTATGGTTATAACCCACAGATCTCGGATCCTTTCGGTATTCGCGCATATGGGACCATAACTTCCTGAATTATTGCCCTTGATTGTACGAAAAATCGCGTTTTTAGCTTGTGGACCCCATAGAGGTCACAATTTTATCCGATTTACAAAACCGTTTGAATATATCACCGTTACACCCTATATTTAGCTCGAATTTCGTAAAACTCGGACCGAAACTGATGGACAAAATGGCCGCCCCTCGTTCGCAAATAGTGTCAAAATATTGTGTATCAGGGTTGTGGACCCTCCGGAGGTCACAATGTTCATCTGATTTTGATGAAAATTGAAATGCATGTTTATAACCCACAGATCTCGATTCCTGATTCCTTTCGATATTCGCACATATCGGACCATAACTTCCTGAATTATGGCCCCTGCTTGTACGAAAAATCGCGTTTTTAGCCTGTGGACCCCATAGAGGTCACAATTTTTATCCGATTTACAAAACCGTTTGAATATATCACCGTTACACCCTACTGTATATTTAGCTCGAATTTCGTAAAACTCGGACCGAAACTGATGGACAAAATGGCCGCCCCTCGTTGTTCGCAAATAGTGTCAAAATATTGTGTATCAGGGTTGTGGACCCTCTGGAGGTCACAATGTTCATCTGATTTTGATGCAAATTGAAATGCATGTTTATAACCCACAGATCTCGATTTCTTTCGATATTCGAACATACCGGACCATAACTTCCTGAATTATGGCCCCTGATTGTACGAAAAAACGCGTTTTTAGCTTGTTGACCCCGTACAGGTCACAATTTTTATCCGATTTAAACAAACGTTTGAATATATCACTGTTACACCCTAAAGATGGTTGAGTTCGAATTTCGTAAAAATCGGACCGAGACTGGCGGACAAAATTGCCGCCCCTCGTTCGCATATAGTGTCAAAATATTGTGTATCAGGGTTCTGGACCCTCTGGAGGTCACAATTTTCATCTAAATTTTGATGAAACTTTATAACCCAAAGATCTTGGTTCCTTTCGATATTCGCACATATCGGACCATAACTTCCTGAATTATGGCCCCTGATGGTACGAAAAGTCGCGTTTTACCTTGTGGTCCCATTAGAGGTCACAATTATTATCCGATTTAAAACAAACGTTCGAAAATATCACCGTTACACCCAAAACTGCCGGACAAAATGGCCGCCCATCGTACACAAATAGTGTAAACATCTGGTATATCAAAGTGCCACAATTTTGATCTGATTTTGGTGAAACTTGAAATGCAAGTTTATGACTCAAAGGTCTCGGTTCCTTTCAATATTCGCGCATATCGGATCGTAACTTCCTGAATTATGGCCCTTGATTGAACAAAAAATCACGTTTTTAGCTTGTGGTCCCTGTAGAGGTCCCAATTTTTAACCGATTTTAAAAAAAACCGGCTGAATATATCACCATTACAATCTAAATTCTTGGTTCCTTTTGATAATCGCGGATACCCGAACTTAACTTCCTCGATTATGGCACCTGATTGTTCGAAAAATCGCATTTTTAGCTTGCGGATTCTCTAGAGGTCACAATTTTTATACGCCCACATTTTCATGTGGACGTATATTGTCGTCGCCCCTGTCCGACCGTCCGTCCGTCCACAATTGTTTGTGAACAGTCTACAGGTCACAATTTTTATCCGATTTCAACGAAACTTGAAATATAGGTTTATCACCCTAAGATCTCGGTTCCTTTCGATATTACCATCTATCGGACCGTAACTTCGTCGATTATGGCCCCTGATTGTACGAAAAATCACGTTTTTGGCTTGTGAACACTGTAGAGGTCACAATTTTTATCCGATTTTGATGAAACTTGAAATGTAAGTTTATAACTCAAAGATCTTGGTTCCTTTCGATATATACGCATATCGAATTGTAATTTCCTGAATTATGGCCCTTGATTGTAGGAAAAATCACTTTCGTTTTAGCTTGTTTTCTATCCATCTCTTGCAAAATGTGGGCAGCCGCTGGTTTTTTGTTTTGTTTTGTTTTTCAGGTTGATACCATTTGGAGTTGGAAGAAGAAACTGTGTCGGGGAATCGTTCGCCAAGTCTCGCATATTCCTGTATGTGACGTCACTACTACAGAAGTTCAATTTTTCACGTGGAGAAAATGTGTTGGCATCTCAGGATTCGGCAACATGGAAACCTACAATTTCTATGCACCCGGACTTTCTTAATTGTACCGTGCGTACGAGATAAACTAGTTTTATTTAATGGGATGGTACCTAACATGTAATGAACTAATTCGAGCATTATTCAACTTCTGAGATTTTCGTGGAATTTGTTTGTCAGCGAAACGAAGAACATTAGTAACGGGCTCTTGCCCTGGAGATCTGACCAAGGGCGTGTCCGTTTATTATCAGAATCGGAGTTGATTTATTTACATTCAAAAATTTTAGCTTTAGATTTCTTGTATTTTTCTTTATATTATTATGAAGAGTCAGGAACCGATTTCAAATTTGTATTGAAATAATATTTACAAAAACTTGTTTTAGTTTGTTGAGTTGACTTCTTTCATTCGAGTTTTAAATTCACGACAGATTCAAACTTTCGCAAAATTGCCTTTGTCTCAACTTTCTTTCAACAAAATTTTTACCGAATCAATAACTGGCAAAATCATTTTTAAAGAAAAATGGGGCCTAAACATTTGTCCGGTTCTGGGCAGCGATACGGGTTCCAACCTCTGGAGGGAAATTACGTGTGCGTGCTCGGATCGCGATTACGGGGGCGTGGTCACCAACAAAAAATATATAAAATCAACGTAGTCTAACCGTTGTACCACTTTCATAGAACAAATGAAACGTGATCACTCCCGTCTTTACTATGGCAAACAACGCCCACACAAGTGTGTGTGTGTGAGGGGGGGGGGGAGCTTAGAGCTACCTAGTTCAACTAAGAGCTACTTATGTCACTATAACAGCTCTTCCAGTTTGCTATTTAGAGAAAGAGAAAAATTGAGTTTAACGTCCCCTCGACACAAACTAGGTTATTTCAGGACAAACATATGGTTCAATTTTATTTCAAAAATTCGCTTGCGCGTAGGGGTCTTTAGCTGTGGGAGGAAACCGAAAGACCAGGAGAAAACCCACGAGGTTGGATAAACGACCCCACTTCTTGTCACGTACAACCGGGGAATCGAAATCACGCCTGCAGTTTTCTCAATGACAGACCTTATGATACAACGCGATCGTGCTAACCATTCGACCATCCAGTCCGCCCCACTAGTTTGCTATTTAAGGAGAGAGAGAGAGGCAGAGAGAGAGAGAGAGATTAACGCCCACTATTAAACTATCCTTAAACTACCCGACTGAGATGACTAAATTTTGGCGTTATTTCATCAATGATTAAGTACAAGTTCGCGTTCCAGAATATCACATTTTATGGCATTCTCGAACAATGATTTACTCACTGATTAGGCTAATCAACGTTTATAAATGTAATCCGCTTTTCAGAACATCACATTTTATGGCATTCTCGAACAATGATTTACTCACTGATTAGGCTAATCAAAGTTTATAAATGTAATCCGCTTTTCAGAACATGACTGTGCAGAAAATCGGAGATTAAATTCCTCATTAGGACTAATCCACTTTCGAAAAGATGGGCTTAAGTGTCAAAATCAGAACTGTTTTCATTACAATTAAAACCTAGGACTCGATAATACCAGCAAAATGAAACATTCTTTCGGGCTATTAAAAATAATCTGCTTCTTAGATATTGTGTACGTTTACTAGAGTGATAACTTAACTGTGAATTAATGCTTGTAATAATAACAAACTATTTAACATTAATATAATATTACTCTTTATAGCAGTCTTTAAAGATGGGTTCCCAGAAAAATATTTATTGGGTGGTTATTTCCAATAAAAGTATGGCAATTTTGGTATATATGGAAAGTAGAGATATCCAATCTTACTAGAAAAATACTGGATTCGCCGAAAAACATTCATGGAGCGTATACAGGACCAAAATGTAAGGGTTCCCCTAATCAACAGCCCGACGATTAGGAACTTCTGCACGCGTGATGTCAAAGGTCACAAGCGAACATTGAGCGCTTGATGTACAAGTTGATAAACTTTATGTAGAGTTAGACGTACAATACTTTCTGAGATAAAAATGACAGAAAAAGACGCGGGTTGTGGATAATCCGAGAATTTAATTAGGATTCGATATTTGTAATAAATAGTAAGCGATTAAAGACAACATCGTCTTATATATGCAATGAATTCTCCTCTTGACTCCCAACCCAAGACGTGTGTCGTAAACATGACCTGGTTTGATCGAATTTTAATAGCAGGGCATTCGCAATAACAATGTTTGAGAAGGATTTGAAGCATAATTATGACAAATTAATTAGTTTGAATATGTCTTTGGTCCATATATACCATTAAATCACCCAGTTTGTACGCGGGACCGTCCATAAATTCAAATAGTGAATCATACCATTACCACATAACCCTTCACAATCCCTATAAACAAGGCCACAACTATTTATATACCTTATAGCTGAACAACATATTGAAGATCAATGATATTCGCTTGAGCTAACCAGGATACTAATCATATTTAAGTACTATTCGTGTTTAATAGTTTATTCATTACTTTGTGCACTAGATCTTATCATTCAACTATTTTAACACATTTCTTTATGCCCAACTTAAATGTCTAAATGTGGAAACATTCACGGAAACTCTAAAGAATGAAAACACTTGTATAATGACGTGTCATTATGTTAAAAATAACACATGTTTCGCAATATCCTTTAGATTAGAGAAAGATACCAATTAAAACTTTTAGTCTAATACTAAGAGACAGATTTCTTTATTTCCACAGTTTGTTGTGCTTGTGTGTGGTGTTTCTTGCCACTAGACACGTAATATTCTTAGATTTCCATAACCGAGAGTGGCGTGGATTTTAATTTGTATATTTTATCTTCATTTAGTGATGTTATCTACCACTGGAGAGATTATAAGAATTATTTAAGCAAAAGAGGAGTAACCACTTTATGGAACGGTAGTGAGGTAACTAGTCAGTTAGTAGTAGTAAGGATATGATAACTTCGTGTAAACGATAAAGATTACATTATAAACTTTATCCAAACCTGTAAATAATAATGTAAAATACGTACATAACAACCAGTTTATAACATGGATCAGAGAGTTGAGAACAGTGAAAGTTTGTGATTCTCTAATGTTTATTGTCAACTGATTCCAACTATGCCCGTCTTCATTAGCCCAGGTTAGGAGCAGAACAGTAGGACGTTAAACCCCATTTCATTTCGTTTCATTTCATTTTCCAACTATGCGCAGCGAACTCTTAATCACTTTTGTTTTAGTACGGAAGCTAAATAGGGCCATGTTTTTATTATGGGATCTTAGTGTACTTTTGGGTTTATTATTAGTCAAACATTCAGCGAAATATAATGGAGCGAGATTATTTGGACAGAATTTGATACCGAATCCGAGGGTTTGACAAACAGTCGGCGAACATATTTTAACACCGGCGATTTGGATGAATATTTTGATGTTTCCGTGCCAATTGTAAATTGTCAGTTAGTGTTTTGTGAGTAGAAAAGCAAACTATTTCCACAACCATTCCCGGTTGGTGCAGAAAAGTAGGACGCTAAACCCCATTATTCTATAATCAATTCGAGATATTAGTGACAGGATTGATTGATACAGCACTAGCCCCCCCCCCCCATGTCAGCATAAAATCCACTTATCATTCTGTATTTTTTTTATACATCGTGTTCATTAAATTGAGCTTTTTTGTTGGTTGGGGAGATGTAGCTGATTAGATTAAATTGAATGTTATATTCGGGTTCAAATGTGTACCACAAATCACAGTTGACAAGTTTTTATAGTGTCGTCAATAGCATGTAAATAAGGTCGTTTTTTTTTACAAACTTCTTGTTCGAAGTTAAACTCTGCGCTACCAAATACAGACGACTTTACTCGACATAGCGCGGCAACGGCCAGAAGGGACTCTGGTCATCATGATTCTAAATAGTAAGGGAGCTAGGTTCAGGTTGTTTCGAAAATCACGTACAAAATTTCTACTATGCTAGATGAGTGGACATCGGTGCCCAATACTCTGAACCTTGATTCTTAAGTTGTGGGTCCCCTTCCCATGGGGGTGGGGGGTCCGACAAATTGTCAAAATTTCGAGTTTAATTCGACTTTCGCGTACAACAATGAACTTTCGCATATGTCGACCAACTTCAGATGTCATCAAAACACTACCTAAGAAGACCCCAGACCCTTCCTTCCTCCCTTAAGAACACCCCCTTTACCCCATTGAGAGATAGATTACTTCGACTTCCGCGTACAACATTAATTTTTTCGTTAAACGTTTCACTATTGGTTCACTAGACCATAACACTAACTTAAGAACGCGAAATCCCCTTCTTTCTCAGATAAGAACAACAGAACGGGGAGGCGCATGAGTGAAATGACCAAAAATGACTATTTAATTCGCCTTTTGAGTATAACGATCAACTTTCGTGCATATATCGACCAACCTCAGATGTCATCAAAAACACTGCTTAAGAAGACCCCCAACCTTCCTTCCTCCCTAAAGAACACCCTCTTTACCCCCATGAGAGATAGGTTAATCCGACTTCCGCGTACAACATTAATTTTTTCGATAAACGTTACGCTATTGGTCCACTAGAACATAACACTAACTTAAGAACGCGAAACCTCCTCTATTCCAGATAAGAACGGCAAAACTGGGGCCCATAGTTGAAATGACCAATAATGACGGTCGAGCATGCATCGACCAACCTCAGATGTCATCAAAAACACTGCTTAAGTAGACTCCCACCCCATAAGCGATGTATTAATTTGTATTCCGAGTGCAACATTAATTTTTTCGTTAAAAGTTTCACTATTGGTTTATATTATTCTTTCTATATATATACTCTTCAGAAAAAAAGAAGTAGGGGATATTGAAATGCAAATACCTAAGCAGGTTGTGATATGATAAATAGTCATGGATACTTGACATGAATTGAGAGTATGTTCACAGATGAAGAACTTATCGCCACAACAGAACCACTGAGCTGCACGTGTGACACGCAATAGCGCCATACACGTGGGAGGGGTTCATTTTCAAATTTGACACTTTAAGGAAGGGCTGATGAAAACTGCCGCGTGCTGGTTTATCCTATCCATGTTTGCTTTCCTATCGGTTCTCGCATAAGATTTACTGTTTAGCGTATCTTTGCTTTAGTGTGTTACGTTTAATTTGCAATGAGACGTCTTCAGCATGATGAACGTCTACGTGCTATTGGCATGCTTCAAATGGGTTCTACACAGCGAGCAGTAGCCAACATGCTTAATGTGTCACAGCCTGTGATCAGCAGACTGTGGAACCTGTACAAACAAACACACAATGCTGATGATAGACCTCGTTCAGGTCGTCCTAGAGCCACTACAAAAGCCCAGGATCGATACATTCGTACGCAGGTCCTGCGAAATCGAGGACAAACGGCCAATCAGCTTTCTGTAAACTTGTACCAAGTTACAGGAATTCGAGTTACACCCCAAACGATTAGAAATCGGCTACATGCAGCCCATTTGCGTGCACAACGACCGCGTGTTGTGCCTCCATTAAATCGCCAGTACATGGCAAACATGCGTCAATGGTGTAGGCAGCGTAGAATTTGGGGTAATCGTCGATGGGCGCGTGTAATGTTCTCAGATGAGTCCAGATTTACTCTGGATTTCACCGATAGGCATGCTCGCGTTTGGAGGCGTGTAAATGAACGTCATGCTAACGTTAACGTCAGACAGCATGTCAGATTCGGGCGTGGGTCTGTTATGGTGTGGGGAGGAATCACCATGACTGGCAGAACGGACTTGCATATTGTTCAAGGAAGGGTCACTGGTGTGTACTACCGTGACCACATCCTGGCACCGATAGTTTTGCCCTTTGCTCAACGTGCAGGTCGACGTTTCATCTTTAAAAATGATAATGCCCGAGCCCACCGCGCTCGTGTCGTGAATGACTACCTCCAGCGTCACCATTTATGCCTTGGCCAGCCATGAGTCCTGAACTTTCTCCTATAGAGCATGTCTGGGACATGATCGAGAGACGTGTTCGTCAACGTCAACCAACAACACTGCAAGAATTGGCCGTGACACTGCAAGAGGAGTAGGTCAGATTGCCCCAAATCGTAATTGGACGGTTGATTAGGAGCATGCCACGACGAATTGCTGAATGTCTGAGGATTGGTAGAGCAATTACTCATTATTAAGACAAAAATCAAAAACGTCCATTTTCACTTAGGCAATTGGCCTCTTATTAAAAACAGCAGTGCATTTCCGCAGTTTTGCATTGTTTCTGAATATCCCAAACTTTTAATTCAGAGGTCTAGGGTCGTTTGAATTCATCAATGTCATATTCTCCACAACTACAGTTAATTTGGTAGACACAGCCTTTCGGGAAGGTAGGCTTTGCTGGGGTTGACTTTCCATTAGCATTTACTAACTCCTTAGTTATTGCGCCTTTGAGGAATGTGGTTTCTGTATCTGCTTCTGTTTTAAATTACCTTCCAATTTGGTGGGAGATGTTGCCGCGGATTGGTATTAAGACTCGTATTGGCGGTGTATCATTTTTCTGGTTTATCAAGTTTTGTAAGGTTGGATAATGTGGCGTTGATGAACTTTTAGGTGTTTTCTTCTCATGGCACATTAGTGAGTAGATCGACAACGCCATACAAGAACAATTCATTGGAGTCCTTAATAAAAATATCAATCCGTCTGGAAGATCGTGGATTATGACGAATCTTACAGATTATATTTTGGGGAAACAGAATTGATGTCAGGAGTTTTTAGGGTCATCAACTAAATCAGCTCCCTTCTCCGAGAGCCGCTTTTTAAAACACGTACTAGCCCGTGGACTAATAGTGAAACGTTTAACGAAATAATTAATGTTGTACGCGGAAGTTGAATTAGCTCATCTCTGATGGGGTAAAGGTGGCGTTCTTCAGGGATGAAGGATGGGCCGGGGTTCTACTTAAGCAGAGTTTTTGATGTCATCTGACGTAAGTTTACAGAAATGAAATGAAATGAAATGGAGTTTAACGTCCTACTGTTCTGCTCCTAACCTGGGCTAATGAAGACGGGCATACGCCATACAGTGTGCTATGAGGGAAATTTTGCCCGGACAGCGGCACTACGGCCTACTCTTATATCGAATTCCAACTGTCAAGGGATCTTTTACGTGCACGCCAATGTGTACACGGAACCTCGGTTTTTCGTCCCATCCGAACGACTAGACAGCTTTCCTTGTCAGCCCCTCCGTCCTGCATCACTGACAAGGGAGAACCACGCCGGAAAATCTGGATGAACTTTCTCGGCCAATGCAGGGATCGAACACCCGACCTCCAGGCTAGCGAGCTAGCGTCGTACCCACTTAGCCACGTGATCCCCCGTAAGTTTACATAGACAGGAAGGATGATATTTGTAGGCTGAAGTTGACTAAAAGAGTCAGTTTTGGGCATTACACACTTGACCCCCTCCCTCGCGTTCTTAAGTTAGTGTTATGTTCTAGTGAACCAATAGTGAAACTTTTAACGAAAAATTTAATGTTGTACTCGGAATTCAAATAAATTTCCTCTTTAATGGGGGGTGGGGGTCTTCTTAGTTTTTGATGAGATCTGAGGTTGGTCGACGTATGCACGAAAGCTGTCCTCTGTACGCGGAATTAAACCGTCATTTTGGGTCATTTCACCCATCTGGGATAGAGGGGGTTTGGCGTTCTTAAGTTAGTGTTATGTTCTAGTGGACCAATAGTGAAACCTTAATCGAAAATGTTGTACGCGGAAGCCGAACAACTCATCTCTCAGGAGGGTAAAGGGGGTGTTCGACGTATGCACGAAAGTTGATCGTTGTACTCAAAAGGCGAATTAAATAGTCATTTTTGGTCATTTCACTCATGGACCTCCCCGTTTTGTCGTTCTTATCTGAGATAGAAGGGCATTTAGCGTTCTTAAGTTAGTGTTATGTTCTAGTGAACCAATAGTGGAACTTTTAACAAAAGTACTCGGAAATCGAATTAACCTCTCAGGGAGTAAAGGGGGTGTTGTTAAGGGAGGGAGGAAGGGTCCCGGGTCTTTTTAAGCAGTGTTTTTGAAGACATCTGAAGTTCGTCGACTTAGGCACGAAAGTTGATTGTTGTATGCAAAAAACGTCGAATTAAACTTGAAATGTCGACGTTTTGTCGGACGGCCCTTCCCCCATGGGAAGGAGACCCACAACTTAAGAATCAAGGTTCAGAGTATCGGGCACCGCTGTCCACTCATCTAGCATAGTAGAAATTTTGTCGGACGCCCCCGCCCCCATGAGAAGGGGACCCACAACTAAAGAATCAAGGTTCAGAGTATCGGGCACCGCTGTCCACTCATCTAGCATAGTAGAAATTTTGTTCGCGATTTTCGAAACAACCCGAACCTAGCTCGTTTAAAAAACGACAGGACTCTAAACGGGACTTGGCGACTTCGTAACGCTGTTTGTCGCTGAAAGAGTTAACAGAACAAATTGAAGTATCGCGCGTTTGTTATTGGTACAAAACCCGACACTACCACGTTTCTTTCTGGTCTTAACTGTATTTTATAAATTGTTCGCATCTAATGTAGTACGAGAAGCTTGTATTAAACTATCATGATTTATGCTATGGAAGTTTTTTGGGGAAATCTATAACCAAAAGAAAGGCTATTATTATATTTTGTTTTGAAAGCCCGAAGCAGTCGGAAATACAGGGGCGGATCCAGAGGGGGCGTTTCGGGGGGGGGGGGGTCGACCCCCACCCCCCCTACTCAGCTACATAATTTTTTTGGTAAATCAACACTTTTTATGAGAAAAGTTTCTCGGCCGTGTGCTTTATCCTTTATCGTGAGATGTGAGTTAGGATGGGCACTCAAACCACGAAATAATGATATCACAATTAATGCTTTGCATCCATGAAATTGAATCACAATGTCATTGTATTAATTCATTATAATAAAAATTTACGTCAAACGAGGTGTTGAATTTATCCGTTTAAAAAGCTCAATGTGTGTGTATATACGCCAAAATGACGATAGAGACCATGCGGGAGGGGTGTGTGTGTGAGATACATTGTCTCAGGAACCTGGCAAACCCCCTCCTGCAAAAATTCCTGGATCCGCCCCTGAAATAATACGAGTATTTTCATGAAGGCGATTTGATCAGAGTGTATTAATTGGTTCATTGGTTCAAAAAAGGGTTTTTATATGTTAGAAAAAACTTTGCTTATGAACTTAACATCGACATTAACAAGGCTGATGGGTCTCCAATTAGTTAAACCTGTTTATCTTTATCACCTTTAGGGATGAGTTTGTGTTACGGATAAAGATTCATTTTTTTTCAGCTAATTTGTGATACCATCATAAAGAAACCTATCAAAAGCCAGACTTATAAATTTATTTCACGCATAGTTAATACACCTGACAACTTGAAAACACCCTCCACCCTTTCTTGAAAAGGCTTATATTCGTTAACGGGCAATACTACGTTTCATTTAAGATATAATACAGGTATTTATCTTTAACAATTTGTTTTTCAGATAACATTTTCACAAGGAACTAGAGAAAATATATCAATGAACTCAAGAATGACTTTCTTGCTAAATCCTATACTTTGTTTGGTATCACTGACTGCTATAAATGCCTACAGTTCAGGAGCAGGTCCTGGAGCTTGTTTAGAACTGAAGCCTGCTCATGATAATTTGGATACACAGACATCTACTTCACCATTTGCTGTAATACCATCTAAAACAAACTACACAGCATCAGATAAAATAACAGGTAAATTATTGAATAGCTCTAACTTTATTACCATCCAAAACAACCTACGTACAATCAGATACACAGGTAAATTATTGAATAGCTCTAACTTTAAAACCATCTAAGACAACCTACGTACACTCAGGAAAAATAACAGGCCAATTATTGAATATACAATCTCCATCAGGAAAAATAATAGTTAAATTAGTATATAGCTCGAAATGTATATTATTGAATAGCTCTAAGTGTAAAACCATCTAAAACAACCTACACACCATCAGATAAAATAACAGGTAAATTATTAAATAGCTCTAACTGTAAAACCATCTAAAACAACCTACACACCAACAGATAAAATAACCGGTAAATTATTGAATAGCTCTAACTGTAAAACCATCTAAAACAACCCCACCATCAGAAAAAATAATAGGTAAATTATTGTATAGCTCTCAATGTAAATTATTGAACAGCTCTAACTGTAATAAAATCTAAGACAACCTACACAACCTCAGATAAAATAACAGGCAAATTATTGAATAGTTTTAACTGTATTACTATATCTGAGACAACCATCAGATAAAATAGAAGGTTAATTATTAAATAGCCCTAACTGTAATAACATCAAAGACAGCCTACACGCAGATAAAATAACAACTAAATTATTGTATAGCTCTAAATGTAAATTTTTGAATAAAGGTCCTAAGCATTGAAACGATTATGGTAGTCCCATGTTATTCAAAACAAAAATGGTCGTGAACTATGAATTATTATTTTTATTAACGTTAATGTCTGTGAACGCCATTTGAGGGATCGAGAAATCTCTTGCAAGACAATATCAATCCAAAAATTCGTCAACCTTTGGCATCTTCTGTAGGCGATATTAAGCCAGCGCCACCTGTAATCTTTATAAAGATAACTGATGGGCCTCTTATTAATCGGATTAAATCCAAACTGGGAGATTATATGTATCTACTGTTGATATTTTGATTTCGTTTTGTTAATTAAATGTTTAAAAATTAATTTAATTACGTTTAAAAATAATCTGTTTCATTACCTTTTAGCAAGGATTAACTTTTCAAAATATACAAATGATGTATAGAGACCTTAAGATTCATGTTGTTTATTGATTTGAGTGTGGGGTACTTTTTTGTAAGCCCTGGTTCAGGTGCACCATTTGCATTATGGTAAATCCTTAGCTGGAAAATACTCTGTTTGCTGACTTAATCTTTTGAAGAAAAAAAATCAGTAATAATAAAAGACCTTGGGCCATCACATCAGCTCATACCAAATGCTTCATTTTAATTTTGAACAAATTCAAAAGCGTTTTATATCCTTTAAGCTTCATTTACGTTAACTGGAATTGTTCTTATTTTCAGTTACTCTTGAAGCAAGATGTGGTTATAAATTTATAGGATTTTTAATACAAGCCAGACGAGCAGATAATTCGGCTGATAGAACTGAAGTCTTAGGAACATTTGATATTGCAACTAATACTAAACAACTATGTACTAATGCCGCAGTAAGTATACCTTATATTCCAGAAGCACAAGGCTTGGGGTTGCGCGCGAAACAAAATATAGTCATTTTTGATTTATTCTCCAATATTGGTGCCAGTCATTATCACATATGGGATAGAGGTGGTTAAACACATTCCAAATATAATTTTAACACAGAGATCATTGCTACGATAGCTGAGTAATACAGTTTTCCTGAATCGGAATTATTAGTGAGCAGAAATTCGCCCGTATATCCGTTATCACTCGTCACATCAGTCAGTTATATAGAGAGATGACTCGTGTTTTCCTTTAGCGTTCGTCACTTCCGATTCAGGAAACATGTATTACTCAGCAATCGTAGCAATGATCTCTGTGTTAAAATTATATTTGGAATGTGTTTAACTAGCTCTATCACATATGTGATAATGACTGGCACCAATATTGTCCTTTAACCAAATTTGGTATATGTATGTTGCTTTGGTGGTCAGCAGGGGAATGGTTGAGTGAACTTCCACTATAACTTGTTAGATCTACATGTAGTGTAGGCCATCAAAGTATAAAAAACGAAACGAAATATAGATCTATATTTAATTAGATTGTTTGCAGACCTGCTGCATGATTCTTTTAGGCCCTAAATCATTAATTAAGATATTTTGCAGTTAACCCACGCCAATGCTGCATATAAAACTACATTAGATGTAACATGGAATGCACCTTCTACATCTGGAACTGGACATATTGTTTTTAAGTGAGTCATATCTTAATTTAAGGGTACTTAATGACTGCAGGGACAATTTAGCTCCTGTGGATATATGTCTCATTGCCTGGCAGCCCATCTTTGCTTACCAAAGGCGTTTATTAAGGCAAATTATATCCAAAATATGAAGGTTACGTTGATATGAAAAACTTCTTGTGACAGTCAACATTTTGCAGAAGCAGACGCACAGTAACTAAATTAAAAATTATCATCATTCATTTCTCTTGTTACAAAACTTGATTAACTTAGAGTTGCAAAACCTGGTTCACTTGAAATTCGTATGTAAAGCCTTTTTATTTTACGTCCACATTTCAGTGTGGCCATATTATGTCGTCGCCCTTGTCCGTCCGCAGGTCCATTCGAATGCGATAGAGTCTACTTTTTTAATGGGTCATATAAGCCATCCAATTCTTGATGATGTGTTTTCTACAGTCGGATGAGCTGCAATAATGACATAATAACAACTGTATAGTATATATTTTAACTTTCGAGATATATATGAACGATCTGGCATGTTACACTTTTAACTGTATTGTGTGGTTTCTTTGAGACATTATTCAATTTATTTTTTTAGGGTCACCTTTGTAGAAGTTAAATCTAAATTCTGGCAAGCAGTAACATCTAAAGTTGTTGAGGAAACTGGCCAGCCGGCATTGGATTTAGCCACTGATTCTACTGAGAGTCCCGTCCTAGACAATAGTAACTGTCCAATTGTACCAACAGTATGTATCTTTTCCTTAATGTTTACCATTGAATTATACCTTCTACAAATACATTACCAATATCTATTAGATAATAAATAAATAAATAATATCTATTAAGTACATAAATATATATAATAATATATGATAAATACACAAATAATATAATAGTAAATACATCAATCATTTTTATTAATTAAAGATACATTATGGGAGATAATATAAAGAGATGGCAGTTCTCGCTATAATACTTAAAAACTAGATAGTGTAAAGGTAATTTGCTGAAAATTACAGTCAAATTGATCCACTATGAGCCGAGAAAGAAGCGGGTGAAATTTTTGCATAGTCTCGGTCATCATTACTAAAATCATTATTATAAACAGCATAGTCTCGATTATCCACTTTTTTAAAATTTAATTATCAATGACCGTTAGCGGCATATAGGAATCTAATCCAGCCAACATCGATGGCTAGCCTTGACATCGAGAGTTTATTATGGTGTAGATAAGTTAATTAATGTCTAATTGATAATTTAGATAACATTTCAGGCCTAAAGAAAGACTTGTAATAAGCAGATTTTGCTCTTGCATAATGCATGTTTAATAAGTATTTCTGTACAAGGCAGCTTTTCTTTCTGGTAATTATTTTGAGACTAGAGAATAATAAATTATATTTCTATTGTTATGTGTAAAAAATGGATTCTGCCTGAATGACGAGGCAACACCAGATTTTAAAAAAAAATTCTGATATTCTTGCATGGCCGAATTCCTCTATATTTGGATCAGGGACATTCTAATAGAGAGATCTGTGTCTACAACTCTTACTTGTATAAAATCAGTTGTCCAGCCATACTTACCAAATTTAAGGTATAGAATATCAAATATATAATATTTTCTTTTTATCATTTTTACGATATCTATATATGTTATTAAAGGGTACTATTTTTTTTTTATCGTTTTTACCATATCTATATTATTTTAAAGGGTATTAAATTTGCTCAAAACTCGGAATGTGGAGTTACACGAGGATGTTATTCAGACTGCGGTGCTGATGGCTGTTCTTTTGAAGTATCCTGGAATTTTAATGGAAATAATCCTAATGCTGATTTCACATTGAAATTGAAGGCTTCAACAACTGAAACATTTTCACAGTATATTGCTATTGGATTCTCTGCTGATAACAAAATGGTAAGGCGGGGAGATTGTATACTGAGATCAATAGAATTCAGAAGAATTTCACATAATTGTCTTTCCCAAATCGTACATCCTTCGACTGTTTTTAATTCAATCTGAGCACAAACCCAAAATTCTGGGTTGTGGGGGGAGGGGATATTTTGATCACAAATTCCGGAATTACTTTTCCCTCTACTTTTTGACTTCCAGAAAGTTAAATCTGAATTAGATTTTTAAACGCCAATAGGTTAATGTTGTCGTATACTATCATTATCCCAGCCTGTGTGACCTTCCTTCTTTCCACATTTACTTTTACTTTCCAGAGTTAAGTTGGTAAGTGTTTTTTATACACCCATTGTCCTCATCGATCCAATCACCAGTTCATCGGTCTGTGGATGTCGTAGGTTTAGTTACCTAGCGACCTATCGGTATCAGGTTTTCAGCTATAGCTAGTATTGAAGAATAGGGACTCCCTATTGATATTGTGTGTTGTCCCAAAATTAGTTCAATAGTTTTGACCACTGACGTATATGATTGAGATTACTCATTCTACAGAGTTCAACTCTTTACAAATTTTCATCAAATTTTCAGCCAATGTCGAGTTAGGGACCTGACTTATATAATTGCTGATGAAAGAACATACTAAATGATTGATGTCCAATACCATACTATTTGTCCTCATTTCACAGAGTTCAATTCTTCACAAATTGTCATCACATTTTGATCGTTTTCGTAGAAGAATTACAGAGTTATGGGTCTGAAATGTTGATAGATTTATATTAACATCCTTGTATTTACTCGCAATTCTTTACAGATTTTCACAAAATTTAAGGTGTAGCTTATTTTTTCAAGCAATATGATCTCTATCAATTTGAACATTTTCAAAGGGTAGTTCTAGAGTTAAAGCCCCTGACATACAATTTGGATTGTGATCATTATTCACAGTATGGCGCCCACTTATCCCCAAATCGCTAAATTAATAACATGGAATAATCAGTCCCGGGACTTCACAGCACAGTGGACTCTTATGGCACCCTGATCCTTTCACTTGATTTGATGTCTAAGTAGTTTGTCTTGTCCACAGGTTTGTCTTGTCGGTTTTGTTTTGCGAATAGTGCGGTCCTCCTGCACTTACTATGGGATGAAGTACGTGCGGTGACGCTGCAGTTGGATATATGTTACCTTTCCTGGCAAGCTATATTTTTTTAAAATATGCTTAATTAGTACAAATGAATGTGGTGCTGATGTGTGGTGAGATCTAATACTGTATATTTCAGGGTACTGACAGTGTTACTGAGTGTGTTTATGCTGCTGCTGACAGTTCTGTTGATGTATTTAACTCGTTTAACACAGGAAGATCCAATACCAGGAACAGCCACGTATGTGTTTGATGAATGGTTTTCAGCCCCATCGATTATCCGTCAGTTCCTTGCAAAATATGGGCGTGTCTTACATGACAACCTTAGTATTTTATACCGGCAATCATAACTTTCAGTAGAAATATTTATTTTTACATCATTTGGGGTGGCACTACGAAAATCTTTAGCTAGCCTTTGTTGTTGCTATTTTTAGAGTGCCGACTGTCACTTTTATGCGCCTGCATATTTCAATTTTAGATTTATACACACTGTTTATACAAATGTATGGGAGCCTATAACTACCATTCATAATTTTTACTTTTCGCCTCTTGACAACGCGAAAGTCGAAAAGTAAAAGTAGAAGTTACGACAATATGTGAGGCGACAACACGCTATACAAGCCAAAATCAACTCGAAAATAGGAAATAAAGAAATAACACACAGCGATAATAGCGCCCCTCTTTTTTTCCTAATTTCTTATTTTCTACTTGCATTTTGGCTTGTATACCGTCTTGTCGACTTTCGACTTAGTCATATTTTTGTATTTATTGATGTCAGTAAGAAGGCGCCAACATTTTGTCGTAACATCTACTTTTCGTCTTTTCGACTTTCGTGTTTTGAAGAGGCGAAAAGTAGAAATTATGAATGGTTGTTATAGGCTTCGATACATATGAGACGAAGGAGCGCCACTGGCCTTGATCAGATCGTGTGGCTAATACAGTTGGCTTGTACATTTTCATGCAATTTAATATTTCGAGCGAAACTAAAAATCTTCTATTTAATTTCTATTTGTACATTTTATCATACAGCCAAAAGCAGCAATAACCTCTTTAAGTGGTAAATTGGAAAATAACGTTTTGGAATGTAGTTTTACAAGACAAAAAGATGGTGCAAATGATGTTAATGTTTTTGCTTTGTCAACACCCTATTATATGTTTTTTGCTTCTGGTGAGGCAACTGCTGCTAAAGGTTAGGATGTTTGTTCTGAAGAATTTTTTGATATCCTTATCAAAGTAATTATTTCAAGGTCCTTTAAATCTAGACATAATTATCTAAGTTCCAGATTTATTGTCCATATGAAAGTTGATAATGTATATTGCTGTACTCATAATCGCAATACAGTAGTAAAAGTAGTGCCATTGATTGCTGTACTTACACCATAGAGTACTTTTACCAATAGATTTTCTCAGAAGTTACAGCAATTGTTAATAAAGATCTTCCTCATTGATGTTAAGTATTTTCGCGATAGTTATCGTTCCTGACATTCTTGTAAGTTTTATCCTTCAAATTTCTTGTGAACTTGCTGAGCTTATACAACATCTCATAGACGTGAATCTTAATGAAACGCAGAATGAATCCAGCATCAGTTACTTTCATAAGTATTGCCTCCTATCATTTCTCCTGCCATTGACCTTGCTTCCTTGTTGCCTTTGTCATCAAAACCCTGTAATCTTCCAACGGCTCAAAGATTTTTTTGTTAAACTTCCTGGGATTGTTTGACAAGTCAAAAAGATAACTCTATAGAAGTTCGAGTAATGCATCAATTATATGCCAAATTTTTATTGATTGTATGGTTCGACTGGCCATTAAAACAACAACCCCGAAATTGTTTACGCTAACTTATAGAGCACATAAAATCACCATATAAAATTGGTGTTTACTTAAGTACACTTATTATATACACTTTACACAAACATCTATACTCAAAGTCGGTCAGAGCTTTTGAATTATTTTGTGGTGAATGTTTAGAGATTGTTTTGTTATCTATAGGATGAATCATATTGGAATTCAGATTCACCTATTAATTATCAGTTTTCAGTTACGCTCTTGTTATTAAAACTTTATTTTCTAACATGCTGGAATTATAGGAAAAATTAAACATTAAAATGGGAACATCTTTTAAGAATAGCTTAGACGACTGAGTGTTGGGTGTATATTTCATTGCCTGACAAGCTGTGTTTGATTATTAGATATTTTTTGATATTATATAAAGTCAATTACAATCATATAATGTCTCTTTATGCACAATAATCTCTTGATCCTGACATCTGTGAATCCCAACATAAGAATCTTTCATTTCCAACTATATTGGAATAACAATGCATTATTTTCTTTTTTAAAGCTATCGCCCAACATACGTCTATACCATTAGTGTCTTCTGCAGTTATTGATATGTCTAAAATCGAGATACATTCTTTAGCACAAACTGGTGGTAAGTTTAATATAAAAGTTTACCTATATTTTGAAAAATTCAAAGTTGACACTGAAGCTGGTGTTGGTTGCTTATTTCGTTGTCTGGCACCCTATGTTTGATTATGAGATATTATATAAAATCTATTACAAATATTTCCATATGGATTGTATTATGGTAATGTCTCTTAAACATGCATAATATTTTTTTGATTCTGACTCCTAAGGATCCAAACATAATTATCTTTCGTTTCCAAGTATATTGGAATAAGAATTATTATTTTCTTTATTAAAGCTATCACCCAACATACGACTACAACAGTAGAATCTTACCAACATACGACTACAACAGTAGAATCTTCTGTTGTTACTGATTTGTATAACACCGAGAAACATTCAGCATCCCCCACAACCCGATCTTTAGTACAAGCTCATGGTAAGAAAGTTCTTAAATTTAGTTCTGGGTTATATTCAAGGAACTTTTGAAGTTGTTGGTAACAAGCATCCACCCCTACCCCTCATCATATTATTCCCAATAAAATGAAGATCACCTACTGTTTTTATATTCCAAGTAATACAATCATTTATAGACATACAGAGAATTCAAAGTTTCATTTTCTATACATTATTTTATACAGATTATCATCATTTTTATTTTCAAGGTTCCTTGATGACAATTGCATGGGTAATGGCAGCAAGTATTGGACTGATCATAGCTCGTTATTTCAAACAAGTTTGGCCTAATTCATCATTCCTTGGACAAAATATTTGGTTTCAGGTAACTCTTTTAACTTTGGCGTACAGAGAGCTCAGTTGATGGGTTTCTTCTCTAACTTCTCTACCTGAATTCATTGACTGAAAGGGGATTGGAGCAGATGGAGGTGGGGGGGGGGTCGACTCACTTTATTCTAGATTGGCTACGCTGAATATTTTTATTTATTACCAGGAAATGAAATACCATATTGACTAAATATATTGTTGGCAGTTAAATGCCTGTGTGCCTGTAATTGATCAAACCTGGGTTCCTTTGCATTTTTATACGCCCACATTTTCATGTGGACGCATTATGCCGTCCGTTCTCATTTGTTTGTGGACCCTCTACATGTCATAGCTTGTGGAAGCTCTACACGCTATAGCTTGCGGACCCTCTACAAGTAACAGTTTTAATCATTGTTACACCAATCACGGGTGAGTTCGATTTTGGTGGAAACAGGACCCTAACTTTCGTTAACATTACCCCTACTCATTACGCAGATAGTGGTAAAGCTTGTCATACATATGTTGTTGACCCATTTAAAGGCTACATTGTAGATGAAACTTAATATTTATGTTAACGATCGAAAGATTATGGAGTTTGTGGACTCTCCTCCAGAGGATCCAATTTTTGTTCCAATTCAGATGAAACTGAATAAGTTAAGGATCAAAAGATCTCGGATTAGTTTGATTATGGTGCAACTTCTTGGGTTATCGCCCATGCCTTTTACTCAAAATGTGTTTGTGGACCCTCTATGATGAAGTGGGGGTATTTGCGTATGAAACCATTATTCTCTGCTAGTCCGCCAATCGATAGAGGCTATAGCATTTAACATTTTTTTTTTCAAATTTGACATGAAGCATTCTGGTTATGAGAGATCGAACCCTTTCGATAATCTGCTTTCCGAGACCCTTTGTTCTAGAGTTATGCTCCCCAGCCGTTAACCTGGTGGGTATAGTTTTCAACAGATATATTCAAATTTCGTGTGAAGCACTGAGTTGATTGGAGGAAAAACGCTATCAATATTTAGCGTTCCGCAACCTCCCGTTCCAGAATACACCCCCCTACCCCCCCCCCCTACCCCCCCCCCCCCCCCCAGCTCTCACCCTCTTTGCCGAAAACGCTATCGATATTCAGTGTTCCGCAACCTTCCGTCCCAGCGTACACCCCACCACCGCTCTCACACTCTTTGCCAAATACCTTTAATTGCGATGCGATAGAGGCTAGATATTTTAATGTGATGTGAAGCATTTGGGGTCATGGGAGGATATTCAGCGTTCCGTGACTTTCCGCTCCATAGTTACCTACCTTTTCCCAAAACCAAATCTTGTGAACACGATAGAGGCTACATTTTTTTTTTAGCCGAATTTGTTTTTCATATTCGATGTGACGCATTGTCACGAAAAAAATGATCCCTATCGATTTTTTGTTTCCCGCCCAATGGCGCCAATCTCTGTCAAAATTATGGATTTCAATTAAATTTGGTAGTATGTTGATTAGGTGATCCTTGTCAAGATTAGTAGACAGTTGCCTCGTTGGTGATTATTCAGATTTAAAATACTTTTAAGTATTTTAAACACAATGTACATATTTTATTTCTTTTATTTGAATTTTATTTTAATGTACCTCCTAGAATTTTAGCCTATTTTTTTAAGTTTATGAGTTTTTATGAAAAATATTTTCCAGATTCATCGTACCTGTATGATCGTAGCTCTTGTCGCAACATGTATAGCTTTTATTATTATATTTGCCGATGTCCAGGATTGGACTGAAGTAAGTCATTGTTAATATTTACTTCTTGTCAAGTCCAGTTATTTTCTACATGCGTTTATTGCATGTGAATTTTTCCAATTTTTTAAATTAGGTGTGTTAGGATGAAATTTGTATCATCAATTAATTGGAATATTGTAAAATAAAGAATAAATATTGGGACATATTATTCAGTTACAACAAGAGTGGTATTGAGCCTTAAAGCTCCCGTGTGCATGGTGGACCTATGTTACGCTAGGGTGGAGGTCATAAATTTACCCAACCGTAAAAACGGGTTTCCCGTTTACCTCCTTACAGACCGATTTATTTCGTTATTATTACCCCCCACACACACACACACACGCACCCCCACACACACGCACACACCCACACACCTTCCAGGCGGTAATAATATTGGAATGGGTGACTTTATGCATAATACTTAACTCCGACTTAATGTTATTTATGAAAGAGATTTTCAGTCTTGCATGGGTCTGTTTTGCTTTGTGACAGTAGACAGCAACTGTAAAATTATTCACTGTTAATCTCTCTCTCTCGTAGTAATAACAGATTCTATTTAAAGGGTCATTATATAAGATTAGATAAAGAGCTGACAGTTCTCGCTATATAGTTGAAAAATAGATAAAGAAAGGGGAATATGTTGAAAATTTCAGTCAAATTACTTCACTCTGTGCTGAGTTATCGTCGTTAGAAGAACATTGTAGCCTTGATTGTCATTGCTACCGTTTCTAAGATAATAAACAAAGTCTCGATTATCCATTTTTAAATTAATCATTAAATGGCCGAAACTTTCTAATCTACTTATATCGGAGCTACCCGATGGCATCGAGAGTTGATTATGCTCTTGGTAAGTCAATTAATGTCTAATTAATAATTTATATAACATTTAAGGCCTAAAGAAAGACCTGCCATAGGCATATTCAGCTCTTGCATAATGTCTGTTTAAATAAGTGATCTGTATTTATGAAAGCGACTATATATTTTTTATTTTTTTAAATTTCAGTCCCCAGTTAGAATTGAAAATGCACATCCTTACATAGGCGTACTTGTTACATTTCTATGTATTGTTAACGTAAGTTGAATTTTTATATGCACATGTTCTAATGGTATTTCATATTTCTATGTGTATCAGATGCTAATTGTGTTTCATATTTCAATATGTATTAGTCCATATTTTAATGGTGTTTCATATTTTTATGTGTATCAGTCCATATTCTAAACGCCCCTACGCGCAAGCGAATTATTGAATTAAAATTAAACCATATGTTAGTCCCGAAATGACCTAGTTTGTGTCGAGTGGACGTTAAACCATCTCTCTCTCTCTCTCTCTCTCTCTCTCTCTCTCTCTCTCTCATATTCTAAACGGAATCTCATATTGCTGTCATTTATGTTTATCAGTCCATATTCTAATGAAATCTGATATTTCTGTCATCTATGTCTGTTAGTCCATCTACAGTTTCTTGTGAATACACCTAAATAATTATTATATTTCCTTTATTTTGTTAAAGCTCTACGTTGCTGAGATAAATGGGGTATAAAAGCCATTACTGTATAACAATTTAAAAAGATTTCCAGTTATTTTTGCATTCAATGGCTCCCTTCAGCGACATTGCACTTTTAAAACATATTAGATGTAAAGCGGTCATCAAGTTTTACACAGACAGGAATAGTCAAATCACTGTATCCGAGCGTTTATCCAAATTTGTTCAAAGAGACAAAATGGCCTACTCATTGAACAGCATGCTCTATTATCACACTGGTCTTTATGCTTTGGAGATGTATTGATAACTTTATGCTTTGGAGTTGTATTAATAACTTTGAAGTAGATATCAGTGAATAATTATGCATGAAATATCCATATCCATCATATATATTTATTAATACTATTATGTATTTTATGTATTTTCAGCCAATAATGGCCATATTCCGTCCTCACCCAGGAAGTGACAACCGTGTATATTTCAACTGGGCTCATTGGGCTGTTGGAACTTCTGCATATGTTCTTGGATGTAAGTATACCTATAACTGATTTACAATTTGAAAGAACCAATTAATTCAGCTTTCTACCTTAAAACAGAGAACATCTGTAAAATTGTGTTAGAATGACCAAACTTACATATGCTGTTAGCTACTAGACAATTCACGAGGTAGTTTGTTGGTTGTAATGGTGGTATTTTTAGGTTTTAAATATAATAGGATTCGATGAATATGTGTTATTTTTGACAATAATTGTAGATTCCTCTTTAGTTTTGATAAAGTCTCCAGTAGATAGTTATATTAGTATCTTTAAACACGTGGCTGTATTTATACTCTTCAAAAAAAGTAGGGGATATTCAGAAACAATACAAAACTGCGGAAATGCACTGCTGTTTTTTTAGAGGTAAACAGTGTATGTTATAACAGGCCAATTGCCTACACATGAACATAAACAGTTCATATGGGCGGCTTATCTGATGGCCTCATTTTACTCGCAAAGAGATACACTGTCAAAAGTGAAAATGGACGTTTTTGATTTTTGTCTTAATAATGAGTAATTGCTCCACCAATCCTCAGACGTTCAGCAATTCGTCGTGGCATGCTCCTAATCAACCCTCCAATCACGATTTGGGGCAATCTGACCCACTCCTCATGCAGTGCCACGGCCAATTCTTGTAGTGTTATCAGTTGACGTTGACGTCGATGAACACGTCTCCCGGTCAAATTAAACGGAACACACTAAAGCAAAGATAGGCTAAACAGTAAATCTTATGCAAGAACCGATAGGAATGCAAACATGGAAAGGATAAAATAGCAAGCGGCAGTTTTCATCAACCCTTCCTTGAAGTGTCAATTTTGACAATGAACCCCTCCCACGTTTATGGCGCTATTGCGTGTCGCATGTGCAGCTCAGGGCTTCTGTTGGGGCGATAAGTTCTTCAACTGTGAACGTGAACATACTCTCATCAAAGCATGTCAAGTGTCCATGACTATTTATCATATCACAACCTGCATATGTATTTGCATTTTAATATCCCCTACTTTTTTTGAAGAGTATATAACAGTATCTCGTTATAGAAATCGTGAACGTTTTATAAAAAAACCCATATATTTCTTTTACAGTAATTACAGTGACAATAGGAACGAGAATGTCCAGAGCACAAATAGCAGACAGTGCTGTATGGGTTATGGTTGGATTTATTGTCTGGCAAATGTTGGTGATTCTTTGTTTTGAATTGATTCAACTATTAGCAAGCAAAAAAAGTATGTTTAACCCTTTATCTGTATTAAATAAAAAAACCCAAACTCCCCTTTTTGTATAGTGGCATTTATTGGTTGACCTGATAGTATAATTGTCTTTAGTTAATAGTGTTCACAATATTGTCATTATATTCAATATCTCCTACCTTCCATTCATCTGGATGGGTTGGGGGGCGTGTAAAGCAGTGCTGGAATTACCTTGGCAGACTGAAGTCTAGGATCTCAAGATAGCTTATCAAAATAATCTCAAAAGTTCTTTGGAAGACAATTTTAATCAGAGCTATTTTTCTACAATGATTCTCTGGTTGTATACTATTGATAATATGTTAGAAAGAAGAATATTTGAAACCACTTAAATAAATTTATAAATACCACCTAAACAATACATTCTATAGCATATTGGCAATGTACATATTGCAGGAGCCGTCCCAGGTATAATTTAGTGAATGAAACTCCTTAATTCTGCATTGAAAACTCATAGAAACCCTTTCCTAGTTCAGTGCCTGTGCTACTGTTTGAACTTATGTAGTCCTTGTCGCAGAAATACAAACTTTCAGTTCCAAATAATTTTGGTGATAAATCCTGAAATTTGGTAATATTGTTAACTGCCTGGATAGACATATCCAGGGCTCACACTGGCTTTCAATTTTTTCTGCCAAAATGGATGCGAATTTTTATAACATCACTTTTAGAATCCTTTAAATATCATCTTTTCTTCTCTGAAGACAGTTTCTTCCTTTTTAGAATCCTTAAATGTCATTCATTCTTCTTTGAAGAGTCTCTTTATATTTTATATCTAAACCACTTCAAGAAAATGCTTATCGTCATAGAGTGACATATTTGATTGCGATAGGAAATCATTTGGTCATCTCAATTCGTCAATTCCTTCAGTTAGCAAGCCTTATAGAGTCCAATTACTTCCAAATTCTGTGTTTTTGCTTAAAAAAAAAGAATAAAGAAAATTAATAATATTCATCTTTCACATTCAGTGTTCTTTCTAGGAATGCCAATGATGTCATTTTATGATGAGAAACATTTTCGTGAATTGTTTAAACGAGGCAAGTCTTCAAGTCAATAGCATCCAGTCTTCAACATTGCAAACACGACTTATTGGTCAATTTAAATCAACATTGATGTTGATATGTTATCTATTCACATAATTCACTAAATATTCACTGTGTTTCTCTTTTTGTATGAAAATAATAATCGCCATATTCGTCATTGATTTTTGTCCCCCGCCTTTCGAAGAAAGCAGATGACTATTTAAATGGGTTCGTCTGCCTGTCCGCCCGTCCGTCTGTCTGTCCGTCACACTTTCTGCTTAGGGTAAGCAGAGATAAGCAATTTGATTGCTTGACTGGTTGGTGCTTTGGGACATGATAACTTTAGTTCTAATTAAGTGAGAGTGGTGAAATTTGGTGTATAGTTTTATTACATCAATACATTGACTAAGTTCGATAATGAACATTTTCTGCTCAGGATAAGCAGAGCGATAAGCAAATTGATTGGTCGAGACTTTGGAACACAATAACTCTCATTCAAATTGAGCTAGAATGTTCACACTTGGCGTAGTTGTTTATTAGGTCAATGCCTTGATGGAGTTCGAAGATAAGAATTTTCTGCTTAGTGTAAGCAGAGATAAGCAATTTGATTGGTTGGTGTTTTGGGACACGATAACTTTAGTTCTAGTTAAGTGAGAGTGAGGACACTTGGTGTATAGTTTTATCACATCAATACCTTGACTAATTTCGGTATGAGCATTTTCTGTTCAGAGTAAGCATAGCGATAATCAATTTGATTGGTCGAGACTTGGGAACACAATAACTCTCTTTCTAATTGAGTTAGAATATTGGTGTAGGCGTTCATTAAGTGAATGCCTTGATGGAGTTCAATGATAATCATTGTCTGCTTACTGTAAGCAGAGCTATGCAATCTGATTGGTTGATGCTTTGGGGCACAATAACTTTGGTTATAATTAAGTGAGAATGATGAAACTCCGAGTATAGATGCATTATTACCTTGACTAAGTTCGATGATGAGAATTTTCTGCTTAGGCTAAGGAACGATAAGCAATTTGATTGGTCAAGGCTTTGAAACATAACTCCGCTTTTAATTGAGGTAGAATGTTTAAACTTGATTTAGATGTTCATTAGGTGAATGTCTTGACTGGGTTCAATGATTAGCATTTCGAGCTAAAGCTAAGCAGAGATAAGCAATTTCATTGGTCGATGCTTCGAGACAAGATAACTTTGATTATATGTCATAGAGAATGAGGAAACTTAGTGTATAGTTAATAATCAGTTAGATTGCTTGATACTTTTGAAAAAAATAAATGTGCGATTAATTAATATGTGTCATCTATTTATTTTGGGATTTCGGCGAGGGACATCAGCCTCACTGTTGGCTTGTTTTATCTCTTGTTTTGTTTAATTCAGACATATTCTACTATAAAGTATTCATTGGTTTCTAGTTTGTATTTATGTTTCTTCAATTATCCAATTTCTTTACTACTGTTTCTTACAATTTAACCCCAATTTTCAACTTTGCCAGATCATTAAGTCGCATTATCTCTATTCTGTTGTGTTGTCAGTTCGCACTTTCTGGTGAATCAAAGACATCGTATAATTTGTTTAATTCAGACATATTCTACTATAAAGTATTCATTGGTTTCTAGTTTGTATTTATGTTTCTTCAATTATCCAATTTCTTTACTACTGTTTCTTACAATTTAACCCCAATTTTCAACTTTGCCAGATCATTAAGTCGCATTATCTCTATTCTGTTGTGTTGTCAGTTCGCACTTTCTGGTGAATCAAAGACATCGTATAACCACCGTCCGTCGACATTTCGTACTAAAGTTATGCCCCATTAGCCAGTGTGGAGCATATTGCTTCATGAGATAAGGAAATCTATCGATATTCAGCATCACACAGTCTTCTGTTCCGCAGTTCTTCTCTTTTGCCGAAAACCTTGTAAGTCCAATGTGAAGCATTGGAACAATTAGAGGATGAACCTTATCCATTTTCCCAGTTCTCTGTCTATCTCTTGCAAAATCAGACCGTATCTTGCATGCCAACCACTTGTTAATTTGATTTATTTAACATTTAATTAAGAAAACAAAATCAAAATACCAACGCTAGATAATCTCCACACTCGGGCTAAATCAGATTTTGGTTCATGACAATTAAAGAGTGGCTGTTTTGTTACAGCATTGGTCGACGGAATTTTCAATTCTCCATATCGGTGTAAATACTAAACGGAATTGAACCATTCTTGTACTGGCATTCCTATTATTTTGGAAGGAATTCTATAGCACTAAATTGATCACGCATAAAATCTTTAAGACACATTAATCAAGATTTGGGCAATGATAAACAAAATCAGGTTGTGTTTATGTAGTATGGTTTTTCTAAGTTTTATCAGACATAATATTATTTCAGGATATGTTACAAGTTATGAATTACAAACGAAAGGAGCTCCACAGCAAGCACCTCAAGAACAACCTAAAGCTGAGGTAAGTGTTCCTTACAATTGTTGATTAAAAAGATAGAAATTGGATTGAATGTATCGTACTTACGAGGGTTTAGTTTTTTGTGAACCCCGTATAATTCTATTTTCCACCATTACATGTGCAATTACAGTGACGTGTTGCTTAAGTTATGAATTGCTGCTCTTGATAAGTTTTTAGTGTTTTGTAAATGTTCAAGTAACCGATGTAAGAACCACAAGGCGACAACTTTTATTATTTCCTGTTGTGGGCGTATATTTAGTTTATATTTTAGTTTGTACAATATAATAAGAGTTTGTAAAATATTTATTCTTATAACTAAATTATACCCCAGTTGTTTAAATTCTGCTGCTGCCATAAAAAAAAATTCTCATTTGTTTAATTTATATATATTTTTTTTCAGTCTGGTACTTTGAAGATTGGTTTGTTTTTACTACATGTTGTTGTGGTTGTTGCCTTTACTATTGCTGTTATAGTTTTCATTGCTATGTAACTTACTGGATCTCAACAAAATTGTGCACAAACACTATTATTAGCAAAACTCACAAATCTTAAATAAATAACGGATTTTTCCACTACTATTAAACGCTTTCCAAAATAATAGCACAAATGAGTATGTTTAATACTGATAATATATTTTTTTTTAACCATTTTTAGTTACAAATATTTTTCATTTATCTCTTTGTGATTAGCAATTTGATCATAACTTGATCTTATTTCTACTTTTATAAAAAATCTCAGTTTATTTTATTTATATATTTTCTTATTGTCTTATTATTATAATTAAATACATTCCTACTTCACTCAGAGTGGGTAATATTACTATTTATTTTTATTTTTATTTCTTGTTATAAACAAAAAACCAGTCATTTGTACATGTACATTGTATTTTTTGTTTTATGGAATAGTTTGCATGTAAATAAAACTAGCCCTAGTCAGCATAAGAAATGTGTAATATTTTTGGCTTTGATTTTTTTTGATTCCCGAAATTCCAGCCCAAAAGACTAGTGATAATCTGGGAATGTGGCTCCTCATTATATGAGAAATTCGTGATTGGGTAGTATTCCATATGATGACACGGGGTTCATTCTATCCTCGTCATATCACACTGTATTACATTTTTCTGAAAGCACAACCCTTTCGCGAATGCAAAAAATTAAGCTAATTTATCAAAATTATCTTGAAATGGAGATAGGGGCTCCCTGCTTTTTTTTAGATAGTTCCAAATGAAGTTAAAATATCAAATTATACTGACAGGGCAGTGTAAGGCATTAATGGGATATACTCTAAATCATTTACCTCTATGCGCCTAAATGAGTAAAAATATTGTCTCAGATCTTCTGATTTTATAAAATTCTCTTTTAATCACCCAAACCTAACGCCAAACGTGACCCTCCCCTGCCCAAACTCCTGAACACGCGATGGTGAAAATCATTTGGGTCACATTCTCTGGATTCCTATGCTTCCTGTCAATACCGAACTTCCCTGCATGCAAGGGAAATATTGAAATCGAAACATACTCGCGTAGTCCCAAAAAGACCTAGTTTGTGAGGAGTAAAGGTTACCTTCTAAAACAAGCTTTAGGAATCATCATGTTTCCTTTTTACCATTTACAGTTGAAAGAAGAAATTGGTTCGGAGAATCATTCGCTAAGTCTCGCATATTCCTGTGTGATGTCATTACTACAGACGTTTAATTTTTCGTCAGGGGAAAATGAATTGGCATCTTTTGATTCTTCGACTTGAAAACCTAACGTTGTCATGTATATAGACTTTCTTAATCGTATCGTGCGTATGAGATGAACTCTCTTAAACATGAAGGATATGACCCTTCTCACATGTATAGACGATGACGACGCCTACTCAGACAAAATCTTAACCTAATTTAAACTCTACAATCCCTTTGTAAGTCAGAATAGTTTATCGCCAGTGATCAGCTTTTAATCATGCTATTTGTGAATTGGTGAAAACATAACGGCTTGTTGATACATTCATGGGTTTTACAACCCGTATATCTTCCTTAATTTCGTTCAATTGAACTAAAAAAAATTATATTAGATATCCATCTATCTATCACACATTTATTCTTATCTGGAGACTTTGTAAATAGTCTATCCAAACTTTAATTCTTCCCTGCCGGCCAGTGTAAACTACAGTTCCTCCTGTCGGCATTACGTTGCTTAGTCAAAATTTTAATAATCCATCATTTTGTCAATTTATTATATGAAATTATTTCAATTTTGGATATGATCTGTAGAATATGAATCTATAGTTCGTGTCGGTAATTAGTAGGACCCTCGAACGGCTTTTTAAATCGGATAAAAATTGTGACCTCTAGCGGGACCACAAGCTAAAAACGTGATTTTTCGTACAGGGGCCATTATACAGTACGTTACAGTCCGATGTGCGCCAATATCGAAATGAACTAAGATCGCTGGGTTATAAACATACATGTTTCAAGTTTCATCAAAATCGGATAAAAATTGTGAACTCTAGAAAAAACGTAATTTTGTTCGTACATTCAAGGGCCATAATCTATGGAGTTACGGTCCGATACATGGCAATATCGACAGGAATCGAGATCGGTGGTTTATAAAAATATATTTCAAGTTTCTTCAAAGTCGGATAAAAATTGTAACCTGTAGATTGTCCACAAGCTAAAAACGTGATTTTTCATACAATCAGGGGCCATAATCCACGAACTTACGGTCCGATACATGCCAATATCGAAAGGAACCGAGATTGTTTGGAGATAACCATATATTTCAAGTGCCGTCAAACAAATTGTGGACGGACGGACAGGGGCGACGACAATATACGTTCACATGAAATGTGGGCTTATAAAAATATATGTAATACCAAGGTGTAAATATGATGAATTAAGCTGATTTCATGTTTGAAGTGCTGATCATTAAAAATCCTAAATTCGATAGTTGTTTTGTTAGGCCGGGTGGCGATGGGGTGGCTAAGCCCCCCCCCCACCAAAAAAAAAATCGAATTAGCCCCCCACCCCATATTTCGCTGACATTAATGATTTTTTAGGAGTGTTCAAATTGGTAGGCGACCCGTAGGCTCATAGCATGGTCCACCGAGGCCTGTCTGTCATCATCACCTCCTGATTCTCTTGTCTGGATACCATTCGTGCGTTGTACCAATCTGTTTCCCAGAGAATTACGAGTCTCGTATAATATCTCTGTCATAGATGACTGCCTTAACACGTGCTGTCACAGCACGCGGTGTGAATCATTGGCTGAATGGTGCGTGCATTGTTTACATAAGACATAACTGCTTCGGAGAGAAAGCTGTATTTTAGTCATTTTAATACCCATTTACACTAAATCGGAAATAATTTTTAACTACAAACACGTCAAACGCCTTTATTTATTTTTCCAATATATACAAAAAATGTTTTAGAATTTAATTTGTCGCAGGAAAAAAGTTAATATTTCTAGCTCATTAAGCCGCATCAATGTCATCCTTATCAGTGATTGTCGCGGCCAAGCAAATATTCACTGCGGATCAGTGTGGCGTTGTACATAACTACTGTCAATCTGTTTCACAGAGATTTTTTAATATCTGTTGTTACAGATGACTGTTTCGACACGTGACGTCACATCACGCGGCATCCATCATTGGCTCAATAGCGCGTGCATTGTTTTGATAAGACGTCACGGATTCGGGCTAAATGGTGAATTTTACTTATTATAATACCCATTTACACTAAATAGGAAATGATTTTTACCTACAAACAATTCAAACGACTTTATTTATTTTTCTAATAAATGAAAAAAATGTTTCAGAATTTAATTTGTCGAAAGAAAAAAGTTAATATTTTGTTGTAGTCATTAAGTCGCATCGATGTCATCCTTATCAGTGATTGTAGCGGCCAAGCGAATATTCACTGCGGATCATTGTAGCGGCCAAGCGAATATTCACTGCGGATCAGTGTGAACTACTGTGAGGCGTGTTGGTCTACTGTCACTGAACACGTGTGCTCGCTCATCACACTCACGTACTCGCGGCTCCTCTCGTCTCGCGTAGTCCTACCGGCCTAGCATCCGATTCGTGTCCAGTGCTGCCATTTGCACTGGCAGAACATTTTTGAACGTTTTGAGATTGAGAATTCGATAGCGACGAAGACAAGACGATGGATGCATTTGTGATTAGAAAGAGACCATCGTCTTCTGATGACGTGACTACATCGTCTACCACACCGGCACCAGGATCAGCACTAAGAAAGGGGTTGTCCACCTCATTACGCTATAGGAAGAAGAACTAGTTCAAAATTAGCTCGAGCTTTTGATGGTACCAGAGGCTGCATAATTTATCGCCATTTTCCCGGGACCTGCCCTTTTATACCCTGGTTTATTTGTTCGCCTACAAGGCGTCGGTTCAAATGTTTGCATTTGCCTACACCCGATGTAGGGTGCCTACAGGCGCCTTAAATGTAGGTGCCTATTGTGTCTAACATAAGGTGCCTATTGTGCAGCCTATACTGTAATTCTATGAATAGAATAATAGAATACCTACAGTTCACTTGAAATTTGATACTACTGCTGTATTGCCCGGCCTAGAGTTCTCCGCGTAAATCAAAAGACACTCTCTACTACCCTCAAGATATCGGCGGGAGGAGTCGAAGAAGAAAAACCTGAAGCACTTCAATTTAAGGCCCAGGAATGCACTCAAATGCGAGGAGAGAGCACCAAATTTTCAAAATTCGGTCCTTCGGCCACATCCTCAGCCCCCCCCCACCCAGAAAATTCCATAGCCCCACCAAATTTTACGAGCTGGCTACGGGCCCGGTACACGGGACCTCGGTTTTCCGTTCCATCAGAACGACTAGACGTCGTCCTTCGGCCCTTCGTCCTGTATCACTGACAAGGGGGAAACCATGCCGGAAAGTCCCAGAGAATATTCTTGGCCAACACCGTAATGGACCCTCGTAGATGATTAAGACCACAGTGCGTGTAAGAAAGACTTACGATAGTGTCAAAAATATCATACACCTTCACTGGCTTTGCTTTTGGCTGATATTTCGATTCTTGTGATTTTGAGCACGGATGTACAGTTAGTAGTAGTAATAAATATGTTAACCAGGTGTCTTTAAAGTATTTATATAAAGTACATGATAAAATATAAATGATATGATTTATGTACATTATGTATTAGAATTATTAACAAGAAACTGTGTATAATGAAAAAAATATGTACAAACACCAGATTAAGATAAATACATGTCATTTTAAATCAATTAAATTCCATTAGGGTACGAAACGTCTATACTTATAATCCTGCTGTGGTCTCAACAATCTGATTGAAATTAGATCTGACGTTTTCGATTCCTTTTTCGATAATATATCGTATAATTTTCTAACCTACTTAGAAGATAAACACTTCCTGTTTCGCATTTAGAGGGGTGTTATTGTACAATAGACATGTCCGAAGATCATTAGGACCCAAGCCGCATTAGCAAATACAAAAGCTACACAGTCAAGATTTATTGGTTGCTATAGTAGCAGTATGAGTATAGACAAAATAACTATAATTCTCACTTTAATTTTTTGAAAGTATTTTTTAAAATAAAATTTATGTTTTTTCTAATAGATTATTGTATATTTTGTTGTTTGTAGCTGTTACCTGACAAGGGGGTTGGCGTTTCCAGTTCATCTCCGGGCATAATATGTGCAAAAATTTCATCAAATCTACCGAGATCAAAATAGATCGTCTCCATTGTGGTTATCTTCATTAAAGTAGTACCATAATATTAATACGCAGTGATTTTTCTAATTTAGAGGTGGGCTATTGTCCAATCGACCAACTAAAACGCAAGATCCACCCTTAAGCATGTTACAATATACAATTGAAATGAAATAAAACAAAATAGGATATTATTTTTTAGATAAATATAAGTTAGAAATGCTATATTATAATATATATTTTAAACATTGTATATTTAAATAATGTATATTTTAAATAATGTATATTTTAAATAATGCATATTTTAAATAAATAAATTACAACAAACATACAAACATTTCATCACAGATATTATATAGGTAGCCAGGGTATGTACAAGGGGATTGTATGTGACCTATTTTATTATAAGGTTGTAGTTAACATTTTCTAAAACTTCAAAATAACACATTTGATGGTATTTTCATATAATTAACATTTGCAAGATTTTTTATTAATTAGTTAGTTATATCAACACATGTATACAAAAATGTTTGAAACAGTAATAAAGAAAGATTAATATCAAGTTTTTAGTTAACCATTAAATAAATAATTTTTATAATTATGCAAGATTTTTTATTGGCTATATCAATATATTTATATACAAACGATATAAAACATTTTTCCGTATTATTAAGGAAACGAATCAGATATTGACTACTTTGACAACGAAAACAATTCTAAGAGCACTGAAATTACAAAAAAGTATAATAGTCAAATCACAAATTCAGATAATAGGAGTATAATAAAATATATTATTCTACCGATATCGAACGTAAAACAAAAATCCGTACTGTTTTGTTTGTAAGGTTTTAACTGAGAGCAATAATGGCAACTACTGCAGCTGTCATAGCGGTAATTACTAATATGTGTAACTTTAGTACAACTTTTCTGAAGAAACTCCCCTGAAAGTAAAATAGAATATTTAATTATGGAATCGATTATCTTGATTTAAATTATATTTTTAATCAATATATTTTTCTTTCTCAAATTTCATGGTCAGGCCTAAATTTCATAGAATATCTCTTACTAAAAGTGAAACAAAACTGCAAGAAGAAATAACTGAACTCTCCTGTCTGAAAACTCCAGTTCGAAATTCTGAGTCAGTCATTTCTTTTTCCGATTTCCTTAAAGGGACTATCCCGATTTCAACAGAGTCTCAAAAATAAAAGTCGGAGTCCGTATGAAATTTAAGTGCCAAAATATAGAGGAATGGTGTATTTACCGTCTCTCAAAATTCCAGCTCAAAATATTGAATCGTTTGGACGTGAACGTCAAAACTGCTTATCCGGACACGTAACCCTTTTAAGATTTCGGGTCAGTTTTTTCGTTGGGTGACCTGATAATCGATTCCCGTTCCTCGAGAGGTCTATATAGTGAATGACCCATGTGCTCTACTTGATAACGAAAGGTAAATTTCACCTACACATTATTTTTATAAAATAAAAATCTGGTTTTATCAAGACACCACATAATACAACTTGGGACACCGGTCTCCATTTCCAGATGAAGACTGACGGGTTTAAGTTGTTTGAAAACTTATCACAAATATTGAGATAGTTGCTCGGCCCTTAGCTAGAGGATTTTAGCACAAAATTAAGCAGTTTTATTCTCCAACAAATATTGGGATTAGCCCTTTAAGTCATTTACGAAATTCGACTGTACAACTGGACAGTATCTCAGAGGCGATGATTGCGCTTTTAACCAAGAAAATGGTGGCGATAAAAACTTTTCTAACATTCTTCTTTTTCCACCCTATCCTTTTAAAAAAGGAATTCACCTGACTTCAGATTGCATATAACTACCATTAACGTTTCTAAGAGACTTTTACATATAATTACATATAATATAATACAAACAATACCGGTGGTTCTGTTTCATCTTCTGCCGATTCCCTGGAACTAGAATTAAATGTACTTCTTCTCTCGTATATCATGTATGTTTGTTGTTTTCTCTCTGAAATAGTTTTATATACAATATTATGAAAATAACGTTGCCTGCAGCCAACGAAATACTAGCAGTTCTGTGAAGGAAGAGAACAGAAATGACGTAATAAGGCGCTACTTATGTCTATGTCCCACCGGGCATTTTTTGCCTCGGGGATGTACCACGGATGGAAATTGATGAGCCTCGTGAGGCGTCGGGAAGAGGCTCGCCGGTGTCACGGGGAAGCTTCGGGAGCGTCGCGAACCATGTTGAACATTCGGGAGGCCTCAGGAGAAAATTTGTTTATTTTCACATCGTCAAAGGAAAAACTTCATCTCACAATTCCTGAAATTTGGAATGCCAACAAATGAGAAATAATTCCAGTTAAAATTGATGTACGGTGGTGAATTTTGATATGGATTAATCAAACCCCTAAAACCTCTGACCTGTAGGGTGTTTTCAAGGTTTTGGTGACAGGCACAATAACTCCACGTTAAATAGATAGAGATTCAAAATTGTGATAGTATTAGCTCTGATGAATGGTCAAACAGTCTCAGAAAAGATACAAAAAATAACCCCGAAAAACATGTGGAGTGTTTGCACGAAATGTGGTATAAAGATAAGGATGACAAGGAAGTGAATGCCTTGAATTAGTATTAGTAATCCGGAAGAAACTAGAACTTTTTGTTATTTCCAACCATGAACGCTAGAATTTTTCTTTTCAACCAACCTTTAACACGGGAGTTACATTGTGCTATTTCTAGTATAATGACAATCAAGACTTGATAAATCGCGTAACAATAGATTATATACGTGATGTAGTCATGTATACCAGCCTTCTTTAATCTCACTCCTAATACAATATTCACCACTGAAAAAAGAAAAGAAAATACAAATATGAATCAACATGTTAATATCACCACTATTTAAAGAGGGCCGTTTCATTCCGGTGATATATTTTCAAACCAAATCGCAATTGTTAAAGGTGTTGTGGAAAAAAATCAAAATATTTTCGTCTAAAAAAAATAATTAACGTATAGTCCCGAATTTGTTGATTGTGGAGTGATGTATATTGTATATTTATGCGAATGTTTCATAATCTCGAAATTGGAGATTTATTCTTTATTCTAATTAATGGTAGAACTTGCATAGGACTTTTAGTTTTTATATAATTACCTGCTATCATATGATCTAATATTCCAACACACCAATGAGCCCAGTTAAATATAGGTCTGTGTTTAGAATCGTATCCTGGTCGACAGGTTCCCATACAGATCTACAAAAATAACGATGCTAAGTCATTCCAACAATGTAGCTATATATTAATTGAAATCAAATCAGGACTAATGTCACTGAATCTAATTATTCGTTCTTTACCCCATTTTCGTATTGGTGAACCATGTTTTAGTCCCGAAATGACCTAGTTTGTGTCGGTTGGACGTTAAGTCCCAATTCTCTCCCCCCACCCTTATTCAATGTGCCCAGCATGCAAATATTTAAATAACTAATGTGTAGATGTTACCTTGTTATTCTTTCAAAACACGTACAGGTAACCTGATAATGATAGACCGTTGGCTACATAAAGTAAGATAAAACGTTGGGCAAGGGGAATTCTCAATATTTGAAACTATGCATATACTTAACGGTCCTTTAGGTAGGAATCACCCACTTTCCATTTTTTAACATTCATGTTGCTGTTTAATAAGTAGTTTGTTAATAAATATATAAATCCAAATCTGTCGTGTTGAACAAAATAACATTCCCTGGCTCAACTACGATTAATATACAGAATATAATACTTACATTGACAATAGTTAAAAAGGTGACAATAATACCAAGAACTGGATGGAGTTTATCTATATTTAACACACTTATCTGAAAATAAAAATTTACACCTAAATTAATATAAAAAAACTTTGATGATAGCTATGTAGTGGCCATTTATCTAGCTTCGCCACAAATGGTTTTTAAAAACCAAATCTGACACGTGGACATTACATTTTTCGTGTATGAAGTTCCAATTTGCAGAACTTTATCATCAGATCATAAGGAAGAACAAATCGTATCGAAATCCAGAAATTTTATTAAAACGTGGACCATATTCGTAACCATTATTAAAATGTCTCTTGAATCTAGAAATATGAAGCTAGAGATTTATATAGAAGTTATTTCTACTTACCTCACTCAGACCCTGTACTTCTACAAATATTATAACAAAGGCTGCTATTACTAATACTCCCAATAATCCTAACAGGAATCGATGAACCTGATATTGAAAAGTACACGTTGCAAAGTAATATTTAACTTTATTAATGTACATCATTGGAGGTGGGGTGGGGAGCTGGTGGTTGTGGCACTTTGATATTGAAAGGGGAAATTGACCCAGGGAGCTTAAAAATTACCAGCTTCGAATGAAAAATACACGTTGCAAAGTAATATTTAACTTGATTAAAATCCATTGAATGCGGCACTTTGGAATTGAAGGTTTTTATTTCTTAGAAAATGTACCCCAGGACATCAGATAGTTGTGCAGGACTAGAATAAAGTTTTTCAAGAGTCTTTAACCCCAAATTAATCAGTTTAACTCACTAAACTATATCTGGAATTTAACCATTTGTGAATTTAGCCAAGATCATTTTCGTTAAAAGAGTAAGAGTTTGAATATAGAATCTTACCGTATACCAAACCTTTCTTCCACAAATCATTGCTGACGGCCATATTGGTTTATAAAACCTAGATATTACTATACCAATACTAGCACAAAACATCCAAGCAAATGTCATAAAACATCCTGAAATCAAAACTTTACATGTTTAATTTTGATACGAACCATGTTTAAAACAAAGAAGATCATGCATTGAATTATAAATAGGCAAAATATCGCAAGTGTCTACGTTGAGTTTTAAACCGAACACGCACTTCTCTGTGTTATCCGGTTGTTACTGATGCTTTTGTATGACTTCTGATGCTTATGTTTGTACTATTGTCCAGTTTTATTTTTTTTTACGGTTAATTACTCCACATTATCTTAGTCTAAATACATGTCTTTGTTGGGCACGTTTAGTAAGATACAGATTGGTTGACTCCAGATCAACCTTCATATCATCTGTCATACAGAAAATCCCGCCAAATCTTCAGAAACGTTTTGATCATCGATATATTGTATTGGTTGTCTAACCAACCTCAATGCTACAATTATGTTGTCGTTACAGACCGTGTACACGCTTTTCTTAAACATGCCGATGTGAACAGAGTGACCATCAGAATAAACAGATTGAGAACATCTGGCCCTGAGTTCACAAAGCATTCAAAGACTTAAGTTAAGAATTTATAAAACTTTTGTTGTTTTAATGTATCAAACACATCAATAAGAAACTTTTCTGGATCAAAGATATTTTTCATAAACAGTGATTGAAAGTTGAGTAAAAAATTAGCTTAAGTCTGAGAATGCTTTGTGAACTCCTGGCCTGATCTTAATTATGCTGGACACTGTGAATAGCGATCTTTCTAGTGATCATTACTGATGAGGATGCAACGGTTTATATTTCATGTCATGATGGAAAACATTATAAATAAATATCTTATTTCATAATATACCTGTACATATATACGTACCATGTATTTTAATAAAAAGTTGATCTGTATCATATGGTTCAATTATTTCATGTTTCTGTAGATCTACCACATGTGCTGAAGACACAGGAAACGCATCATGTTTAGCTAGAGAACCTGAAAACCCCCCAGAAAAATCCAATCAATTAGTATTCATATTGTTATCCGTATTCATTAAATGTTTTGGTATCTAGATGGCAGTCCATGGCCCCTTAAATATATAATCCTATAGAATTGTTTCAGTTAAACTTGACAGTTGTCAAAAGTTCCTATGGATATTACTTGTGCAATACTGCGGAGAAGAATTTTGTCTGAACACCGACGTTATTTTACGTGTTGATCTGAGTATCTGGTCTTCGTGGCGATGGGACGACTAGACATGCGTTCCGTGTAATACACACAGGTGCCACACTGACAAGAACCAGTTTTAAAAATACCAAAAGTTTTGTACGGCCCAGATCGGGTTTAAAATCCGGGACATACAAATAAAGAGTCTATAGTGCTCTGGCCGCTTGACAACCGTACCTCTCATGACAAAGCTCAGACTTTGATTTTGAAATATGACAAAGAAATAACACATAAGGTTCCTTTTGAATTTTAGTAAGCTTACCTGTTGCTACGTCAGCAACTAAACCTTGCGCAAATAACATGAACCAGTCTTTCTCTAGGTGAAATATTCTATGAACATCTGATGTCTTCTTCATCCGAGTAAATTCACATTTAAAAAATCCATTTGAAAGAGAACCGGATTTAAACTCTAAATAATCTGCAGTCTGTAACTAATAGATTATAAAACTTTGAAATCAAAGGTTGTGTATTTCATTTTTAGCTTACTTATCACTTTCAGTTTTATAAGAAATATAACATTTTAAATTTTAGGTAAGTTTTGCTATTGTAGACGTAATTTTAAAGTTACAATTTCATATTTTTAGGTTATATTTTTAAAATGTATTAAAATAAAGCCCTAAAATAGATGGTATCTATAAACAATCCTACCTTGTTAAAGAATAATCTTATTAATCCTATAATTCACTATTGCCAGTTGAGAAATTGGCAAAAATATCATTTTTAACTTCAAATTCAAACGTTTGAAGATAACTATACCATGGTGGGGAATAGGAAAACAAGGGAGGTAATTGTGTTATTATTTCCGATGTGAAGATTTTTAAGTGTGAGAAAGATAACCCATGATCGTATAATAGTGAGTTGACAACCTATTGAGCAAAAGACATAGAAATAATTATGTATTGACTTTCTTAGAAAATATGAAATTGTAACTTTAATAATTAAAATTATTAAACATCCAATTCCTGCATAGTGAGATTATTTAGATTCTGTAAAAATTAGCGTGTGTTATTTTATAAAATTTAACCAGAATGTCCACCAGACTAGAATACGTAAAGTAGGCAACATCGATTGCGAAGAAAGAATTTACAAAGCTGTTGTTTTCTGTTGTACTTACACTTTCTATTCTTGTATTACGATGTCGATTATTGTACGAAAGATAAGTTGAAAATATTCCATTATTGTGAACACATTCTATGACACTATCATGACCCTGAAAATTAAAATATCACAATTTCTAAACGAAATGAAATGAAATGCTGTTTAACGTCCTACTGCTCTGTCGCGTGTGGGCTAATGAAAACGGACATACGCCATACAGTGTGCTATGATGGAAATTTTGCTCGTACAGCGGTACTACGGCCTACTCTTATTTCGAATTCTAACAGTCAATGTGTACACGGGACTTCGGCTTTTCGTTCCACCCAAACGACTATGCATCGTCTCTTGCAAGGCCCTCCATCCTGCAACACTGACGAGTGGGAACTGCACCGGAAATTCCTGTTCTCGGCCAACACCAGGATCGAACACGAGATCTACGGGTTAGCGAGCCAACGTCTTACTCACTGAGTCACTGCGGCTTCCCAATTTAAATACATTAAACCACTTCGGGACTAATATATGGTTTAATTTTATTTCAATAATTCGTTTGCGTGTAGGGATCTTTAGGACCGGAGAAAACCCACGAGGTTAGACAGGCGACCCAACTCCTAGTCGCGTACAACAGGGGAATCGAAACCACGCCAGTTGACCCAATGACAGACCTTATGATGCAACGCGCACGCGCTATTCATTCGGCCATCAAATCTCCTTGTTAATCAAGCGGAGGTTCTGAGAATGGGCAGGATGGAGTACACGGAGAGAAAACTCACCAGATTAGGCAGGTGAAATTACTAGTTGTGTAGGGTCGAATTCGTGGGTCTTGCAACAGGCGTTACAACTCCCGATGCCCACCATCACTGCTCATTTGAACTAACTCGATATGTGCAATATAAATTAAACGGAAATTAATATTACGTTTACTGGAAAAGACACACACATTCTCTTACCATTTTAGTATCCCTAGAAAAGGCTAATGCCATCCATTGATTTGGTGTTCCTTCTATAGCTTCAGATCTAATATCAAACCACATTCTATCACCCAGATCCCTCCACGATACATGAAAATCACAACCTTTACTTGAACATCTACTAAAACATCCGCGATTGGCACCACAACCAGTATCTAAAATCAGGCGATGTATCTGAAATAGTTATAACACATATTGTTTTCGTGATATCGCATGCATTGCAAACCTGAATTTACATTGTATTCTCCAAGACTAAGTGACTTAGTATCTAAGATCATGGGATTTATCTGAAATATTTATAATACATTCCGTTTTAATATTTTCGTGATATCGCATGGATTGCAAAATTGAATTTGCATTATGTTCTCCAAGACTAAGCGACTGAAAGTTTATTATAAATTTTGAAGTGAAGCTATTAGATAGGGATGTTTTGTGTTTAGATTAAAAATCGTTTCGCAACCAGAGCAGACCTATTTTTCTTAAGTTAACTTCATGTTCGATGCATGCACATATTTTCTAAAATTGACAATATATGGACGTGACAGGTACGAATATATCGATTTCATATCATTTGATGTGCAATTATTTCTTTTTGAAGTAGTTATATTATTAATACATGCACTCTTTAGGACCAAACTAGTCTAATACTATGGAGGGTTATTTTAGTTATAAGAAAGGTGTTCTGTTTAGTATAGAAATTCTTTACCTACATGATGTGTGACGAAAACTAGGGTAATAAAGTAGCTTGCAATATTCTACTACTTTCTTAGACTAACTTACCGACAGTTATGTCAGTATCCATTGCTGGAAGTAGGGTACTATAGTCCAGTTATCTCCTGCACAGATTAGTACAATTAACTAGAATAGTGTTGACGTAAAATGGTGCCTATACGAAACATTTACCCAAAAATGGTAATTGTCCCGCCCTAATAGATGACGCATTATATTTTCTATATAGGAGAGAGCTGGTTTGATTTACCCTCAGACATCATTCGGAGCTCAGGGGAACATCATACCCATAGCCTCTTCGGCTTAGAGGCTAGGGTGAACACATCATCCTAGCGCGAACATTATGTAGAACTATCAAGAAGTATGTGGCTCTTCCCACGTTTAAGCCGTTAGGTCTGAGTTAGAAAGGATATTAAATTCAGACCGTGGATATTTTAATAACTCCTAAAATACTATCATAGATATTGTAGTTTCCTGTATTTAACCTTTGTAGTTTGCTGTATTCGATATATAAACATAGTAGCAACATAAATAGTGTTTTAGATTTAATTGATCATTGGAAATATGTAGTTATCACAACGTGAAGTCAAAGAAAGTCCTAGAAGAAAGTGTCACCTCTATAGTATCACAGCCTATCTCTTATTTGGAGTTCGTGACCAAGATAGTCACATCTACACCGTAGTGTCACACTAGGAGTTTAACCTGCTATGTTATGACCATCTATAAGCTTACGGAATCCAACAAACTCAGATATTACTCAAATACACCCTTTAAAACAACAATAATTCTCAAATCCGGCGGCAATCTAATAACGAACGTTTGTCTCCTGTAACCGACGTTATCTAGAAATATACAATTACGGTAACATTATTCGAGAATATAAGAGTTTAAACGATTGGGTTGTCTGAGTAATATCCATATTCAAAATATCTATTATAAAAAGGCTAATTAGTGATTACATCCAATACTTCTTTAAATGAAGCATTTGGGCATCAGTAACAGGTTGTGACTTACTTCCTCAGTAGTTG